TTTGGATGATTACTCTAAAGGTTGATATTTGAATGTCTTAACTTCAGGAGATTCATGGGCTCTAAGTGGCAGGTTTAAAGGAGCAATAATTTAAAATGGAAGGATGCATAGTCCATCAGCATAAGATTGTTCTTGTGCTTATTTTGAAGCAAAACCACAACTGCTCCTTATTATGTTCTTGTGATCTTGGCTCACTGCAACCTCTACCTCCTGGGTTCAAGCGATTCTCCTGTCTCAGTTTTCCTGAGTACCTGGGACTACAGGCACAAGTTGCCATGCCGGACTAATTTTTGTATTTTTAGTAGAGACAGGGTTTCACCATGTTGGCCAGGATGATCTTGATCTCCTGACCTTGTGATCCACCTGCCTCAGCCTCCCAGAGTACTGGGATTACGGGTGTGATCCCTCTCATTTCTATTACATTTTGTTTGAGAGAACTTCCCAACTATTAATACCTACTCTATGTATATTCCATAAACATCTCAGCCTCATTAATTCTAAAACTGAACTCATCATTTCCCCTTGGATCCCACTATGATTTGAATGTGTCCCCCAAAGTTCATGTGTTGGAAACTTAGGAGGTTGGGCCTAATAAGAGGTGACCGAATCATTAGGGCTTCTCACGGGAGTTGGTTAACCATCATGAGTGGCTTTATTATAAAGCACATTTGGCCCCCTCTTTTCTTTAGTGCTCTTTCCCATGCTTTCTTGCCCTTTGGTCATTCCTTTGGCCAAAATCCTTCAAGGATCCAAATTCCTTGGTATGGCAGACATAGTTATTTAGGATTTGGCTTTATCTAGCTTTCCAACTATATCCTTATACTCTATTTGCTTTTTATATTCTAGCCATTCCAAATTGCTGTACTTCTTTGAATATGTCAAACTATTATATGCCCTGGTATATATACTTCCACTGCTTTGGCATCGAGAATAATAATAGCTTTTATATATGTGTGTGTATATATATATATATATATATATATAGAGAGAGAGAGAGAGAGAGAGAGAGATTATCACACACATACACACATCTATATACACACACACATTCATCAAGACAAGACAAGATCTTGTTCTGTCATCCAGGCTGGAATGCAGTGGCTCAATTTGAACTCCTGGGTTCAAGTGATCCTTCCACCACAGCCTCTCAAATAGCTCTGACTACCACCAGTGCATGCTAGTATGTCTGGCTGTTTTTAATTTTTAATTTTATTATTTGTAGAGATGATATAGCTCTGACTACCACCAGTGCATGCTAGTATGTCTGGCTATTTTTAATTTTTAATTTTATTATTTGTAGAGATGATATGTTCAAAGAACCACAGCAATTTGGTATGGCTAGAATATAAAAACCAAATAGAATGCAACAAGAATATAGTTGGAAAGATAGACAAAGCCAAATTCTAAATAACTCTGTATGCCTTACCAAGAAATTTATATCTTTTACCTAAGGAATGGGAAGGATTTTGGCCAAAGGAGTGACAAAATTGAACTGACATTAGTGTTACTGGGCTTGATAATCTGTTACATTTAATTTAAATTCCAGAGTTATTTTCTGACAATATGATTGTTAGGACAGCTGCAGATTTTCTGTTCACTACACTGATTAGTATTTGTTTTGGTTATACTCTGTTGTTTAGAGGATTCACTTCATCCAGTTTGGTGTAGTGAAAAGGGTGTAAGCTTTGTTGTCTGAAACACATGGCTTCAGATCCTCACATGGTTATGTAATCTTGAGCAAGTCAGTTAACATTAAGTAGTTAAGGTGGTTGAATAAAATGATACATGGAAAAGACTGATACATATCAGACATTTTATTAATGGTAGACTTTTATGTTTTTAAAGGCACTAAATAGTAGATTTTTTTTTTTTTTTTTGAGACAGAATTTCTCTCTGTTGCCAGGCTGGAGTGCAGTGGTGCCATCTCAGCTCGCTGTAGCCTCCAACTCCCTGGTTCAAATGATTCTCCTGCCTCAGCCTCCCGAGTAGCTTGTGGATTACAGGCATGCGTCACCACGCCTGGCTAATTTTTTTATTTCTGGTGGAGATGGGGATTTCACCATGTTGGCCAGGATGGTCTAGATATCCTGACCTTATGATCCACCAGCCTTGGCCTCCCAAAGTGCTGGGATCACAGGCGTGAGCCACCATGCCCAGCTTATAGTAGATTTTGTTTGTTTGTTTGTTTGTTTTGTTTTGTTTTGTTTTTTTTATAGATTTTTAAAAAGATTTTTCCTTCTCCTGTTTTCAGTTAGAGACTTCAAAAGATAATAGATTCTGCATTAAAGCCGTAGTTTGAAAATGAAGTTTTTGTGTTCGTGCAAAGTGGGGATAATTTTCTTCATCTTTAACTTAGAATTAGGAAAAGCATGATGGTTCTTTCTTGTGCTACGTGAAACTAACCAATTTCAGAAAACCCAATATATGATTTTTAAAAAATTGTTATTATTTTTTATTAAGACGGGGTCTTGCACTTTTGCCCAGGCTGGAGCGCAGTGGCATGATCATGGATCATGCAGCCTCCACCTTCTCCAGCTCAAGTGATCGTGCCGCCTCAGCCTCCCAGGTAGCTGAGACTATAGGTGCACACCATCATGCCCATCAATTTTTGTATTTTTTGTAGAGACAGGGTTTTACCCTGTTGCCGAGGCTGGTTTCTAACTCCTGTGCTCAAGCAATCTGCCCGCCTTAGCCTCTCTACGTGCTGGAATTACAGGCATGAGCCCCTGCCTCCGGCCTCTTTTCTGTTTTTTGAGAAGGAGCGTGGGGGAAGGATAAGACTTGTTGGCCTATTCAAATATACGTAAGAAAGAAAAAGGACTAGAGAGTACATGTTTTAAAAATGTGTATTTTGGATGTTTAAAATGTTTTATTTTCCTGTTTTAAATGATCAAATCTGATTTTTTTTTTTTTTTTGAGATGGAGTTTCGCTCTTATTACCCAGGCTGGAGAGTAATGGCGCGATCTTGGCTCACCGCAACCTCCGCCTCCTGGGTTCAGGCAATTCTCCTGCCTCAGCCTCCTGAGTAGCTGGGATTACAGGCACGTGCCACCATGCCCAGCTAATTTTTTTCTATTTTTAGTAGAGATGGGGTTTCATCATGTTGACCAGGATGGTCTCGATCTCCTGACCTCGTGATCCACCCGCCTCTGCCTCCCAAAGTGCTGGGATTACAGGCTTGAGCCACCGTGCCTGGCCAAATCTGAATTTCCTAAAGGAGCTTCTTTTTTTTTGGAGACAGAGCCTCTCTCTGCTGCCCAGGCTGGAGTACGGTGGCATGATCTTGGCTCACTGAAACTTCCGCCTCCGAGGCTCCAGGGATCCTCCTGCCTCAGGCCCCCAAGTATCTGGAACTACAGGCACACACCCTCACGCCCATCTACTTTTTGTGTTTTTGGTATAGACAGGGTTTGCCATGTTGCCCAGGCCTCAGCCTCCCAAAATGCTAAGGTATGAGCCACTGACCCAGCTGGGAGCTTCATTTTTGAAGGTTGGTGAGAAGAGGTGGTGTGAAATAAAGATTTAGTCTTTCCTTGAACTTTTTAATAGCTCCAGTTGAAATTTGTAAGAGTGATGATTCTTTGTTTCTTTTTGTTTGTTTGTTTGTTTGAGGCGGAGTTTCGCTCTTGTTACCCAGGCTGGAGTGCAGTGGCGCGATCTCGGCTCACCACAACCTCCGCCTCCTGGGTTCAGGCAATTCTCCTGCCTCAGCCTCCTGAGTAGCTGGGATTACAGGCATGTGCCACCATGCCCAGCTCATTTTTTGCATTTTTAGTAGAAACAGGGTTTCACCATGTTGACCAGGATGGTCTCGATCTCTTGACCTCGTGATCCACCCACTTCGGCCTCCCAAAGTGCTGGGATTACAGGCTTGAGCCACCGCACCCGGCCCTGTTTTGTTTTTTAATTAACCAGACAGACTAGAATATTTTTATTTTTATTGACATGGAGTCTTGCTCTGTTGCCCAGGTAGGAGTTGGAGTGCCGTGGTCCAATCTAGGCTCACTCACTGCCTGGGTTCAAGTGATTCTTGTTTGTCAGCCTCCTGAGTAGCTAGGGGACTACAGGCAGGCACCACCACATCTGGCAAATTTTTTTGTATTTTTAGTAAAGATGAGATTTTGCCCTGTTGGCCAGGCTGGTCTCGAACTCCTGACCTCAGGTGACCCACTCGCCTCAGCCTCCCGAAGTGCAGAGATTACGGGCATGAGCTACCACACCTGGCCTAGAATATTCTTAAAGGATACCTGAAATGAAATTTGTGGTTGCTAACATTTGACTCTCTAACTTAAAATACAAATTTATTTAATGTGTTAAAATGAAAATTTTCTAATCCAATTCCAAGGGCTCTGTGGAAAACAATGTATTTTTCATTTATATTTAAGAGCTTGAATCAAAATTAATAAATTTTTTAAAATAAAAAAAAGAGCTTGGGTGTCTGCATTGCGTGACCACAGAATACATAACCAAAAATATGTAATGAACATGTTTTATGATAGAATATTATTTTTTACTATTAATAACTTATTTTTTCTGTTAGCTGGCAATTGCTATTTCTAGAAATACAGTCTGAAAGATGTTAACATTTAGTTATTGACCAATATAATAGACTTTATTATTTTATTATTACAGTACAAGATTTAAAGCATATTACTGTTATTGAAAGTTTTAATTATAGCGCTACTAGAAATTGATTTAAAGTGGAAGTGAGTTTTGGTTAAATCATAGCTGGATTAATAAATGATTTTTCAAATTAGACTTTGGCCATAGTGACTGACTTCACTCTGGTGATAATAGCTGAGTCTGTGGTGATAATAGCTGAGTCTGTGGTAATCTCCGGTGGTAACTGTCGCCATCCAGTGGTTCATTTTTGAAATGTCAAAATGGAATAAAAATGGGACAAAATGCTTGTTCTTCTCCCCACTCCTCACTTTTGTTTGTTTTAGTTGAAACTAAAAACCACACTCCCACACTCCTTTTTTTTTTTTTTTTTTTTTAGGTGGGAAGAAAAAATAACCTTTTGAGGAGGAAGACAAAGGTTTTTGCCTTTAGTATTTCAGGAGACGTAAGGGAAAAACAGGTAGTTTTTGATGGGCCATATTCCCGACTACTATTTTTCTTCCACCCTTTGTTTTTGTACCCATTCAGTAAGTAGGAAAAAAGATTCTTCAGTGTTTAGTACTTTCTTGCCTTTGGTAAAAAATCATACTATGATAGGTGGATGTTTTATTTGCTGCTGAATGTAGCTACTGAATAGAGATGAGCTATGTAACAATATCATTAGGCAATAAGAACATTGCTGTGATGTTTTAGCTATATGTAAGAAAGTATAAGGCTTTTGTATTCATTTGCATTTGAAGACTGATTTCATTAGATATGCATATAGAAATGATTTCTGTACTCTGTCACCAAACCATTTATGTTAAGTATACAGAATTTGTCATATTTAATACATCTCCATGTAGCTATAAATGGTTGCCATCTTTTTTTTTTCTTTGACAGAGTCTCACTCTGTCGCCCAGGGCCCAAGTTGAAGTGCAAGCAGTGGTATGATCATGTCTTAAAGCAGCCTCAACCTCCTGGGCTCAGGCGATCCTCCCACCTCAGTTTCCTGAGTAGCTGGGACCACAGGCAAACAGCCACCATGCCTGCCTAATTTTTAAAAATTATTTTTGGTAGAGACAAGGCTCACTATGTTGCCCAGGCTAGGCTGATCTTGAACTCCTGGGCACAAGCAGTCCTCCTCCCTCAGTCTCCCGAAGTGTTGAGATTACAGGCATGGGCCACGTGCCCCCAGCCAGCTATATTTTGAAGTAATGCTAATGCAATCTGAATTGTAAAAATATATTTCAGCAGAGTTATTAGATAAGATATTTGTGAACTGCCAAAAGTAATCTCTCAAATATTTCCAAAATAATAGGCATAATGGGATATTTTGTTGTTTTATTTATTCCACATTGAGACAGACATTTATAAAGTTATAGAGAAGGTAAGACAAAGGAAGCAGTAGTGCATTTTGGGAAATCTGATTGACACAAATGTATTCATATCATTTATCTGTGTGGTTTTGTATTAACTATAACTCATTCTGGGTTGGTTTGTTTGTTTTTTCCCACAAGAATTGTGTATATTTAAAATTTGACCATGTGGGTCAGATCTTAGATATAAAATGCCTAAAACCACACTCAAAAGTTCAAGTGAACACTGATAAAATGCATCATGTTAGATTCTCAGTACCATTCTTCCACTTTGAAAAGGTAGAGAAAATAGACACTGTGGTGAGGGACGCGGGACAAAAGAATTGTAATTACACAGAATCATGTTCTAGAAATTATATTTATATGGTGGTTTATTGTTTCAAAATGCTTTTACCTTCATTACCTCATGAATTCAATAGCACGATAAGGTAGGCAGGGCAGAGAGTGTCTTTGTTTATTGAGGAAGAAATTGAATGTCACAAAGGTTGAGTATTATGTCTGAATTTACACACAATGCCTGATAGAACTGGTACTTGAACCTAATTCTGATCTCCATTGTAATATATTCTCTCCATTATGTCTTGTTGCCTAATTGAAACTTGAGTTTACATCTACTGTAAGACATAGAATTAATGCAGTAAATTGTCTTATGCATTATATTTTTCTTTTTTCTTTTTTTCTTTTTTTTTTTTTTTTGAGACGGAGTTTCGCTCTTGTTAACCCAGGCTGGAGTGCAATGGCACGATCTCGGCTCACCACAACCTCCGCCTCCTGGGTTCAGGCAATTCTCCTGCCTCAGCCTCCTGAGTAGCTGGGATTACAGGCACACGCCACCATGCCCAGCTAATTTTTTGTATTTTTAGTAGAGACGGGGTTTCACCATGTTGACCAGGCTGGTCTCGATCTCTTGACCTCGTGATCCACCCGCCTCGGCCTCCCAAAGTGCTGGGATTACAGGCTTGAGCCACCGCGCCCGGCCTTATATTTTTCAAAGAGAAGATATAAGCCTCTGAAGCAAGGGACATATCTCCATTTTGTATTTTTCCTCTGAAATTGATTCTTCCCGAGAACTTAGGAATTTGCTGTCTTATATATGTGATACTAACATTATTGACACCCAGGAGGTCATTGCTACTGGTTCTTTCTTTTTCTACTGGTGGAGATCAGTCAGGCAATGAACAATCTGTCAGCTTTTCCATGATCTACTCAAATCTATTAAGGTTGTGTAGCAATCACTACTATCTAATGCCAGAACATTTTCATCAATCTGAAAAGAAACTTCAGACTCATTTACGGTAACTCCAGTTCTTCCCTTCTCCACTCCCTAGGCAACCTGTTGTCTTTATGGCTTTGCCAATGCTGGACATTTCATATAAATGGGATCATATAACGGGAACTTTCATGTCTTCCTTCTTTTACTAAAAATGATGTTTTCAAGGTTCATCTATATCATGTACTTACTCCGTTTGATGGCTGCATAATATTCAGTTGCATGAATATATATCACATTTTGTTTATCCATTCATTTACTTATGGATATTTGGGTTGTTTCTACTTTTTGGCTGTTATCAAGAATGCAGTATGAACATTTGTGTTTAAGTTTTTGTATGCACATGTATATTTTTAATTCTCCTAGGTATATACCTAAGAAGTAAAATTATTGAGTCATATGGTACTTCTATGTTTAACTTTTGAAGAACTGTCAAACTGTTTCCATGGTGGCTGCACCACTATATTTCCACCAGCAGTGTAGAAGGATGTTATATTAAATTTTTTTTTCTTTGAGACAGTGTCTTGCTGTGTCATCCAGGTGGAATGCAGTGGTACAATTATAGCTCAGTATAACCTTGAACTCCTGGGCTCAAGTGATCCTCCTACCTGAGCCTCCTGTGTAGCTGGGACTAGTTTTATGCTATGATGCTAGGCTAATTTTAAAATTTTTTTGTAGAGATAAGGTCATACTAGGTTCCCAGGCTGGTCATGAACTCCTGTCCTCAAATGATCTCCCCACCTTGGCCTCCCAAAGTGCTAGGTTTATAGGCATGAGCCACCGTGCTCGGCTTGTACCTTAATTTTTTTGAGTGGACCATTCATCTCCAAGGCCCACCCCCTCCTCCCCCATTTTTTTGGAAGCAGTCTCACCATGTCACCCAGGCTGGAGTGCAGTGATGCAATCTCAGCTCACTGCAATCTCTGCCTCCTGGGTTCAAGCAATTCTTGTGCCTTAGCCTCCCAAATAGCTGAATTACAATCGTATTCCACCATACCTGGCTAATTTTGTAATTTTAGTAGTAACAGGGCTTCGCCATGTTGGCCAGGCTAGTCTCGAACTCCTGACCTCAAGTGATCTGTCCACCTTGGTTTCCCAAAGTGTAGGATTATAGGCATGAGCCACCACACCCAGCCTCCAAGCCTATTTTTAATTTTTTCCCTCTATCTGAAATATACTTCCCACCTCTGCCCCTGTGTCTGACCACGTGTTGCAGTTCTGTGCATCCTTCAAAGCCTGGTTCAAATGTTGTTTCTTATGCAAAGTTTTCACAGATTACTAGGGCTGGAAGTGATTTGTCCCTCATTAGTGCGTGCATAAGGTTATATCATTTATTTCTCTTTGGGGCCTTTTGTAATTGTTGTTGGAGTCTTTCTTATTTCTTCTACTACATTTTTGTATTATCATAGTGAGATATATATATATATAAATTTTTAAAATGTACCTTTAGTAAATATAGGATAAATGAATGAGAGACTACTGGAAATCCTTAACTTGGCTTTTTAAAATATTACATGAGATATATCATATTTATAAAATAGGAATGGTAATATCTAAATACCATTACTGGAATGATGTTTTTACCTCTCCTCCCAACTGGCAGGTATGTATTCTGCAACTGTCTCCTAATTTCTTGGCCTTGCATTAAGCTATTGTATGAGCAGTTGCCTTTCAAGGTCATTTGACAACTGGCTGCCTGCATTTATCCATTGGATCTAGAATGGTATCTTTGTCTGTAGTTACATGTTAAAGAAGTTGTGTTACAGTACAGCTTCTTTTAGGTCTGAAGTTAAAGATTCATTTTGTAAAATTATAGTACATCATTAGATAATAAAATAAATGTAAATTATTTTAACTTTACTGTCTTTATTAGGATATATTTATTTGGTGTCCAGTGAAAACTGATGACCAACTAGCTAGGTATGCCAAATAATGTAGTCCAGATACTGTGGTCCTTTTATGTAATATGTAAATAATATACATATTACTCAAGAGTACTCATGTTCATGTTTACATGTATACACATATACTTTTAGTAAAATAAGAATCATACTATTTTGAATCTTGTGCATTTCACTTAATTTGATGAATATTCTCATATGCCATTAAATATGCTTCAAAAACATTTTTAAATAATTTTTTATTTTTTCCTCACAGCTGAGCCAGTGGTCACAAAAACTGTTTTTAATGATGACTGCATAGTAGTCCATCATGTGAATGTACAAAATGTATTTACCCAAATTCTGTATTGTAGTTAATTTTTCCTCATTTTTGGAATTTCAGTTAATGCTGCAGTGAACTAACTTGCACATTAATTTTTGTCTGGCTTTCCAGTAATTTGTTAATGAGCTTTTTAAGGTACTTTGATACACATTTCCAAATTGCTTCCCAGAAGGGTTGTATATATTTTATTTAAGAAAATTCATTTTGAATTAATTTGATTTGAAATTGGAGGGTTACTTGTTTATTTTTGTAAGTTGATTTTTGCTTATACCATTCATTCAACAAGTATGTATTAAGTTCATTCTATGTGCCAGGAATTCATAGGCCCAAAGTATAGCACTGTAAACAAAGTAGAGTTTCTAACCTCATGGAGTGTTCCTGTCTAAAGGACTCCAGGTATTTGTCAGTAGGTTAGTTCTTATTTTCCCTTATTTCAGAGTCAGAATTGAATAAATTATTTAGAAAAGAGGAAAATTTTCTCCTAATATCCTATCTATGCTATCAATTTTTTTTCTCTCTAGTCTATGTAGATTTTTCTCAGAGTTATGTTCATGTACTTGTTTCAGTAAAAAGTAAATGCTTTTTTATTTTTGAGATGGAGTTTTTGCTCTGTTGCCCAGGCTGTAGTGCAGTGGCACGATCTTGGCTCACTGCAACCTCCGTCTTCTCCTGGGTTCAAGTGATTCTCCTGCCTCAGCCTCTGGAGTAGCTGGGATTATAGGCACCTGCCACCCCACCCAGCTAATTTTTGTCTTTTTAGTAGAGATTAGGTTTTACCATGTTAGCCAGGATGGTCTCGAACTCCTGACCTCAGGTAAGTCCCCATGTTGGCCTCCCAAAGTGCTAGGATTACAGGCATGGAGCCACTGTGCCCAGCCCCTGCTTTTCTTTTTTCAGTATTAAATTTTTTTTTTTTTAATAGAGATGGGATTTTGCCTGGTTGCTCAGGCTGGTCTCAGATTCCTTAGCTCAAGCACTCTGGCAGTCTGCCCATCTGGGCCTCCCAAAGTGCTAAGATCACAGGCATGGGCCACTGTGACTGCCTAAATACTGCTTTTCATGCTCTGTATTAGTAACAGAAAATACACACATGCTCTGTATTAGTCACAGAAGATACAGTGCTTTTGAGGAAACTTTAGTGTATCTGTATTATACCTGCAGTCATGTCTGAAGGTAAACAAGACTGTTACCGTGTCCTTCAAAGTCCATGCCCATACTCCCATAATTTTTCTGCTTATATTTAACTTCCAATTAAGAAGTCATATTACCTTAAATTGTAGTTATTCTAATCATATTGATATTCGTTTCATGGATATTGCATCTTTATTTCATTAACAGGTTGAATCATTTATTTTGGACCAAGAAGATCTGGATAACCCAGTGCTTAAAACAACATCAGAGATATTCTTATCAAGTACTGCAGAAGGAGCAGACTTACGCACTGTGGATCCAGAGACACAGGCACGGCTAGAAGCATTGCTAGAAGCAGCAGGTACTTTACTTTTTGTTTTCTCTTTTTCGTCTCTTTAAAAGTCTAGATCTCTCGGGTTTTTTGGTTTTTTTTTTGAGACATAGTCTCACTCTGTTGTCCAGGCTGGAGTGCAATGGCATGATCTCAGCTCACTACAACCTCCGCCTCCTGGGTTCAAGCGATTCTTCTGCCTCAGCCTCCTGAGTAACTGGGACTACAGGCATGTACCACCATGTCTGGCTAATTTTTATATTTTTAGTAGAGATGGGGTTTTACCATATTGGCCAGGCTGGTCTCAAGCTCCTGACCTCCTGATCACCTGCCTCAGCCTCCCAAAGTGCTGGGATTACAGGTGTGAGCCACCGTGCCCAGTCAAGTCTAGATTTCTTTACAGAGTTACATGGGATTGTCCCAAAATTCTATAACATTATACAAAATTTAAAATCTCTAAAATTCATTTTACTTTTTATTTCCCAAAGAAAATGTTCACATTTTGGATTTCTGGGTTCAACTCATATTTTTAAGGTATTAAGATAATCAGCAGCTGGGTACAGGGGCTCACGCCTGTAGTCCTAGCACTTTGGAAGGCTGAGGCAGGTTGATTGCCTGAGCTCTAGAGTTCAAGACCAACCTGGGCAACATGGTGAAACCCTGTCTCTACTAAAATACAAAAAAGTACCCAGGTGTGGCAGCATGTGCTTGTAGGACAGGAGGCTAAGGCAGGGGAACTGCTTGAACCTGGGAGGTGGAGGTTTTAGTGAACCAAGATCACACCATTGTACTCCATCCTGAGCAACAGAGTGAGACTCTGGTATCTCAAAAAAAAAACCCCACAACGATAATCAGCTTGTTATCAAGGAAAAGTTACCTGTTAGTAATTACATTATAAAATTAAAATGTATTGGTTGGGCGTGGTGGCTCATGCCTGTAATCCCACCATTTTGGAATGCTGAGGCAGGTGGATCACAAGGTCAGGAGTTCAAAACGAGCCTGATCAACATGGTGAAACCCTGTCTGTACTAAAAATACAAAAATTAGCTGGGCATAGTGGTGTACCTGTAATCCCAGTTACTTGGGAGGCTGAGGCAAGAGAATTGCTTGAAATGGGACCTGGGAGGTGGAGGTTGAAGTAAGCCAAGATCGTGCCACTGCACTCTAGCCTGGGCTACTAAGCAAGACTCCATCTCAAAATAAAATAAAGTAAAATAAAATAATTTATGACTCTTTATCTGTACTGATTTGGGGAGCTGCATGTGATTACTTGTGTATTCACTTTATGCTTAACTTGATTTTAAATAGCTAATTTTTTTTTGAGACAGAGTCTTGCTCTGTCGCCCAGGCTGGAGTGCAACCTCTGACTACTGGGTTCAAGCAATTCTCCTGCCTCAGCCTCCCGAGTAGCTGGGACTACAGGCGTACCCCACCATGCCCGGCTAAATTTTGCATTTGTAGTAGAGACGGGATTTCACAATGTTGGCCAGGCTGGTCTCAAACTCCTGGCCTCAGGCAATCCACCCGCCTTGGCCTCCCAAAGTGCTGGGATTACAGGTGTGAGTCACTGCGCCTGGCCCTGGAATACCTCCTGAAGGACTTACCTGAGCTGAGATTGCATCATTGCGCTCTGGCTTGGGTAACAGTGCAAGACTTTTTCTAAAAAAAAAAAAAATTAGCTATTTAAAATCAAGTTAAACATAGATTACAGTGAATACTCAAGTAGTTAACATGCAGCTCCCTAAATCAGTACAGATAAAGAAGTCATACATTTATTAAATTTATCTCCCACATTTTTATTTTATAATGTAATTGCTAACAGGTAAGTTTTATAGTTAACTTTTTTAACTTTTTTTTTTTGAGATGGAGTCTCACGCTGTCATCCAGTCTGGTATGCAGTGGTACAATCTTGGCTCTCTGCCTCCTGGGTTCAAGCTCTTCTGCCTTTGCCTCCCAAGTAGCTAGGATTACAGGTGCCTGCCACCATGCCTGGCTAATTTTTTGTATTTTTAGTAGAGATGGGGTTTTACTATGTTGGCCAGACTGGTCTCGAACTCGTGATCTCATGATCCTTCCGCCTTGGCTTCCTAAGGTGCTGGTATTACAGGCATGAGCCACTGTGATTGGCTACTCTTTTTTATTTTAATAAGCAGAAGTACATTCTAAAATAATGATAAAAAGTATGTATTTCTATTTTTTGTGTGTGTGGTATTATGTATATAGTAAGTGCATAAATCAGTAACAGTTGTTTATTATCAGCTACTATACATGATACTGTACATAATTGTATGTCCCACACTTTATGCAACTGGCAGTATGGTAGGTTTGTTTACACTGGCATCACCACAAATGCATGTGCTATGATGGCAGGTCATCACTATGCAATAGGAATTTTTCAGCTCCATTATCATCTTTGGGGACCACCATTGTACATATAGTCTGTCTTTAACCCAAACATTGTTATGCAGTGCATGACTATATTTCATATTGAAGATGAAAACTATGATTTATAGGCATGAGCCATTGCACCCAGCCTAGGAAGATAGAATTCTTGACACTATTTTAACTTAAACAAAATAAAGTTGAAAGTATTTTTTTCTTTAAGGTTCTTTGAAATTCTTAGAGAAAATTAAGAATTAGGCCATAGCAAGAACTTTCAAAAATTCTTTTCTAAATTATAAATGTAATATGTATTATAAAATAGCTAAAGCAACGTTAAATATATTAAGTAGATAATAAAACCTTCCCATTGTCTGTCAAGATTTACATATACTTCTGGACTTTCCCCCTTGTGGTAATATAAATACATCTTCATGTTTGAATATACATGATAGTTAAAAATGAAGTAGTATCATAATACACAAAATACAGCTTTTTTTTTCCCCACATAATTTATTGTGGGCATCCTTCCATGACAGTTTATGTTGATCTTTCTTTTTTTTATTAAAGGGTACAATAGTAGTCTGTTGCTTGGATGTACCATAATTAATTTTACCAATTTTGGCTTATATCTAGTTTTTCAGTATCACAAATAATGCTATAGTTTGTAGCCATATTTATCTGTAACTTTTCTTACTTGTGCAAGTATCTCTTTAGGACAGATTTATAGAAAGTGGTATCAATGGGTAAGAATATAGTTGCATTTAAAATTTTGGTAACTGACTGGGCGTAGTGGCCAATGCCTATAATCCCAGAACTTTGGGAGGCTGAGGCAGGTGGATCACTTGAGGTCAGGAGTTTGAGACTAGCCTGGCCAACATGGTGAAAACTCGTCTTTACTAAAAAAAAAATACAAAAGTTAACTGGGCATGGTGGCACATACCTTTAATCCCAGCTACTCAGGAAGCTGAGGCAAGAGAATCGTTTGAATATGGGAGGTGAAGGTTGCAGTGAGCAGAGATTGTACCAATGTAGTCTAGTCTGAGTGATAGAGCAAGACTGTCTCAAAAAATAAATAAGTGAAATAAAATTTTGACAACTATTGTTAAATTAATTCTTCAAGTTTGTGTTTGTATTTATTCCTATCAACAATTTTTGAGAGGACCTCACACTTCAGATGTTGTTTTATCAATTTCATAAATGAAAAATACCTCACCATTTAAATTGGCATTCATTTTGTTATTAGTAAATTGCGTTGGCAGCTCTTTGGAAATGATATAAATTCATTGGATGTTGTATATATAACTTTTAATTTTATTTTTAAGATTGAATTTAATTTAAAATGTTGCCCCAGAAGATGGTTGTCAGTGGGTATTTGACCAAAGGAAGAAACAATTGAATTGTTTGTTATGATATTACAGACTATCCCCCTTCTGAAATTACTACTGAAAATAGTATAGTCAGATATCCTATTCTAGAGTGCTTATGGTGTGACTGTGTATTTTGAAAGAAATCTCATTTACTTGATACAATTAGCATCATATGAAGTTACATGTTGAGTTAGTTAGAGGATAAATTAATATTATGTGCATTATAAAGGTAGAAAGACTGAAACATAGGTGGTTATGCCATGGCCTTTGATATTAGTGGCAGAATTGAAATGATCAACCTTATCTTCTTTTGTCAACCTAACCTATAGATTCTGTACCATTTCTTTTCCCTAGATAATAGTGTTTAGAAATATAATTACAAGCCGGGCACGGTGGCTCAAGCCTGTAATCCCAGCACTTTGGGAGGCTGAGGTGGGTAGATCACGAGGTCAAGAGATCGAGACCATCCTGGTCAACATGGTAAAACTCCGTCTCTACTAAAAATACAAAAAATTACCTGGGCATGGTGGCGCATGCCTGTAGTCCCAGCTACTCAGGAGGCTGAGGCAGGAGAATTGCCTGAACCCAGGAGGCGGAGGTTGCGGTGAGCCGAGATCGCGCCATTGCACTCCAGCCTGGGTAACAAGAGCGAAACTCCGTCTCAAAAAAAAAAAAAAAAAAAAAAAAAGAAATATAATTACAATTTGCACTTTTATACTTTTTTTTTGTCCTGCACTACCTGATTGATTGATGCACACTGAAGGGATTGGCAAATTGTCAACTGCTGATGGTAAAGCTTTTGCAGATCCTGAGGTACTCCGGAGACTGACATCCTCAGTTAGTTGTGCACTGGATGAAGCTGCTGCTGCGCTGACACGGATGAAAATAGAAAACAGCCACAATGCAGGACAAGTGGACACGTATGTGTTTAATGACTTTTGGTTGTTAAACATTTTCTTGAGTAGATTTTGGGGAGGTAGCCAGTTTTAGTTAAATATGTCTTTCAGTGGAGCTTATAAACTTTAGCTGAATGGATAATTATATTTTAAGTGGATATATAAATGTATATGTATTATGTAGCTATAAAAGTGGATATTATTGTTTCTTCATTCAGCTCTTATTCATTGAGCATTCTGTGGAATGTATAACACTAGAGTCTGTGAGAAATCCAAACTGAATAAGATCTGGTTTTCAGTTATAAGGAAGTTACTTACTCCAAAGGTTATTATAGTAAACCTCTGTGACTGCTTGAATACTGATATATGAAATGAGTTACTAATGCAGTAGCCTAGTTGCTTGCTACTCACATATGGTCCATGGGCTAGCAGTATCAGCATCACCTCAGACCTTATGAGATATGCAGAATCTCGGGCCCTACTCCAGATCCACTGAATCAGAATCTGTATTTTAACAAAAAATATGAGTAAATCGTATGCACATTAAAGTTTGAGACTCAGTTGTCTAGTTAGTCATTCTGTGGTAAAAGAGGTTTTCACCTTCACTATTACTAAATAAAAATTTCAGCTGTAGGATTATATCCCAACATGTCTTTGGGAATCATAGAAATAGAGTTTAAAAACGTGTATCTAATACAGGGGTGTCCAGTTTTTTGGCTTCCCTGGGCCACATTGGAAGAAAAATTGTCTTAGGCCATACATAAAATACAAACACTAAAAGCCAGGCATGGTGGCACATTTCCGTAACCAAGCACTTTGGGAGGCCAAGGTAGGAGGATCACTTGAGACCAGAAGTTCGAGACCAGCTTGGCCAACATGGCGAAAACTCATCTCTACTAAAAATATAAAAATTAGCCAGGTGTGGTGGCACACACCTGGAATCCCAGCTACTCGGGAGGCTAAGACACAAGAATCACTTGAACCTGGGAGGCAGAGGTTGCAGTGAGCCAAGATTGCACCACTGCATTCCTGCTTGAGTGACAGAGTGAGACTCTGTCTCAAAACAAAACAAAACAAAACAAAATACAAACACTAATGATAGCTGATAAACAAAAAGAAAAAAATTGCAAAAGTATTTTACAGTGTTTTAAGAAAGTTTACGAATTTGTATTGGGCTGCTTTCAAAGCTGTCCTAGGCCATGAGTTGGACTTGCTTGTTCTAATGCTTTAAAAAACTTCATTTAAAATTTGTTATGTTAGGAGACTTTAAAAGATAAAAATGACAGCTGGTTTCAAATTCACTCACTGGCTTTCTGGCTTGGTTGATAAACATGAATAATTGAAATTGCAGAAAAGATACTCGGCAAATAATATGTTCGTATAATTTTATCTCCTATATTAACATTTTTCTGTGTGTGAGTAACTCTTTATATTTAATACAATTTATCATAGGACCCCTGATAAATTTTTGAGTTTTTGTTTTGGTTAATTGTCGAATGGTTTTGTTTCCAGTCGCAGTCTAGCAGAAGCTTGTTCCGATGGGGATGTTAATGCTGTTCGTAAATTGCTAGATGAAGGCAGAAGTGTAAATGAACATACAGAAGAAGGAGAAAGCCTGCTGTGTTTGGCTTGTTCAGCAGGGTATTATGAATTAGCACAAGTAAGCAGAAATAATCTTTAGTGATTAAAATTGTGGAATGGTTTTGATGTTTTATTAATTTTTGTCACTTATAAGATAGATTATAATTAGAGGGCAGAGTCTTCTCTTCCCCCACCCCACTTCCCTTTTTGGCAGTAGGTAAAGTAGAAATGGATACATAGTTTATTTTGTTGCCTGTACATGCAACTGAGAATGGTTCATTTTTCTGCCACTTAACTCAAAGCTAATCCTAATAAGAAACAAATGGAAATAATTTTAAATTTGTCCTTAGAAACAATATACAACTGTAATGGAAAGTAGTCATTATTTTTATCACATTCAAGTTACCCCAATTCTTTTATTTTTTTTTTCATCTGTGTTAGAGCAGTACTGGAAATTAACCATGTTTTTACCAGTTTCTGTCTTGTGAGTATAGGTTTGCTGTTCTTTAGCTCTAGATAACCTCAAGTATAACATACTTTGACAAGAGCAATCACATTTTATAATAGGATGGCTAATATGATTGCCTACTTTAAGATTAACATGTAATGATACTGTAAAATATAGCACGTAACCAGGCATGTTGAGCAGTGAAAATTGGTATATTTTTTCAAAAGGTCATTATTGATTTTTCGTCACCCCTATTCTAGAAGAATATCTTCATAGATTCAGTATATTCTCTAGAAGTACTATTGTATAGTAAGAATTTACAATTTCTCTGTGTGTATATGTGTTTTGAAGGTATTGCTTGCTATGCATGCTAATGTTGAAGATAGAGGGAATAAAGGAGACATAACTCCCCTGATGGCAGCTTCCAGTGGAGGTTACTTAGATATTGTGAAATTATTACTTCTTCATGATGCTGATGTCAACTCCCAGTCTGCAACAGGTATGTAAAAAATGATGTATTAGTTGGGAGAAAAAAATTGACATAATTAATTGTTACCTGAGAAAAAAATTAGATTTCTGAGAAAAACCTGTGTAAACCTACAGAAAAATCTTAGCCCTTGTGTGGAATCTTTGAGTAAAATACAAATTAATCTGATATCCTCAAAAGTCCTTAAAACACTTAGATTCTCTTTAGTCAACATTGAGTTTTTGTGGTATAAACATAATGAAACATTATTCAGACTTAAAAAAAAGGAAGAGATCCTGCCATTAGCCACAACATGGATGGACCTGAAGGACATTATGCTACTGAAATAAGCCAGACACAGAAAGAAAAGTATTGTATGACTTCACTTTTTTCCCCCCCACAGTCTTGTGGATGTATGCATGCATGATCTCACTTACATGTGGAATATTGAAAATGTACAAAAAGTGTCAAATATATAGAGATAAGACATTGGTTACCAGGTCAGGGGTGGGGAGAAGAAATGGAAGAAGTAGGTCAAAGGATACAAAGTAGTGAATACATAGAATGAATAAGTCAAAAAATCTGATGTACAACATGAGGACTCTAATTAATAATAGTATATTATATTCAGGATTTTTGCCAAATGAGTAGATCATGCTACTCTTGCCACAGGGGACAAAATTAGATAGCTATGTGAGAAGAATATGTTAATTTGTTCTATTGTAGTAACCATTTTACTGTATATGTGTCTTATAACAACATGTTACATGCCTTACGTAAATAATATATATGGAGGCAAAATTGTAAACTATGTTTCTTATAATTCTTTATCTTCAATACAAAACACTTTAGATTATAGATAAACCTGAGTGTTTACCCTATAGGCTTTCTTACATGTTGAGTGTGCTGAATACATTTACTAATTAAGATAATCTTTTTTTTTTTTTTGAGATGGAGTCTTGCTTTGTCACCCAGGCTCGATTGCAGTGGTGCTATCTCTGCTCACTGTAACCTTCGCCTCCCAAGTTCAAGAGATTCTCCTGCCTCAGCTTCCCAAGTAGCTGGGATTATAGGTGCATACCATCACACCTGGCTAATTTTTTGTAACTTTTTTAGTAGAGATAGGGTTTCACCATCTTGGCCATGCTGGTCTTGAACTCCTGATCTCAGGTGATCTGCCCACCTCAGCCTCCCAAAGTGCTGGGATTACAGATGTGAGTCACCAAGCCTTGCCAAGGTTTTCTTGTATAGCAACAGTCCTCAACCTTTTTGGCACCAAGGACAATTGGAAGACAATTTTTCCACACGTAGGTGTGGGGGGAATGTTTTTGGAATGAAACTATTTCACCTCAGATAGTCAGCCAGTTGTCTCATAAGGAGCAGACAACCTAGATCCCTCGCCCATCATTTATTTGAACTGAGCAGCTTTGTACATACTGTAGTTGGAACCCTTGAAAGTGGTTCTTTCTGTATTAATTAAATATAGAAAATATCTCTTACATTTACATAAAAGAAAACAGTTAATTTTAGAGCATGTTGGTGAACCAATAGATTGATTTACTTATTTTTTTGTCTGATTATGAAAATAATATATGCTTGTTGGAAGAACATTTGAGAAATGCAGAGAAGTAGGAAGAGTAAAAGATTACTCCCGTAATCTCTGTTGTACAGAAATCACTGCTATTACTGTTAGTTTAGTTCCTTCCAGTATTTTTGATGTATAAAGTTATGCAGTTGAAATTATACCCTATGTGCAATTTTGTTTGACTTTACTTATTTTCTATTCTATTAACTTTTTAACAAACTTTTTTAAAGGTTACATAATATTTCATAGAATTGATATACCATAATTTTTAGGGGCAGAGGGCATTAATAGGTTGTGAACCACAGCAAAAGATTTTAAATTAAGATGATGACATCAATTACTTTGCTCTGGTTAGCAGCATTATGCTATATACATACTCTTTTTAAAAATACTCAAAAAGATGATGCTGCCATCAAGAAAGTTTTAAATTTCTCCTTGAGGTTTTTTTGAGATCATCAAATTCAGTGGGTTTTAAGGTTGTTTTCTGTCAAATAACCCTAACTTTAAGCCAAACCGTATATGGAAGCACAGATATAATATTACACAGATAAAAGGGGAATTGATCTAAAGTAGAAATACTTGGGGGGTTTGATTTCTGGAACCTAGGTCTCCCCATCTCCTCTGCTGTAGAACTTCTTGGAAGGGGGGATTCTAAAGTTCTTTGGAATACAATTTGAAAACCATATTGTTCTTAGTACCTTTCTTTTTATTTCGAAAGAGAAAAGGGCTTGCCTGAGATGAAGTCCCTCCTTCTTCTTCTTCTTCTTTTTTTTCTTTTTTTAGCTGAAATAGATATACTATGTAGAAGGAAGGGATTATTATGTACCATGCAGTAAGCACATACTCTTTGATGGGCTCTTCAGTATACTCTCCATGTGGCCATTTCAGACATTTTTCTCAAACCCCACACATACCCCTCCTCACTTCCACTGATTGCCTTAACTCATACTTCATTGGAAAAATAGAAATTTCCAGAAGGAAATTGGGTCATCTTCTCACCAATAATTTCTAGTCAAGTTCATATTTTAATTAATTAATTCATTCACTTTGTTCAGTAAGCTGCACCTACTGCCTGCATGTCAGAATCACTTAAGAGAGCTTGTTAAAAATATAGGTTCCCAGGAGTCTTCCTTCTGTATTCCAAAGCAGTCAGTATCAGGAGAGACAAGGGCTGATAAACCACAGCTCTATATTGCAGCTCTGTGAGGGGATGTGGTCGCTATTCTGGTCACCTACTTTTATTTAATGCATTTTGTTTGATGCCAAATATCCTTTTCTGCCTTTATGGATCCTACTTAACTTTTGAGGTCCAATCCAAATGTAGCTACTGCTGCTTTTTTAAAAAACAAACAATTCCAGTTTTATTGGCATAGTTCATGTACAGTAAAATTCACTTAAGTATACAATAATGATTTTTAGTACATTTGTAGTTGTACAACTATCAGTACAATCTAATTATAGAATATTTCCATCATCTCAGTCTCAGACAACTACTAATCTACTTTCTGCCTCTAATAGATTTGCTTTTCTGTGTATTTTTTGTTGTCCAAACCTTTATAGTATATAGTCTTTCGTATTTGGCTTCCCTGAAAGTCTTTTTTTTCTGGCGACAAGGTCTTGCTCTGTTTCCCAGATAAGAGGGCAGTAATGTGATTGTAGCTCACTGCAGCCTTAAACTCCTGGGCTCAAGTGATCCTCCTGTCTCCTGCCTCCAGAGTAGCTGGGACTACAGGTGTATGCCACCATGCCTGGCTCAGTTCTTTTTAGTAGAGATACCGTGTTGCCCAGACTGGTCTCAAACTCCTGGGGGTCAAGCAGCCCTCCCATTTTGGCCTCCTAAAGTGCTGGGATTACAGTTGTGGGCCATTGCACCTGGTCAGAAAATCTTTTAATTAGTAAGAAAATTGGCTGGTTGAGGTGGCTCATGCCTGTAATCACAGCACTTTGGGAGCTTGAGGCAGGTGGAACACCTGAAGTCAGGAGTTTGAGACCAGCCTGGCCAACATGGTGAAAACCCTTCTGTATTAAAATGCAAAAATTAGCCAGGCCTGGTGGTGGGCGCTTGAAATCGGGAGGCAGAGGTTGCAATGAGCAAAGATCGCACCATTGCACTTCAGCCTGGGTGGCAGAGCGAGACTCTGTCTCAAAAAAAAAAAAAACGAGCCAGGCGTAGTGGCTCACACCTGTAATCCCAGCACTTTGGGAGGCTGAGGTGGGTGGATCACCTGAGGTCAGGAGTTTGAAACCACCCTGACCAACAAGGTGAAACAAAAAAAAAAAGAAAAAGAAAATTAAGGTGATGCTTCTAACCAATGATAATGAGAAAAAGTTGAGATAGTAGTTGTAGTGAATTGTGTAAGGGAATTGAAGAGGTATACCTAGTGTATTAGCATAATCATAATTGTATCTGTTCTGATTTTATATTTCTGTTTTTCTTTTTTTACTCTTTTATTTTTTTAATATGTATTCTGTTTATGTATTATATTTCTCTTTGTTCTTTTTAGGAAACACTGCACTAACTTATGCCTGTGCTGGAGGATTTGTTGACATTGTTAAAGTGCTCCTTAATGAAGGTGCAAATATAGAAGATCATAATGAAAATGGACATACTCCCTTAATGGAAGCAGCCAGTGCAGGTCATGTGGAAGTTGCAAGAGTTCTTTTAGATCATGGTGCAGGCATCAACACCCATTCTAATGAATTCAAAGAAAGTGCTCTTACGCTTGCATGCTATAAAGGTACTTAACATATGCATGAATATTTATAATGTTTTTCATAACCACTTTGAATATTTGAGTTAACTTTATATTGCTTATGTTTTCCCTGTGCTATAAAATTACCTAGTTTAAAAGAGATTATATAGAAAGTCTATTTTAGCCAGTATTGCCTGTAATATAGTTTTCTAATATATGTTTATTATTTTAATTCATATTTACTGGGTTAACTGTGAAGTTAACCCAAACACTTAGCATAGATTTAGAGGGTTTCCATTATTTAATAAGTTTTGTTTTATATGCTTTTTCCAGTGTTTATTTAAAAAATAGTACATGCCAGTAATACACACAATACTGAAAATCTGAAAAACAGAATAACACAAAGAAAAGAAATTTTTCTTTTTTTCTTTTTTCTTTTCTTTTGTCACTCTGCCACTCAGACTTGAGTGCAGTGGTGCAGTCTCAGCTCACTGCAATCTTTGCCTCCTGGGCTCATGTGATTCTCGTGCCTTGGCCTCCCGGGTAGCTGGGACTACAGGCATGCGCCACAGATGCCTAGCTAATTTTTGTATTTTTAGTTTATGGTTACTTTAAAGCTGTTTCACTATGTTGACCAGGCTGGCCTTGAATTCCTGACCTCAAGTGATCCTTCTGCCTCAGCCTCCCAAAGAGCTGGGATTACAGGCATGCATCACCACACCCAGCTAAAGAAAAGAAATTTTAAAATGACATGTAATGGTACCATATAAAGATAAAGAAGCATGTAAACAATATTTTAGTGTGCATATTTCCATTGTGTTTTTAAGTATGTTTATATACGAACATATGTATTTTAATCAAAAGCTATACTCTAACAGATTTATAGTCTACTTCTTTTATTTAGCAGTATACAATAGACATTTTTCATCTCAATAAATATTCTTTATTTTTTATTTTTATTTTTTTGAGACGGAGTTTCGTGCTTATTGCCCAGGCTGGAGTACAGTGGCATGATCTCAGCTCACTGCAACCTCTGCCTCCTGGGTTCAAGCAATTCTCCTGTCTCAGCCTCCCAAGTAGCTGGGATTATGGGCGCATGCCACCATGCTTGGCTAATTTTTGTATTTTTAGTAGAGACAGGGTTTCATTATATTGGTCAGGCTGATCTCGAACTCCTGACTGCAGGTGATTCATCCACCTCGGTCTCCCAAAGTGCTGGGATTATGGGCATGAGCCACTGCAGCCGGCCTATTTTTTATTATTTTTAGAGATAGGGTTTTGCCCTGTTGCCCAGGATGGAGTGCAGTGGCACTGTCAGAGCTCACTGTAGCCTCAAACTCCTGGGTTCAAGCGATCCTCCTGCCTCAGTCTCCTGAATAGGTAGGATTCCAGGCTCATGTCACCATACCCAGCTAATTTTATTTTTATTTTTTTGTACAGATGGAAGTCTCACTCTATTGCCCAGGCTGGTCTGAACCTCCAGGCCTCAATTAATCTTTCTACCCCAGACTCCCAAAATGTTAGTATTATAGGTATAAGCTACCATACCTGGCCTCAATAAATATTTGTACACTAACTTTTGATGATCATGTACTATTTTACTATTTCATTTAGGATTAAAATTGGCTACGTATATCACAGATTCTAAATTAATAATGATTTGAACAAAAGAGAATTAGAAGGGTAAGCTGTTTAGCGCTAGTACGGCAGTTCCGTTGTCATCAGGAGCTCATAATTATGTTTTTTTTCTCTACTATCCTATAATGTGGTTTGTATCCTCAAGATTACAATAAACCTATAAACCAGGATGGTAGCCAGGACCCCAGCAGTTTGCTATCTAGGAATGATAAAGATGTTAAGGGCAAAATAAGGAGTGCCTCTCAATTTAGCAAGCTTTCTTTAAAGAGTCTTCCTAGGTGTGCAGCCTTGTAACTACCACTTAAATCTCATTGGCTACATATAGCTGCAAGAGGGGCAGAGAAATATAGTCTTCTAGTCAGGTAAGTTGCCCAGATGAAATTGGAGTTCTGTTATTAAAAACAATAAGAGAATGCTGGGTGCAGTAGCTCACACCTATAATCACAGCACTTTGGGAGGCTGAGGCAGGAGGGTCTCTTGAGGCCTAGCTCAGTCCTAGGTACTGGGGTGGCTGAGGTGGGAGGATCCCTTGAGTCTTCGAGTTCGAGGCTGCAGTCAGCTATGATCATGCCACTGCACTATAGCCTGGTCAATAGAGACCCCATCTTTAAAAAAGAGAAAGAATAAAAGAATGGATATTGGATAGGGAACTAGCAGTCTTTGCCAAATACATCAGATAGATGCACATAATTACCTATTGTTGGACACTTGAATTGTTTCCAGGTTTTCAGTATTATTAAAAACACTGTGATAACATCCTTGTGCAGACATTTTTGCCTAATCTCTGATTATTTCCTTAGGATAAATTCCTGGAAGTGGAATTGCTGGGTCAAAGGGTATGGACATTTTTAAGGCTTTTGATACATATTGCCAAATTGCCTTCTAGAAAGGTTCAAACAATTTATACTCCCACCAGCAATGTTTGAGAGTGCCCTTTACCCCACCCTATACCCCTACCAACACTGGGTATTATCTGGTATACTTTTTAATATTTGCCATTTTGATAGTAAAAAAAAAAAAAGGTGTCTTATTTTAATTTGCATTTCTTTAATAGGAAGGTCGTTTTCATCAGTTTAATATTCACTTGCATTTCGTTCTTGAATTATCATTTCATATCCTTCACCCATTATTCTGCTGGAGGGTTTGTCTTTTTCTTATTGACTATCAAGGCTTTTTGTTTATTCACTGTATCAAGAGGATTGAAATTATTTTAAATGGAGTTTTCTGTGCCTGCTTATTGCCACAGTGGGTTTATGGTTACTTTAAAGCTGTTTTTCTGGAATATATGATCCAAAGATACTTTACTTGGCTTTCTGTTTGATCCCAGTGTTTTCATTAGCTAAATAATTATGCATATTCAACCAAGGTAAAAGCATTATTACTTTACTTACCTTGAATTATGTGCCTTAGACTAATTCAGTCTTTAAAGCCTAGATAATAAGACCTTGAAAAAAGCCTATATATTGCTTTGAATGGGCTTTGTAAAACTGTTCACTGATTTATTTATTGAATGTAAAATAAGTTATCAAATTCTTGGATAGACATCTGAAGAAAAAGAATCCATGCTTCAATACTTAAGTATTAAACTGATAGTCAATTACTTTAAAATTTCTATTCCTCTTTTCAAGGCCATTTGGATATGGTTCGCTTTCTACTTGAAGCTGGTGCAGATCAAGAGCACAAAACAGATGAGATGCACACTGCCTTAATGGAGGCCTGCATGGTAATTTTAAATTACACTCACTTGAGATTTTATGGGAAGAAAAGTTCATATGTGTTTAAGCCTTTGAGAGTTATCAATTGGTGTTGGGTTTATATAATTTTTTAACTCGATGCTAAATTAAACACAGTAAATTCTTGAATGCCTCTGCTTTTGGAAGAGAACAGTAAAGTATTTGGCCTTAGGATTGTTATTGATAAAACTTTAATTTTGGAGGTAATAGACATAGTTCTAGTGTTTTTATAGTTTCATATTAAAATCATATATAGCAAATTAACTTCAAAAATATATTGACTCAAACTATATGGATAGCCTATGAAACATTTAACTGTTTTTGTTTGTTTGTTTGTTTTTGTTTTTGTTGTTTTTTTTTGAGACAGAGTTTCGCTCTTGTACCCAGGCTGGAGTGCAATGGCATGATCTCGGCTCACTGCAACCTCCGCCTCCTGGGTTCAGGCAATTCTCCTGTCTCAGCCTCCTGAGTAGCTGGGATTACAGGCACGCATCACCATGCCCAGCTAATTTTTTGTGTTTTTAGAAGAGACGGGGTTTCACCTTGTTGACCAAGATGGTCGCGATCTCTTGACCTCGTGATCCACCCGCCTCGGCCTCCCAAAGTGCTGGGATTACAGGCTTGAGCCACCGCGCCTGGCCTGTTTTTTTTTTTTTTTTTTTTTTTTTAAGGATAATCTAGAATATTTTTTAATAACAAACCTTTTGCGTCACAGAGAATAATAATCACCTTTAGTGCTGTCAATCCAGAAATCCTTTTTCTACTTCTGTAAACACATATATATTATGCATATATGCATATCTAAAAGAGAGTGCAAATACAGAGAAACTCAACGCATTCTGATAAATACGTAAGACAGATTTAATGGCAAGAAAATTACCTGGAAATACAAATGTGTTTTTCAGATGTGTTTAAATAAGCTCATCATTACATATTTTAATTTCTATTTCGTTGACTATTGCTGTGTAACAAATCACTCAAAACATAGTGGCTTAATGCAGCAGCCACATATTATCTCTGTCTATTTTTTTTTTTTTTTTTTTTTTGAGACGAGTCTCACTCTGTTGCCTCGTCTGGAGTGCAGTGGTGTGACCTTAGCTCACTGCAACCTCCGCCTCCTAGGTTCAAGTGATTCTTATGCCTAAGCCTCCCAAGTAGATTCAAGTGATTTTCGTGCCTCAGCTCCCAAACCTCCCAGGTATATCTCACACAATCTTATGTCTCATATGATTCTGTTGGTTGATTGGGTGGTTTTTCTGTAGATCTCTCTCTCTCTTTTTTTTTTTTGAGACAGAGTTTCACTCTTGTTACCCAGGCTGGAGTGCAATGGCGCGATCTCAGCTCACCGCAACCTCCGCCTCCTGGGTTCAGGCAATTCTCCTGCCTCAGCCTCCTGAGTAGCTGGGATTACAGGCACAAGCCACCATGCCCAGCTGATTTTTTGTATTTTTAGTAGAGATGGGGTTTCAACATGTTGACCAGGATGGTCTCGATCTCTCGACCTCGTGATCCACCCGCCTCGGCCTCCCAAAGTGCTGGGATTACAGGCTTGAGCCACCGCGCCCGGCTTCTCTCTTTTTTTTTGAAGACAGACTCTCGTTCTGTTAACCCAGGCTAGAGTGCAGCGGCACTGTCATGGCTCACTACAGCCTGTATCCCCTGTACTCAAACAGTCCTCTCGCCTCAGCTTCCCAAGTACCTGAGACTAGAGGGACATGTCACCATGCCCAGCTTTTAAATTTTTCGTAGAGATGATATCTCACTATGTTGCCTAGGCTTTAAGAAAAGAGTTGTATTGGGAGGCCGAGGCGGGTGGATCACGAGGTCAAGAGATCGAGACCACCCTGGTCAACATGGTGAAACCCCCGTCTTTACTAAAAATAGAAAAAATTCGCTGGGCATGGTGGTGCGTGCCTGTAATCCCAGCTACTCAGGAGGCTGAGGGAGGAGAATTGCCTGAACCCAGGAGGCAGAGGTTGCGTGAGCCAAGATCATGCCATTGCACTCCAGCCTGGGTAACAAGAGCAAAACTCCATCTCAAAAAAAAAAAAAAGAAAAGAAAAAAGAGTTGTATGTATTTATTTACTTTTTTTTTTTTAACAATTCCTCTCTTAATATATGTACTGAAGATATGTTAGCAGAATCTATATAAAAAAAAAAAATCTTCAAACTTCAGCTGCGTGTGGTGGCTCATGCCTGTAATCCTAGCACTTTGAGAGGCTGAGGCAGGTGGATCACTTTAGGCCAGGAGTTCAAGACTAGCCTGGCCAACATGGTGAAACCCCATCTCTACTAAAAATACGAAACTTAGCCAGGCATAGTGGTGTGCACCTGTAATCTCAGCTACTTGGGAAGCTGAGACACGAGAATCACTTGAATTTGGGAGGTGGAGGTTGCAGTGAGCTGAGATCACACCACTGCACTCCAGCCTGGGTGACAGAGCAAGACTCTTTTTTTAAATAAAAAAAGAATTCAAGTAAATTCAAGTAAAACAATTTATTGAGAGCCTAGAGGAGATAGGCACAATAGCAATTCCGTGATCTGTAGACACTTAAAAATCCTTGTTTTCTTTTTTTTTTTTTTTTTTTTTTTTTTTTTGAGGTAGAGTTTCGCTCTTGTTACCCAGGCTGGAGTGCAATGGCGCGATCTCGGCTCACCGCAACCTCCGCCTCCTGGGTTCAGGCAATTCTCCTGCCTCAGCCTCCTGAGTAGCTGGGATTATAGGCACGCACCTCCATGCCCAGCTAATTTTTTGTATTTTTAGTAGAGATGGGGTTTCACCATGTTGACCAGGTTGGTCTCGATCTCTCGACCTCGTGATCCACCCGCCTCGGCCTCCCAAAGTGCTGGGATTACAGGCTTGAGCCACCGCGCCCGGCCAAAAATCCTTGTTTTCTTTTCGATTAGAAATACATTTCAACTACCAGATAACTCAGTACAGTAATTTGGTTAAAATTATTTTATTTTACATGTCTTTGAAGTATTAGTAAAACTAAAATTTTAATGTGAAGTCATCTGTTCTTGGCATTATATCAGAAGTGATTAAAGCTGGGCTAGTCATTTAGCTAAATATAATAAAAGTCTTGATGGATATTGAAATCTAACAATTAAGGTTTCTTTATTTAATTCTTTTTTGGTTTTGAGACAGGGTCTCTGTCACTTAGGCTGGAGTACAGTGGCATGATCTTGGCTCACTGAAACCTCTGCCTCCTGCGCTCAAACAGTCCTCCTGCCTCAGCCTCCCAAGTAGCTGTGGCTACAGGTGCACACCATTAGCTTAACTAATTTTTGTATTTTTTTGTAGAAACGTGGTTACACCCTGTTGCCCAGCGTGGCCTCGAACATCTGGGCTCAAGCTGTCAGCCTGCCTCCGCTTCCCAAAGTGGTGGGGTTACAAGTGTTAGCCACCATGCCCAGCCTTATTTCTTTAATAAAAGAACTACTAAACCTTATTCTTCTCCTCAGTATTTATTTTTCCTTAGCAACATTTTGGTCATTTTTGAAATATAGTACAACATAGCCTCTGACCTTATGTACCGCAACAAGCATTAAGACCCACATAAATCTGACATTAAGAATTTGAAATTAAAGAAGGATATTTATGGTGATAAGTAGAATTGATACCTACCATGAGAATATTTTATTGTTAATTGCCTTACTATCTATGCAGATAGGCCATGGTAAAAATTTTTTCCAAATGAATCTTTATTTTTACGTCTTTACCTCATTGCAACAAGGCATTGTGATTAGGAAAAATATAGGATAGTGTCAATCCAGAGAGGTTTATGTTGGTGACATAATCCCAAGTGGCAATGACTTCACATAATTTGTTGTGTTATTTTTTGACATGCCTTTGTTTCTGAAATAGATCTCATACAGTTTCTGCATTTGAATATGAAAACCTGAATTTGAGTATATGGCTATAGTTGACCTGGCAGTAGTATAACCTGGTTATTTTGAGGTCTTGTTGACTATAGATTTCAGTTTTTTGAACTTCAAAAAATACGGATATTTAAAATTATTTGGACTTGTGACTGTTAACGTCACCAAGTCTCATTCTTTTGGAGAATTTTGGGCTTGCTCAAAAGTTGGTTAAAATAATTTAAAAAATATTTTAAAACAATATTGATCTTTTGATAAAGCTCAGATAAGCATGATAATATATATGCTGTCTATGCTAAATCTTCTAATCTTGTCTTTTTTTCTTCCTGTCATTTTCCAATCTCTTGCTTTCTTCTCTCCCACTTAAAAAATCTCAAAACAAAAAATTTATCTCCTTGTTTTACTTCTGAAAATCTGCAGGATGGACATGTGGAGGTGGCACGTTTGCTTTTGGATAGTGGTGCTCAAGTGAACATGCCTGCAGATTCATTTGAATCTCCATTGACGCTAGCTGCCTGTGGAGGACATGTTGAATTGGCAGCTCTACTTATTGAAAGGGGAGCAAATCTTGAAGAAGTTAATGATGAAGGATACACTCCCTTGATGGAAGCTGCTCGGGAAGGACATGAAGAGATGGTGGCACTACTCTTAGCACAAGGTAAAGCAGTTTTATTTCTTTTGGAAAAGTCAGTTTTCTTTAGATGTTTCATGTTAGTACTGGTTTAGTTTACTGCAACGCATGCGTGCGTGCGCGTGTGTGTGTGTGTGTGTGTGTGTGTGTGTGTGTGTATTTTGCATTGATGATAATTTCTGAACGCTCTGGAGGGCCATAGAAGTAGAGAAGGCAGAGATGATTATCACAATTCAGAAAAATAGTATCTTTATTATAAGTCTCTTGCAACTAGTTTTATTTATTTTTATACTTTCCTAGGAGCAAATATAAATGCCCAGACAGAAGAAACTCAAGAAACTGCTCTAACTTTGGCTTGCTGTGGAGGATTTTCTGAAGTTGCAGACTTTCTGATTAAGGCAGGGGCTGATATAGAACTTGGCTGCTCCACACCTCTGATGGAGGCATCTCAGGAGGGACACCTGGAGTTGGTTAAATATTTGCTGGCTTCTGGTATGTGGCTTTAAAATGCCTTATTGCTCAGAAAGACATATACAGTAATAGTTTACTTATTGGAATCTAAAAATGTTGAGCTCGTAGGTTACCAGAGTGTGGGAATGAGGGTGGGAGGAGGATACACAAGGAAAGGGGAATCGTTGATCAAAGGGTACAGAGTTTCACTTAGATAGGTGGAGTAAGTTTTAATGATATATTGCATAGCAAGGTCACTATAGTTGACAATAATGTATATCTCAAAATTGCTGAAAGAGTAGGTTTAAATGTTCTCACTACAAATAAATATGTGAGGCGATGAATGTTTATTAGCTTGATCTAATCATTATACAACATATACATATATCACATTGTACCCCATCAATATATACAATTATTATTTGTCAGTTAAAAATAAAACGAATAAAAATTTAAAAATTTAAAATACCTTTTAGAAAAAGACTTACATTGCTTTCTTAACTTTAACGATTAACTGTTAACTGTTTCATTTCTGTAAGAGTTGAAAGACAGCTCCATAATTTAACTGGTCTTACATTCTTTAGTCTTTAAAACTCATTTTTAAAAAGATTTCATCCTGTTACTAACGTTTACATAGTGACCATAAGGCATCTTGTTTACCTTCTTTTTCCATTTAATTGTTCGCGGCTTGTGGTAGGGAGATGTTACTTTCTCCTAGTATCTGTTAATAAGAGGTGGGGATGATGACATTATTGAGGGTATAATTTGGTACCTTTAAGTCTGTTCATTTCTTGACATTTTTAAGTCCTCTGAAAAAAGAGGGAATTAATTTTTTTTGCAGAGTACTAATTTTAAAAATATTTTCACCTTATTAATTCTTAAGCTGTGGTAAACAGTACTTTTACATAGAATATTTATAGTTTTGGCTGGGCGTGGTGGCTCACTCTTGTAATGCCAGCACTTTGGGAGGCCAAGGCGGGCAGATCACGGGGTCAGGAGTTCAAGACCAGCCTGGCCAACATAGTGAAACCCCGTCTCTACTAAAAATACAAAGGAAATTAGCCTGGCGTGGTGGCAGGTGCCTGTAGTTCCAGCTACTTGGGAGGCTGAGGCAGGAGAATTGCTTGAACCTGGGAGGCAGAGTTTGCAGTGAGCCGAGATCCTGCCATTGCACTCCAGACTGGGCAACAAAAGCAAAACTCCATCTCAAAAAAAAAAATTTGTAGTTTTATAGAACATATTAAAAAAAAAATTAGTCCCAACAGATGTAAATATATGCTTTGAAAGTAATAGTAGGATTTTTCTTTTCTTCCAGGTCTGATATATTGTTTAAAATTTAATATATAGAAAAGTTAATATGTAAAAGAAAATAAAATATTTAGCAAAATTTTATTCATCCTTTTGGGCTTTCATTGTTAACATTAATTTTAATATAGCTCAACCTCAGTTTTTTCTTTGAATTATTATTGAAATAATTTGTTAAACCAGACTTTTTTTTACGACAGTGTTGTGCTTTGTCACCCAGGCTGGAGTATAGTGGCGTGAATATGTTCCATTGCAACCTTAGCCTCCTGGGCTAAAGTGATCTTCAGCCTCAGCCTCAAAGTAGCTGGGACTATAGGCGTGTACCAGCATGCCTGGCTAAGTTTTATATTTTTTTTAAAGAAGAGGTTTCGCCATGTTGCCAAGGCTGGTCTGAAACTCCTGGGCTCGAGCAGTCCTTCTGCCTCAGCCTCTCAAAGTGCTAGGGTTACAGGTGTGAACTACCACTCCTGGCCTTAAACCAGATTGTGAATGGTTTGGATGATTAGATTTGGACAAACCAATCATAAAAGCTGACTTCTTTCCTGAATCAAATACTGCTAATCACTCTAACTAGTGTATATATTCAGTCATTTTTCCCCTGTCATTTTTAGTAAGTGTGTCCTATTCAAGTGTCTTTCTCTGCTAGTGGTTATCTTTGTCCATTCTTCTCTTATCCGTCTCTTAAGCTAAAGTCATGCTATTGTAACATGTTTTTAAAAGAAGGAATAAATGTCTATTAAGAAATTCTTGAATACCAGACATTTTGCTCAGCTTTTGTGTTATCTCTATTAATTGCCACTGGTTCCTGTGTAGTGAGTAATATTAAACACATTCTTTTTTTTTTTTTTTTTTTTTTTTTTTTTTTTTTTTTTGAGACAGAGTTTCGCTCTTGTTACCCAGGCTGGAGTGCAATGGCGCGATCTTGGCTCACCGCAACCTCCACCTCCTGGGCTCAGGCAATTCTCCTGCCTCAGCCTCCTGAGTAGCTGGGATTACAGGCACGCGCCACCATGCCCAGCTAATTTTTTGTATCTTTAGTAGAGACGGGGTTTCACCATGTTGACCAGGATGGTCTCGATCTCTCGACCTTGTGATCCACCCGCCTCAGCCTCCCAAAGTGCTGGGATTACAGGCTTGAGCCACCGCGCCCGGCTTAAACACATTCTTATAGATGAGGGAACTGATGCACAGTGATGTTATATAACTAACTCCCTTTAAGGTAACCAAGCTAATAGGGACAGAGCCAGCATTGAAACTTAGAACTCTTGACATTGTTTTTTCTACCACATTACCATTGATATAGCTCCTTTTGCTTATTTGAAGTAGGTAGCTCGAAGAACTATCCCAGGGTTTGAGAATCACTTTTATGTGATCACTACCTAAAGGTGTTTTTTTTCTCCCCAGTTTTAAGTGTGATTTATTTACACACTATAAGAAACTCTTCTTATAGTGTGGCACTAAAGAAAACTCATATAAGGGCTATAAAATTAAAACAAATTTACCAACCTTTTTGTTACGGCATTTTTTTCAAACATATGGAGAATGTAGTATTTGAGATCCTAAGAATCTATCACCCAGTTAGTGTTTTAACATGAATGTCTAATTCATGGCCAATCTTACTTCATTTGTACTTCCTTCACATTCCTGTTCTTATAAAATTATTTTTATTTAAAGAAACATTTTTTAACTTTTTATTTTTAAAAATTAAAAATTAATGGTTAAAAGTGTTCTTTTATAAAAGTGTTAATATTCAGTATTTAAAAGATAATTTAAAAAATAACCACAATTGAATTTTCCTACCTAAAAAATTTTAATGAGTTTCTTAGCAAATATCCAAGCCATTTTCATATTTCTCTGATAGTTTTATAAATCTGTATGTGTGTATTTGGTGACTTGTTTGAATTAGGATTCAAATAAGATTCATACAATCACTATTAATCATTATGTCTCTTACATCTCTTGAATTGATGGGCTACATTTCATTTTTCTTATCATTTTTCTTGGAATTTTTGGTTGAGGAAATGGAATGCTTGTCCTTTAGGCTTCCCAGAGCATAGATTTTGCTGATGATATCCCCATGATTTTATTTAACTTGTTTTTCTATCCTTTGGATTTTCTATAAATTAGCAGTTAGCTCTAGAGACTTGATTGTATTCAGGTCTGACTTTTTTGTTTTTTAATGGGACTACTTCATAGGTAGTATTTGTATACTTTCTTCCGGAGGTAATAACCATATAATTGTCTCTCTTCTTGTGATATTAGCCATTGATGAGCATTGCTTAGATCCATTAATTCATTAGGGGTTACAAAGAGGTGATATTCTAAGTTCTTTTATTCTGTCTTTTTATTTCTTCCTTGAATATTTATAAAGAGAAACTTCCCCTCAACGATTTGGCCTTAAATTAAGTACAAATTATCATATAGGAATGGGAAGAAAAATGTTTGTCTTTTTTTTTCCCCTTTATCTACCAGTTTCTGAAGTGATGAGGCAGCCCCTTAGCATCTTTCAAAGGTGATCAGTCAAGTGCTTTTTTGTTTAGTTTTGTTTTGAAACAGACTCTTGTTCTGTTACCCAGGCTGGAATGCAGTGGTATGATCGTAGCTCACTGAAACTTCAAGCACCTGGACTCAGGGGATCTTCCTGCCTTAGCCTCCCAAGTAGCTGGGACTACAGACATGCACCACCGTGCCTCGCTGATTTATTTTTTAATTTTTTTGTAGAGGTGGGATCTTGCTTGTTGCATAGGCTGATCTTGAAGTCTTGGCCTCAAGCAGTCCTCTCACTTTGGCTTCCCAAAGCACTGGGATTACAAGTATGAGCCACTATGCCTGGCCCTGTTGTTTTGTTTTTTATTTGAATATAATTTTGAACTTTTGGATTTAAATATGTAAGATGGCTTTTACTTCATCACTGTCATTATTCTTTTTGATGCAAAAATCATCAGAAGATGGGACAGTCTGAATATCTTTGATCAATAAGGTTAGCGCCTAAATCCTTTTGTCATGACTTCATTGTAGTCTCTGATAGTTTTCTTGCTTCCTGATACGGCAAGGATTTTCCAGGCTCATCTTATACAGTTCCTGCTCCTGCCTTGGGATCAGTCATTTTTCTAAGAAACTCTAATTTCATTTAGTAGTAAATAGTACTTAGAGACCATGATCTAAGCTAGAGATGCTATTTCTGCTTAGTCTACTACCATTGTGTCTAGGCTGTAATTGGTCACGGCTGGGAAATATGTATTTTTCTTATAGATTAAATATATCAGGAATTCATTGGTCACCTTCGAAGTATGCTAAGGGACGATCTCCATACTTCCAATTCAGAACCACAAGGTTTTGTTTTGTTTTGTTTTTGAGACTGAGTCTTGCTCTGTTGCCCAGGCTGGAGTGCAGTGGTATGATGTGAGCTCACTGTAATCTCCGCCTACTGGGCTCAAGTGATTCTCCCACCTCAGCCTCCCAAGTGGCTGGGACTACAGGCATGTGCCTTTTTTTTTTTTTTTGGTTGAGACAGGGTTTCACCATGTTGCCCAGGTTAATCTCAAACTCCTGGGCTCAAGTGATCCACTAGGCCTGGCCAGAACAAGATTTTTACTTAAGTTCAACAATCTTATATCTCACCCGAGGTTGGGAGTTCAAGACCAGTCTGGGCAACATGGTGAAACCCCATCTCTACTACAAATACAAAAATTAGCCAGGCGTGGTGGCATGTGCCTGTGATCCCAGCTGCTCGAGAGGCTGAGCCACAAGAATTACTTGAACCCAGGAGGCGGAGGTTGCAGTGAGCTAAGAGATCATGCCACTGCAATCCAGCCTGGGCAACAGAGTGAGACTGTTTCAAAAAGAAAAAAAAATAAAGATCTTTTATCTGTGTTTCTCACCAGGAGGTGGAGGTTCCAGTGAGCTGAGATCATGCCACTGCACTCCAACCTGGGCAACAAAGTGAGACTGTGTCTCAGAAAAAAAAAAAAAATTTATTGTATCTATGTTTTCTCTTAACCATGCCCAAAATTTCTGTTCTCACGAAATAATTGCTCATTTGATATATACTGTAATATCCATAGAATTCTCTCTAAATACAAACAAGAAGTACCACCAATATAATTTCTGAAAAATGCTTAATATTTTTTGGTTTTGCAGTTCTTTTATTCCTTAGGGTATACTTACTAGTGATATATGGGCAAATTAGTGTGTTTTAAAATTACTTGGTTTCATTATTTTCTGTGTGGCTCAAAGTATTTTTATAAAGCATTTTTAAAGGAATACTAGTATACTTAAATACATTTTGATATTTTAAAATGCATTTTGATATTTTCATTTTTGAATTCTTCAGTTTCACTAGATTGCAAAATTGGACTATCTAATAGAATTTTACAGTTCACAAAGTAAATGTATGCTTTTCTGTTTGCTAGGCGCTAATGTGCATGCTACAACAGCAACAGGAGACACAGCCTTAACCTATGCTTGTGAAAATGGACATACGGATGTTGCAGATGTTTTACTTCAAGCAGGGGCCGATTTAGTAAGATATTTTAAATTTCAAATATTTTTGCGTGAATGTTAATATCCATACATACTTAATGTTTAAAATATACTAGTAAAGATCAAGTAGTTTACATACTTTGTATACAATAACTTTAAAAAAAAAAAACTTGGCTACCTGTTCTAGTTACCATATGTATTAAATGTATTTGAAAATACTTAGTGTTGAATAGGGCATAATGTTTCTTTTCCTAGGTAAAACTATTAGTCTGTTTCTTCCTTTCACTGCACCCGCATTTGACATTCCTCTGCTTTTTAAACTGCCCTTTGTTAGACACATCATAAATTCAATGATATGTTTACAGAATAGAGTAATAAGTCAAGTATTTTGAGTGATTTCTTATTATTTTAATTGACACATGATAATTGAACATATTAATGGGGTACAGAGCGATGTTTCCATGATGTATATAATGTGTAATGATCAGTAATCAGAGTAATTAGTACATCTATCACCACTTTGAGTTATTTCTGTTGTTTCTTTTATTAGACATTTAAAAATAAAGCTACTGTTGTTAATCATCCCCCTAGTAGATTACTACAAATTCTGTTCTTTTTATGTTTTCTGTTTTGGCTTTTCAAAAGTTCAAAATAGATGGGAAGTTCATATGTGTAATAATCTATCTGTAAGTAATATTCCCTTGCTGAAATGTGTCCTTTGCCTAACTTTGATTTTGTGAGAGTACTTTAAACTGCTTTCTGGAGTTTTTCCCAGAATTCTCTTACATATTTCTTAAAAACCTATGTGTGACATACATAGCTGTAAATGTTATAGAGAATTAGATTTCTTAGTTTTGCTTATTTAGAAAAAACTCTGAAAGTATTGCCTTTTAAATCATTTCCAATATTGCCTTTTAAATCATCTCCAATCAGGTATCCAATTTACTTGGATACCTTAGGACATTGTTGGAAAATAATTATTGACCAAAATAAATGTATAGTATGATTATGCTATTTATTATCATTTCTAATAATACTAAATACTATAATGATAACACTATCATTCATTCTTATTAATTAGGACCTGCCCTATCAGTTACAATTTTTGGGAGGTACACTTTTTGTCTGAGAATTATGACAGCAGGATACGTTAAGTATGTCTTAGTCTTTTGACTTCTTCTTGTATCTTTTTCCTTTTTTAGAGTTGCCTTGGGTCATCTATAAAAATTAGCAATTGAAGTTCTTTCTTCATTCAAAATAAAGAAATAGAGTAGAACTTAAAAGCTTCGATAATATAAGCAAGATTTAATACTCTTATCCTCTGAATTCTTATCTGGATTTTTTCTTCCTTGTATTTTCTACAACAAAGTCACTCTCTTAACCTGTTGGGAGTTCTGCTAAAAAATTAAATAGGATTGGGTGCAGTGGCTCATGCCTGTAATCCCAGCACTTTGGGAGGCCGAGGTGGGTGGATCTACCTGAGGTCAGCAGTACGAGACCAGCCTGACTAACATGGTAAAACCCTATCTCTACTAAATACAGAAAAATTAGTCAGGTGTGATGGCACATGCCTGTAATCCCAGATACTTGGGAGGCTGAGGCAGGAGAATCACTTGAACCCAGGAGGTGGAGGTTGCAGTGAGTCTAGATTGTGCCATTGCACTCCAGCCTGGGAACAAGAGTGAAAAACGCCATCTAAAAAAAAAAGAAAAAGAAAAAAAAATGGGCCGTGTGTAGTGGCTCATGCCTGTAATCCAAGCACTTTGGAGGCCAAGGCGGGCGGATCACCTGAAGTCAGGAGTTCAAGACCAGCCTGACCAACATGGTAAAACCCCATCTTTAAAAAAAAAAAAAAAAAAAAGGAACTATCTGGTAAATGTACTCTAATGTATAACAAAACCATACTGATTGTGACTGAGTTAAAAACATGTGATATTTTAAAATATTTATTTATTTATTTATTTTTGAGACAGAGTCTTGTTCTGTTGCCAGGCACCAGGCTGGAGTGCAGTGGCTCAATTTTGGCTCACTGCAATGTCCGCCTCCTGGGTTCAAGCAATTCTTCTGCCTCAGCGTCCCAAGTAGCTGGAACTACAGGTGCACGCCACCACGCCCAGCTAATTTTTGTATGTTTTAGTAGAGATGGGGTTTCACCATGTTGGCCAGGATGGTCTTGATCTCTTGACCTTGTGATCCTCCCACCTTGGCCTTCCAAAGTGCTGGGATTACAGGCGTGAGCCACCGCGCCTGGCCAGGCTGGTCTTGAACTCCTGACCTCAAGTGATCCACTCACCTCAGCTTCCCAAAGTGCTGGGATTAGAGGCGTGAGCCACCACGCCCAGCCTGAGCCTAGGGGAGTGGGGTGTGGCCAAAAAAAAAAAATGTATGTATATATAGCCTATTCCAGGCTTTTGCTATCTATGGACTGATAAATTAATTTTAATACTATTTCTTTTCCTCATTATAGAAAGCAATACTGTTCTTCATATAAAATGTGGAAATGCTGGTCATGTAGTCCTAGATACTAAGGAGGCTGAGTCAGGAGGATTGCATGAGCCCAGGAGTTCAGGGCTGCATTGCACAATGGTCATGCCTGTGAATAGCCACTGTATGCCAGCCTGAGCAACATAGTGAGACACTTCTCTTAAAAAAAAATTTTTTTTTGAAACCAAGTCTCACTCTGTCACCCTGGCTGGAGTGCAATGGCATGATCTCAGCTCACTGCAACCTCTTGCCTCCGGGTTCAAGTGATTCTGCTGCCTCAGCCTCCCGAGTAGCTGGGACTACAGGTGCATGCCACTACGCCCAGCTAATTTTTTGTATTTTTAGTAGAGACAGGGTTTCACTTTGTTGGCCAGGCTGGTCTTGAACTCCTGACCTTGTGATCCACCCACCTTGGCCTCCCAAAACGCTGGGATTATAGGCGTGAGCTACCACTCTCAGCCAAAAAAAAAATTTTTTTTTGTTCTCACATTGCTATAAAGGAAAAAAAAATTTTTTTAAGAGAAAAAGAAAATGTGAAGAGTATAGAAAAGAACAATAATTTTTATATTTAAAACCTATGAATATTTGTGAGTAAAATTTGTCACAGTAAAAAAATATAAAATCTATAAATAAATTTTATAATTTCAGACTTTATCGTAGGCCAGAGGAAAGAAAAAGTTCTAGTCAAAAACAGGGAAACCTCAGAGAGTCCCTGAGTCCTGAGAAAAAGTGATTGATATTTCTTATTAACTTTAACTTACAAGGCAGTACCATCTTGTCCTCCATTCTTTGCTGCTATCTTCTGATACCTGCTTTGGGCTATAATAATTTTCCCCAGCAGTTTACATATAGAGGAGTGTCTACTCCCATCGCATGCAGTAGAGATGTATTTCATTTCTGGCATCTCATAGGTGTGTTCTTGATGTTTAAGTGTACTAATTTTTTTTTTTTTTTTTTTTTTTTTTGATGTGGAGTCTGGCTCTATTGCTCAGGCTGGAGTACAGTGGCACCGTCTCAGCTCACTGCAGTTGCAGTCTCCACCTGCTGGGTTCAAACTGCTCTCCTGCCTTAGCCTCAAGAGTAGCTAGGATTACAGGTGTGCGCCACCATGCCTGGTTAATTGTTGTATTTTTAGTAGAGATGGAGTTTCACAGTGTTGGCTAGGCTGGTCTTAAACCTGACCTCAGGTGATCTACCCACCTCAGCATCCTAAAGTGCTCAGGTTACAGGTATGAGCCACTGCGCCTGGCCATATGTTCTAATTCTTTACAAGATTTCTTTTGTTGGCTGATTGAGAAGCTTTATTTTTTGGAAATTCCTTTTACCCTCAGTTTTAAATCAGAATGTACAAATCAGTCTTTGGAACACAATCTGGATCAACCTCTGTGCTTTGTTAGATTATAATGCTTACCTTTTGCCATAATTTTATTGTTTTTGATAGTATACTTTTATTTTTAAAGGAGATTAAAAACCGTTGTTTCCCATTCTATAGAATATTCTGCATTAGAATCAGTTCAGATATTGATTATGATTTAAAATATTTTAATGCAGCAATTCCGTTTTCTTGTGTTGTTTCCTGAGGTGAAATTGAGAAGTTTTAAGACTTTTCATTCTAAAGTGTAGTAGGGCTGGGCACAGTGGCTCAGGCTGTAATCCCAGCACTTTGGGAGGATGAGGTGGGCAGATCACGAGGTCAGGAGTTCGAGACCAACCTGGCCAACATGGTGAAACCCCATCTCTACTAAAGATAGAAAAAGTTAGCTGGATGTAGTGTCATGTACCTATCATTTCAGCTACTTGGGAGGCTTAGGCAGGAGAATCGTTTGAACCCAGGAGGCGGAGGTTGCAGTGAGCCCAGATCACACCATTGCATTTGGGTGATGGGACGAGACTCCGTCTCAGAAAAAAAAAAAAATAGTGTTTTATCACTGACTTTCTTCCCTAACCATAAAGTAAGCTCTCTGACCTTTGTTGGTTTCTTTGGACTGTATTCTGCTGACTGAATGAACTATATTGGACATTTTCAGAAAATAGTTAAGCAATTGGAAACTAGGTAATTTAGACATAGATACATTAATATTCTGTAGTTCTTCCTGGAACTTATTTCCTTTAAAATAAGATTTGATATGGACCTCCCTTAATAGAAAGAAAAATATCTTCAGGATCAGTTTACTATCTATGTTAAATCTTATAAGAAGAAAATGTAGACTAAGTCCTCTTTTATGAGGTTTTTAAAAAAATTTAAAGAATATGTTGTATAACTCTCTAGACACTTCTGTATACCCAAAATACATATATATGATATAACATCTTTCTGTATTCCAATAGATTTCTCATTCTTTTTCATAGGTACCCAGTGTTCTGTATAATTTATTAATTATCTACTCGTAAACACCTGAGTTAACAGTTTTTAAATATTACAAATGGTGCTGCAGTAAATATTGCTAGGCATATTTATGTATCCTTGCTACTTTTGTGAATATATGTCATAGGGATAAATTCCTAGAAGTGAAATTGCTGATTATAAGGAAATATTTGACTAAAATTTTATTGTTTAGGAAGGTCCGCATCTCAAATTTCGATAACTGTTGTCAAACTGTTCAAAAATGCTAAACCAGTCTATATCTCTGTAAACAATTGAGCCCTCCTGACTCTCCCATATTCTCACAAATGTAAATCTTTCTCCCCTCCCTTTTTCCCTCCCTCCCTTCTTCCTTTTTTTCTTTTTTAAAACTGTTTTATTTTCTAATTTCTGATCACAGATCCTATGTTTGCATTACCTACAAAAATCTTCTTGCCTGGTGCAGTAGCTCGTGTCTATAATCCCAGCTCTTTGGGAGGCCAAGGTGGGCAGATTGCTTGAGCCCAGGAGTTTAAGACCATCCTGGCCAACATGGTGAAACCCCTTCTCTACCAAAAAAAAAAAAAAAATTATCAGGTGTGGTTGTGTGTGCCTGTAGTCCCAGCTACTCAGGAGGCTAAGGTGGATTGCTTGAGCCCAGGAGGCAGAGGTTGTAGTAAACTGAGATTGCATTACTGCACTCCAGCTGGGGCAATAGAGGGAGACCCCATTTCAAAAACAGCAACAATAACAACATAGTGTGCTACAATTAGCCCTATTAATTGTTCCCAAAGCTTTGGTGAACTGTAGAAAACACAGGAATAAAATTACTTTCTGGAAGTGTGTGAAGACACCATTTACAAATAGATTTTTAAAAATCAAATATTTAGTCAGCATCTATTGACTTCATTCTGAAGGACATGGAGAGTAATACATCTTCCACCACAGAATTTTCATGAGTTATTTTAATATTCTCCTGGTTATACATTTACATTCTGATTTATGACCCTGTTTCTCATAGTTATTTAAATATATATGTGTGTATATATGTATATATAATATTTAAGTGGATTCAGTTTGTACATTACTAGTCTTTCTTTCTGTATAGCTTCATGATTCCTGAGTTCTCAACTTGACTTATCTGTTGGCTGGCTAGTATTAATATTTTGGTTTGAATTTATTCTCCCCCTCAAAAAAAGAGTTAATAGGTTCTTGCATATTTTAGAATACTGTATATTGTATTTACAAATGAATGTAGCTCATGCATGAAATTATTGAATCACTTGTTCTTTCCCCTCAAAATTTAAAACCCACTATATTAGTGTCTTCTGGTACTGAATATTGCCAATGCCTGCTAGATTATTCCCCATTATATGTAAGTGACTCTTTTTTCTGTCTGGATTATCATAAGATTCTTTCATTATACTTAAACATCTGTGATTTCATCAGGATATATCTTGTGTTAATTATCCTATATTAATTTTTCTTGGGAAATAGTGAATACTTTCTGTCTGAAGATTTTAATAAGTCGTCTTTAATAAGCTATTATCGTCTTTTATTTTTTTAATTTTTATTTTTTTAGTGGCCACTGTGGGGTAATACTTTCTTTTTTTAACAGAAGATTTTTTTTCTGCTGTGTTTTTGACGATTTGTTTTTCTATTCTATTAATGTCCTTTAAGATACTTACTATTTGGCCGGGCGTGGTGGCTCAAACCTTTAGTCCCAGCACTTTGGGAGGCCAAGGCGGGTGGATCACGAGGTCAAGAGATCGAGACCATCCTGGTCAACATGGTGAAACCCTGTCTCTACTAAAAATACAAAAAATTATCTGGGCATGGTGGCGCATACCTGTAATCCCAGCTACTCGGGAGGCTGAGGCAGGAGAATTGCCTGAACCCAGGAGGTGGAGGTTGTGGTGAGCCGAGATCACGCCATTGCACTCCAGCCTGGGTAACAAGAGTGAAACTCCGTCTTAAAAAAAAAAAAAAAGATATTTACTATTCATATGTATGGTCTCCCTCATCTCCCTTTTTGTATTTGTATTGTCTTTATGTCTATTATATTTCTTTGTCCTTTTCTTCCGCATTGTTTTTTAAGCCTGTTTGTTATCCAGGTCACTATTTTTTTTTTTTTCTGTATACCTGTGTTTGCTTTTTTTTTTTTTTTTTTCTTTTTTAAAAGAGATGGGGTCTTGCTCTGTCCCTCACGCTGGAGTGCAGTGGTATGATCATAGCTCACTATAGCCTTGACCTCTCAGGCTCAAGCAATCCTCCCACTTCAGCCTCCTGAGTAGTTGGAACTACAGGCACACATTACCACACCCAGCTAATTTTTTTTATTTTTATGTTTTGTAGAGACGGGATTTCACCGTGTTGCCCAGGCTAGTCCTGAACTCCTGGGCTCAAGCGATCTGTCCACCTTGGCCTTCCAAGTTACTGGGATTACAAGTGTGAGCCACCATGACCTGCCTGTTTCTACTTCTAATGTGGTTTTCATGGCTTCACTGTTACAGGTCCCTTAATCTGCAAAGCTTGGGACCAGAAGTGTTTTGGATTTTGAATTTTTTTTTTTTTTATATTTGCAGAATATATACCCACTGAGCATTCCTAATCTGTAAATCCAAAATCTGAAATGATCCATGAGCATTTCTTTTCAGTGTCATGTCAGTCAAAAAGTTTCACATTTAGGAGCATTTCATATTTCAAGTTTTTGGATTAGTGATGCTCACCCTGTATTTAGTTTCTTCTGTTCTTCTAGCTCACTTTCCAGTCTTTTGTTATATCACTTTGTTCAGCTATTTAAGTAAAGATCCCTGTTCTCTTTAATTTATTTGAAGATAATGGGGAATATTTTACTAAAATTTTATTGTTTGTTTGTAGGAACTTCTTGATAGGTTCCATGTTGGATACTTTGTGCTTATTATTCGTATTTGAATGGGGCTTGCTATTTATTGAAATATGAGGTGGGGTGGCAGGGAAGAGGAAGTATGCCTTAACAGTTAGCTTTTTCAAATCATATAGTTGTCTGGAGATACTTTCTTACTGAATCTATACCATAAGAGCATGCACTCTCCTAGGGTAAGAACATCATGTAGGTAGGAAATTGGAATGACTTACAATGAATCCTCTAGGCTACATTTCTTTATTTGGAGACTTAGTTGACCCTGGTCAATGACTGAAAAGCTTATTACTGTTTTCTGAGTTTCCCTGTCTCACCTTTGGATAGTTTCTCTCTTTTGTTAAGAGTCTAGATTAGAGAAAATACAAACATTCCTTCACTCGAGTTCTTTGAAGGTTTTTGTTTTAGTTGAAAAGTATAAACCCTAATTACATTTATAATGAGGGGAAAAGCTGTTTAACTATTTATCGTACAGTGTTTTCCTCCATCTTTGCAGCTTCTGATATTCCCAAATCTCTTGATTTCATTATTTTCTTTGGTTAGATATTTTTTAATGTTGCTCTGTTTTTGTGGCTTTAGTTGTATTTTGAGACAAAGGCATGAATTTAAATAATTCTGCAAAAATATTTCTACATATATTAAGGTTTATGTTAAAGGTTTTTTTTTTTTTTTTTTTTGGTAAAAAACCATATTACCATCCTCTTAAAAAATTTATACGCTGCTCCTAATATTATGGTCTCTACAGATGAGAGTCTTTTTAGTTGAAGATCCTGAGTTAACAAAGCCCAGCATCTCAAGTATCAGTCACAAGGTCTTCATGGCCAAATGTGATTTTCATTTTTGGAATAAGATCCGTGAGTTCTTCTTTTTCCTTTCACAGGACAAGCAGGAGGACATGAAGACTATTTTGGAGGGCATAGATCCGGCCAAGCATCAGGTGAGGGTGGCCTTTGATGCTTGTAAGCTACTACATAAAGAATAGATGTTGTAGGTAACCAGAACTCTGGATATCTGATTCCAGCCAAGAAGTTCCAGGACCCTGCTGGGTGACAAAGGAAATCTTCTTCAATTAAAAAAGATTATGAAGTCCCAATAAAAAGAGATTTGTATTACTGGTAGTTTGTTTCCTTAGTCTTCTTTCTAAGTGGTATTCCTAAAGAAAAAAAAAAATCTCTTAGGTGAAAATATATTTTCTTATTCAGATAGTTCCTTTGCATTCTCCTTTGCTGGGAGAGTTAGTATACTGCAGAGAGAAAGTCTCAGTAATAAAGTTTTTTGATTCAACTTTGTTCATCAAAAATCTGAAATTCAGACTTAGAGTGATATTAATATATTGGATTGTTTTAAAAATAATCCTCAAACAAAAAATTGAGTTTAGTGAAACATTTACTTTATCGCTTATGCCCTAATTTCTATAAACTAGAAGTTTAAAATTTTCTTCTTAAAATTGTCTCCTATTATCTCATTCTGAAATTGGTTTTTTAGAAGGTGGATATTTTTTTTTTTTTTTCTTTTTTTCTTTTTTTTTGAGACGAAGTTTTACTCTTGCCCAGGCTGGAGTGCAGTGGCACAATCTTGGCTCACTGCAACCTCCACCTCCCAGGTTCAGGTAATTCTCCTGCCTCAGCCTCCTAAGTAGCTGGGATCACAGTCGTGCGCCACCACACCCAGCTAATTTTTGTATTTTTAGTAGAGATGGGGTTTCACCATGTTAGTCAGGCTGATCTCGAACGCCTCACCTCGTGATCTGCCCTCCTCGGCATCTCAAAAGTGCTGGGATTACAGGTGTGAGCCACTGCGCCCAGCGAAGGTGGATATTTTTTCATAGGAAACATTTCTTTTGGAAAAAAATGTGAAGTTTGTGCCCAGTGGTTTTAAAAGTCAAAAAAAATTAATATCCATGATAATCCAGAGATTTATTTAAAGTCAGGAGCAGTTTTTAATAATTTAAAGTTAGGAATGAATTGTGATTGGATCACAAATAACTTAGGCCATCTAAATTTCTTAATACTAAATCCCTCTTAATCATGACGCTTATTAAGTGTCTTTATCATTGGCTTATTAAATACGAAGCTGTTTTATTTATTCTGTTTGGGTTTTTTTATTTCTTTTCTTTGAGACAGGGTTTTACTCTGTTGCTCAGGCTGGAATGCAGTGGCACACTCTCAGTTCACTGCAGCCTCCCCATCCGGAGCTCAAATGATCTTCCTTCATTAGCTTCCAAAGTAGCTGGGACTACAGGCGTGTGCCACCATGCCCAACTAATTTTTTTTTTATTTTTGTAGAGATGAGGTCTCGCTGTACTGTCCAGGCTGGGTATATTTATTATATTTTGAAGTAAATAAGTAAGTTTGTTTCACAAAATATGGTGTGAACATGTGAGCTTCTACTCAGTTTGCATGATATTACAGGCACCTATCAAGAGTATAAAGCTGAGTGTTATTTCCGATAAAAGTAATTCTTTTTCCCTGGATTTGTTAGAGGAAGTGTAATTGTCAGTCTTTCTAGCTGCAAGTCTCAAAACTTGGGATTTTTTAAAAAATTAGTTTTGCAGCCCCATGTTTACAGGTTCAGATTCCGTAGATCTGAAATGGGGAGTCTGCATTTGAACTAATATCTCAGGAGATTCTCACAACCAGTTCTCCATATTTTACACTTTGAGACATTGCTAGAGGCTATACAGATTATTCTGCATCATTGTTGAGTTCTGTTCTTTTTCCATCTTTAGTTTATAATCAGCCATTCTTCCTTCATCCAAATTGAATAAACTTGTTTTTCTCTGTTACTTGTGATTTTTAGAAAACGTGCTAAACACAAGCCTTAGGAACAGTGCCTTTTAACCTTTTTGCCATGTCGGTTCTCCTGAGGGATATGAATCCAATCAGTGATAGTAGATCACTAAGGTAATGATTAATATACTCTAGTGGGTTGAAAGAACATACTCCCCATGGAGGAGTATCGGAATCCTCTAGTACATACAGTATCCAATAGCCTCCCTCCTTTTCTCTATGATTTTGGTCACTCTCTCTAGAGAATGCCCTCCCTCCAACTCCAAAGACATTGCCTTGTGGTATAGTTGAATCCTTAAATATGTCTTGGGTGCCCTGTGGCTGTGATTTTTTTTTTTTTTAAGAGAACTTATTTTAACCAAAATAAACAATTTAAAATAAAATTTTGTTATGTAAAGCCAAATAGAAAGAAATTTCACATTTTTTCTTAGTGCTCATTCATTGGAACCGTTTTTTTTTTTGTTGGTTTTTTTTTTTTTTTTTTTTTTTTGGGAGATGGTCTCACCCTGTTGCTCAGGCTAGAGTACAATAGTGTGATTATAGCTCACCGCAGCTTTGAATTCTTGCCCAGGCTTGTAGCATATTTTTCATAGATACATTTTTAGGGGGCGTATGAGCGCTAGTAATCCACTTATCAATATATTTCAACTGTTAGTAATTACCTTATCTTAATAAACTTTAAATGTGACCTTACCTTCCACTTTTTAAATACAAACTTTTTAATTAAGGAATAGCATATATTCATATTGTTAACTTTCACTACTTAAAACCAGGAAATTTTGTCAATTTGTTAAAAATCTGAAACTACCTACGAAATACACAAAACTCCTAATACATTTCTTTTTAAGCAAAGTTCTCTCTCTCTGTGTTATTGTGTATTGAATGAGTTCTTTTCAGCTCTCTCCAGGTTGTTTAAATATATGTACAAATGACTTCTAGTCAAGAAAATAAAGTCATTGTTAGTATATAGAAAAATGAATCTAAAGCTGTGTAGTTGTGCCCATAAACAAGATTAAAGACCTTCATGGACTAGAAATGAAGCATGGATCCACAGTTTAAGCTGTAGTCCCAAGGAGAATTAAGGGCTAAAAAAAAAATTTACAATGGGGGCTGAGATTTTAACATGTACAGGAGAATAGAAAATGAATGCATTTCACATATAGTAGGTCAGTAGATCCAGTCTACTTGGATAAAGCAAGGAACTGGGATCTTACTGCCCTACTTGTGAACTAAAATTGATTGAAAAAAAAAAAAAACTTTGAGCAACTATTTAGGGTTATGGTTAGAAATTAGCAAATTGTCACATCCAGGTTGTATGTAAAAACCAAAACAAACCCAAAAAAACTAAAAGAAGGGGAAAAGGGAAATTGGCAAATGGTTGTTAGTAGAGGGAAGAAGCAGAGACAACTGTGTAACTGAAAACTTGGAGGACAACATTCTTGACTTAGGGAACAGAAGTGAAATATCTCTATGGGACAAGAACCTTAAGTGTTCAGAAGCAAAACATCTGCCTCTGAATTGGACTCCAAGAGCCAGACTGAGGCAACTTCCAAAACGTCTGATGAGAATGGGTACATTTGTGGATGGAAAGGATCCAAAACAAAACAATGCCCATCAAAATGAATTTTCTCAAATAAAAAATAACAAAGCCAAAGAGCAAATCTTGTATCAAGAAAGATAGCCAAAATATAAGCAAACAAACAAAAAGCAAAATAAAATACACACTCAAGGAAATGGAAATAAACTTTAATCTTGAGAATTTTAAACATGTTTATTTTAAACTATGACCAAAAGCCATGAAACAATATGAGATAATAAAGCAAAAGCTGATAATTATGTATTAAGAACAGGTGGATTTAGAATAAAACAAAGGAAAATTTTGGGGGGAAACCTCAATATATAGGGTAAAACAGCATATTAAACACAGTTGAATAAACTAGTGAATGAGTAAGTGAGTGATAAAACAAATAATACAGTAAAATATATTTATAATAGATAGAAAATATGAAAAAGAAACTGAAAGAAAGAGAATAGAGTAAGAAGCTCTACCATATATCTATTAGAAGTTCCTGAATGAGAGGATAGAAATGGAGGGGAGAGGAAATGTTTGAAGAGATAATGGTGGAGAATTTTCTAACATTGTAGCTAGATACGAATCCTTGAGTGAAGAATCGTATCTGTCACTAAGCAGAACAGATGAACCTCTGGAACTTTAAGGATGATGAAAAATGCCTTAAAAGCTACCAGAGGAAAAAAGCGCATTACCTACAAAAGAACAGTCATCAAATTTTTGACATTCTCATCAACAATAACAAATTACAGAAGATGATGGGAAGTAATATCCTCAAAATAGCAAGATAAAATAACACAATACAGAATTCTGTACTTAAGTATTATTCTAGAAAAGGAAAAAGTAAACATTTTCAAATCTACAAAGAATAAATAAGTTTACCACTGTCAGACCCTTGCCAAAAGAACTACTAAAAGATACATACATCAAGAAGAAGAAAAGTGAGTCCTGGAGGAAGGTGTGGGATACAAGAAACTACGGTAAGCAAAGAAATTGATAAAACACAAATACAAGGCCGGGTGCGGTGGCTCAAGCCTCTAATCCCAGCACTTTGGGAGGCCAAGGCAGGCGGATCACAAGGTCAAGAGATCGAGACCATCCTGGTCAACATGGTGAAACCCCGTCTCTATTAAAAATACAAAAAATTAGCTGGGCATGGTGGGGCGTGCCTGTAATCCCAGCTACTCGGGAGGCTGAGGCAGGAGAATTGCCTGAACCCAGGAGGCGGAGGTTGCGGCGAGCCGAGATCGCGCCATTGCACTCCAGCCTGGGTAATGAGCAAAACTCTGTCTCAAAAAAAAAAAAAAAAAAAACCACAAATAAAATGTTTGAGTTTAAAAACCCGAATTTTAGTGTTTAAAACCAAATTAGTACTAAAATTCTAGAAAACAATAGCAGGAAATTCAGAAGGATGTGTTAGTTTAAAAGCCATGCCAGAGTCTTTTTTTGTTGTTCAGAAGGAAAAGGTACTGAGTAAAGCTTTTTTTAAAAAAAGAAAAATAGAATAGTAATCAAAACAAATATAAACCTATTTAACTCAATTGTTAAGGGAAGAGACTTCTGAATTAGAGTCAGAATCGAAATGTAGCAAATGCTGTTTGCAGGAGACAAATCTAATGCAAAGTGACAAGGAAAGGTTGACAATTTTACCAAATGTTCAAGAAATAGGTAATTTCTATATTATTTTAGCTGTTCTCAAGAACAGAAAAACATTAAACTGCACAATATTTAAGTTTGTAGCCTTGGAAAATAATTTTCTGTGTTTATGAAGGGAAAAAAATTAGAAACAAGTTGTATCCTAAAATTTTATTGTTATTGAACAGTTAGTGGCTATATGACTAAATCCAGTATTCATAAGTAATACGATGTATACAAATTTGATTCCATTATATACACATATACATTGATTCCCATTATATACATACACACGTGTATGTATATACATATATATTCCCATTATTGATTCTCATTATATACATATATGTTTCCATTATATATATGTATTCCTGTTATACAGATGTATTCCTATCATATGTATATAAGGGGAATCAATAATGGGAATGTAGTGTATTATATGTGTATATAATGGGAATCAGTGTATTCCTATACATGTTCATACATATATGTATATAATGGGGATTTTCCATATATATATGTATATACACACACACATATTTTTTGTTTGTTCGTTTTTTCTTTTTCTTGCTTCAGAGCAGGGCTAACCCATAGGGAATGTGCCCAGAGTAGCCTGATTCCCATTTTACAAGAAGGATTTAGTAGTCAGATATTTCAGGGCAAATATTGTGTGTTGTGGGATATACATTATTCATTTTAACACAAAATGTTGTGAATTCACAGTTGTGGCATTGTTTTATCAAATATTTTTTCAAATGTAATTATGTTATTCAAAACCAAAGGAATGAATGTATATTTATTTATAGAAAGGAAATAAAATAGATAGCTTTTCACCCCTTTTATTTAAGGAATTAATATGTTGAATTTTGAAACGACTTGGTGTGAGGATATTGAGACTGCACTTTCTGATTTCTTGTCTTTTAACAACTATGATAATATTTTAAATATACAGAATTAACAGTTATTTTTAAAAGTTTATCCTAAATCAGGGCTGAAAGCATCGAAATAGTTTGTCTTTGCCTTTACTCATGGGACCTAATTATGTTGATATGTGTCACTGCCAGGCTTAAGAAATAACAAAAGGAAAAGGGTAAGGAAAGGATAAGTGACATTAATAATGCCCAACTATGTTCTAATAATAACATAATCAATGTCTTACTCTAATAATAGCGTAATCAATGTCTTACTCTCAGGTTTAACTACTACTATTAATTTCTTGTTTAATTGACTTTCCTTTCTCTTATTTACCTAGTAGAAAATAATAAAAACTTTAAACCTCAGTGCTATGAGAGGGAAGATTTGAGAGTTCAGTTATGCTTAGTTTCCTGTATGATTAAACAATATTTAATCACTCCATTGTTTTAGGCATTATATGTACAGTGGCGAGCCAGAAAAGACAAAATCATTGCTCTTATGGAGCTTACCATTTAGTGGAGGAGACAGGTTAGCTAATTATCTTACACAGACTAAAATGTAATTGCAGTTTATGAAGGACTGGTTTATAGAGATGTATGTCCATAATAGGAAGAGTTATCTCGTCAGGAAGTTCAGGGAAGTCTTCCTTGAGGTGTAAAGGATGAAAATGAGTTAGTGGAGAGAAAGCATTACAGAGAAGAGAGACCAGTACCAGTATGTGCAACAGTTGTGAGGCAGGAAGGGAAAAACAAGTTGCTAAACGGGGAATTTATTTCCAGGATGTGGTTGCTTGTAATGACAGTTCAGAAATAAATTGGATAGAAAAACTGGACAAACAACTTTCTAGGTCTTTCTGAGTGAGATCTTTGTGATATGTATTCTGTTTTATTTGAAGCAAATTGCCAGAATGTTAGATTTACCTAAATTTGAATATGAGTTCAAGATCTATTCTAAAGCCAATTTATTTTGGCATTATCTATAAATATTCATTTTTCTATAACCTAGAGTTAAAAGATTCTTATTTAATTAACATGTATAACAATTAAAAAGTCAAAGCATAAGGTAGTTTTTTTAAGCAGGTTATTACTACACTATCAAGATTTTTTTTTTAAACCTATTTTAGGGAAGAATTCCTGTCATTTTTCTGTGAGGTTTCCATTGGGTTGACAGTCTACTCATTTCTCATTGTTATTTTGCCTTTTGTAGATCAATTAACACATATAGTTAACATGGAAATAAACTAAATTGTATTCTATTGGGAGAGCATATTTTTAAAATTGATCATATGGTAATTAAAGAATTTTCAGATTTAATTAGATTTTCAGAGTTAATTAGAAGAATATAGCTGAAATAAAGCCTTAACTTAACCACCAGTCTCTATCAGGTTTTTCCTAGTAACAAAAGAGAACCGGAACAATAGAAATTTGTGTTTACATACAAAGTGAAAGAAGGGATAGGTAAGAGAACTTTTCAAGGAAGCAATTTATAAACTACATTTTAATACTTAGATGAACGTAATGAGTTCATAATTCTCCCAACAAATAGTATTACTCACCATATAAGCAAGCTCTTTTTAGTGGCATTTGATATCATGCATGGTTAGAAGCTGTTTTATCATTCATTCCTCTTGCTGGCAAACTTCCTAGAAAGAACAGTCTTTCTGCTATTAGGATTTGTATCTTTTGCCTTTGACTATTCATGTATTTAATTTTTACTTAAAACAAAAATCTACACATTGGTGTATTTTTCTTCTTTATTTTTCCTTTACTCCTAAAATACCATAGTGTTTTTCCTCAGGGATTCATTTGCATACTTTTATAGAGCTTTTATTGACTTCTGCTATAAGAACAAGATTCTTCTAATCACTTCACAGGACTGAGGTTCCTTTTTCATAATCCAGATAAATAGTCAGGAAACATCTTTTAAAACTTAGAATTAGAAAAATGCAGTGATTTCTCTTTGGGAACCAAACTAAACATGATCTTTAATGGTTATTATTTGCTGTGGAAAACTGAACTTGCCCTTAAAAAGTTACATTATCTAGTTTGGACTGAAAATCCTGTGTATTGGGGGAATTGAAGTAGGTGGTGTAAGTGTCTACATTGAGTAAGTATATTAAATACTCATTATTTCTCATTTTATCGGTACTAAGTTTTTTAAATAGTTGGTTAGACATTTGGTATTGATGGATTATTTTTTCCATTTTTTTTAACAGGAACATGAATCTGAAGGTGGAAGAACACCTTTGATGAAAGCTGCAAGAGCTGGTCATTTGTGCACTGTGCAGTTTCTTATTAGCAAAGGTAAAGAAAGAGCAAGTTATCATTTCCAAGAGGCTACAGTTTATAGAAAAAAAAATCCTAAACTGTTGCAATTTATGTTATGGCTACTTTACATACAGTAAAGTATTCTTGCCTTTTATTGTTGTATTTTATTTAGTAAGCATGGAGTTTGTGAGTTGCTTACTGGGAATTTTCTTTATTAATGATTTTGAATTTTAAGTTTTCATTAACCAAACAACATGTGGTTGCTCCCAAAACTTAGAAAAGCCAGATGTAAAATGTCCAACTATGATTAGGTGGATATTCAGCAGCTTTTTGATAAGTCTGTTCTCCTGGAGATGTGGGTGGAGGACAGAGAGGAAATCTGCTACTGTGGTACTTGTTTGTGGTACAGTTGAATTAACTGAGTTTGTAAGGTTCTTATTTATAATTTTTATATTCCCTTAGAAATTCTATTATTAGAATTATATATTTAGGCAAAAAAATTCAACTGATGAAGAATTAGTTTAAGACTGTTTACTGCAGAAAAATAAAATGCTTTGGAACCAGTGTTAGTTTAACCATATGTAGTTGTCATATGATGAATCAAAAATGGTAATGTCAGCAGTTTCATTTGGTTTAGCATAACTCTTCATATGGTGTCAGAAATACTGTGGCAGCTGATGAAACATCCTGGGATAGGATAATAAAAATGTAACGAAGATTCACTCAGGTAGTGTTATGCTATTAAGATAAAAATCATATTTATATTCTAATAGATTTCTGACATTTAGTGACATTAAAAATGCAGGGTAAGATTTTATCATTTTATTTATTTTATTTTGAGATTGAGTTTCACTCTTTTTGCCCAGGCTGGAGTGTAATGGTACTATCTTGGCCCACTGCAACCTCTGCCTCCTGGGTTCAAGTGGTTCTCTTGCCTCAGCCTCCCCAGTAGCTGGGATTACAGGCACGCACCACCACACTTGGCTACTTTTGTATTTTTAGTAGAGACAGGGTTTCACCATGTTGGTCAGGCTGGTCTCAAACTCCTGGCCTCAGGTGATCTGCCCGTCTTGGCCTCCCAAAGTGCTGGGATTACAGGCATGAGCTACCACACTTGGCCAGATCTTATCATTTTAAATGTATTTGTTTTCTTCTGAATTTGATAAAACTAGGTTTATTTTCTTCATATTGCATTTTTGCCGCCAAGTAAGGCATGCATTTATATAATACAGTCTGTAAAAGCTATTTACCTCAACCACACAGAAATAAGTAGATGGATAACCTCTGGAGTTCTCTTATGCTTCTTTACTAAAGAGAATCCTAATCATACTCAACAACAACCTGCTAAGAATATAATCAGGCTTGTCAGGAATAGGAACACATTGATTATGTCCTTTCTAGGTTAAATAATCCTGTCATTTAAGATAATTTCATGTTGCTAATCTCAGGTTGTTTATTGCTGTGTTTTACCTTTCCCAGAAGGTACTTAATTTATGCAAGTTAGGATTAGATTCAGCTGAATATTTTCTGAAAATTAGACAAATTAACAGTAGTAGTTTTAGCCATTGACTTATTTTTCTCTTAAATAAAATAGGTAGAATTAAGGAAGAATGAATATTTCTATAGTCTTACCTTTCTAGTTCAGATCTTTTGGAATTGTTAAAGGTAGCTGAACTAAAGTTATTTTTTCCAGGGGTCAAAAATAATTTATCAAAAGAAAGCTAAGAAATTGAGACTTTGTAATTAGACATTTTCCAGGTCATATTATACAAAGCTATTGAACAACTTACGAAGTAGCCTTTCAGATAACATTTCTGGATAATATTCTGTCTTCTCTGCATATCCAGATCCCCTGACTCTTAAAATACACAATATAAAGAATGACATGTTTCTTAAACATCACTTAAGAAAATCTGTTTTCTCTACTTTGAGACCTGGCTATATTGCCACTTTGTAGAAGTAGATCAAAAATGTCTTTCAAACATTTTGAGTTATATACAGTGGTGTTATTTGATGCTTCCATTAACCTATATATATTTGTTAATCTTAGTCTTCTAGATTTTCCATTTTAAAAGTGATATTGAATGAACGAACTACAGCTTCATGCAACATTGTGGATGAATCTCACAAATATAATATTGAGTGAAAGAAGCCAGACGCAAAAGAGTACATTGTATGATTCCAATCACATAAAATTCAAAAAGTAAAACCAGTTTGGAAGTCAGGGTAGTGGTTACCATTGGGAGGCTGGGTAGTGACTGAAAGAGAGCACAAGATGGGGTTTCTGGTATGTGGATAATGTTCTATTTCTTGCTCTGGGTGCTGGTTACACAGGTGTGTTGATTTTGTGAAAAAATTTCAAACTATACACTTATAATTTATATACTTTTTTGTATCTACATTTTCACAAAAAATTTTAAAATAATATTGATTGTGAACTGGCTTGATTTCAATCTTTGCTAAGATTTTTATTTCTTTTTCTTCAAAGGTGCCAATGTTAACAGGGCTACAGCCAATAATGATCATACAGTAGTGTCACTGGCATGTGCAGGAGGCCACCTGGCAGTTGTTGAGCTACTCTTGGCTCATGGGGCTGACCCTACTCATCGACTCAAGGTAGTCTACTTAAAAATAAATAAATAGGCTGTGCACAGTGGCTCATGCCTATAATCACAGCATTTTGGAAGACTGAGGTGGGTGGATCACTTGTGCCTAACATAAGGAGACCCCATTGCTAGCGGGGGAAAAAATATACACACACACACACACACACACACACACATTTTTATAGGAAATAATTTGTATATATTAGTAAATAAATAATACCTATATAGTTATAAAATATGTTTGATCTGTCTTAGTGCTTAATATTTAATACAAATGAGTTTTGATTTTATATGAGCTGCTAAGAAACTACAAAGAATTAATTGTCATGGCAATTCTTTCTCAGGATGGTTCAACAATGCTCATTGAAGCTGCAAAGGGTGGCCATACTAACGTAGTTTCTTATCTGTTGGATTATCCAAATAATGTTCTGTCAGTTCCCACCACAGATGTGTCTCAGCTCACCCCTCCTTCTCAAGATCAGTCTCAGGTAAAGTAAAATGGAGCTTATTTTTTAATATAAATATTCTTCAAAGTGATTAGAAGTTTTTGTTTAAAATCAGTTTTAAGCAAAATGGGCTGGTTTTTATTTTCTGTTACATATTGTGAAAATCATGATTCTAAATTGTTTAGGATTTGTTTCCTTTAAAGGTACACTGAAATTTTTTATTACCTTATTTATTGAAAATAGTGGTTTTTAAAAACCACTTAATATCAAATATAAACACAACTATTCCAAGTTGTTATTACAACTAGGTTTTTCAGGTTTTTTGCTTGTTTTAACAAGAGAATCAAGAGAAAGCTTTTTCTTTTTTGAGACGGAGTCTTGGTTTGTTGCCCAGTTTACAAGAGTAAACTGGCTACTCGATAGTGAATATGTGAATTGTACCCCTAGCTATAATTGGAACCAGCAAGCCATTCTATTCAGCAAGGAAGTTATATTATTTCTGTTTAGCTTAAAATCATTGACTAATTGTAGATTGGCTGGAGTGCTGTGGCACGATCTCAGCTCACTGCAACCTCTGCCTCCCAGGCTTAAGTAATTCTCAAGCCTCAACCTACCAGGTAGCTGAGGTACACGCCACCATGGCCAGCTAATTTTTTGTATTTTAGTGGAGGCAGGGTTTCACTGTTTCCCACGGTGGTCTCAAACTCCTGAGCTCAGGCAGTCCGCCCACCTCAGCCTCCTAAAGTGCTGGGATTATAGGCGTGAGCCACCATGCCTAGCCAAGAAAGCATTTTCTTAATACCTCCCAAGGTAGTATTAATTATCCTAGAGATAGTGACTTTTGTTAACCATGAAAGTATAGGTAACATAAGCACTAAAAATTCATTAAAGTAACTTTTAAACCCATCTTAAATTATGCAGAAAATACAGAGATTTTACTAAGAATATTAAATTGGTGAAATCCTAAATTCTTTTCTACGAAGTCATCCTGAGAACTGCTAGCATACCCCCATTGAAGAAATATATTAGATTTTTGTTTTCTTTTGATCCACGTAGAATTTGAACAAGAGTAAACTGGCTACTGGATAGTGAATATGTGAATTGTACCCCTATCTATAATTGGAACCAGCAAGCCATTCTATTAAGCAAGGAAGTTATATTATTTCTGTTTAGCTTAAAATCATTGACTACTTGTAGATTGCCTGACTGTCTGATCAATAGTCTCAAAAATTATTGCTTGGTGAAAGCTTTTTTTAAAAAAAAGCTTTAGGAAACAAAAGTGCATTTGGTGGTATATGAAGATACCCTAAAACAGGATATCTGTTTCATTTATGAGCCTTTGTCTTACTCTTTGATCTGAGATGATTTTCTTCTGAGTTGACTTTTTAGGTTCCACGTGTACCAATGCATACGCTTGCCATGGTTGTACCTCCCCAGGAACCTGACAGAACTTCACAGGAGAACTCTCCTGCCCTTTTAGGGGTCCAAAAAGGTTAGTTATTGAATTATTTTTCTTAAAATGGGTATTTTTTTACCTAATTGATAAATCCAGAAACGTACTTTAGTGGTACAGAGTCACTGTGTACCCATGGCTAATTGAGTTAGATAATTCTGACAAATGCAAATAGTCTAACTGTCTAAAACCAAAAAGACGAAAGTGTTAGGAAAAATGACTTTTTATTATTTTCCTGTTAACATACTGATAGATGTAGCTTTCGTCTCACATAGATGAAAGTACTTAAGAAACAAGCCAAGTTCTTGATTATATTAAAGTAACCAAGTTTATCAGACATTCATTTTTCATTTGACAATTCTTTAGCTATCCATTAGTATATGAAGAACGAAAATGTATGTTTGCTATCTAGTTAAGTCTTTATAGCATTGATTCAGATAATGAGTGAGAAGTTTAAGAATTACATTCAGTTTCATTCATGCAATGCTGAATATAGTAGATTATCATCTGTCACTGTGAATCTGGACAAATAACCATCAAAATAAAATATATATAAGTAACATCCAAATGACTATTAAGAAGGAGAGTATTCTACTTAAAAAACTCAAGTTTATGAGTTCTGATATTTTTCTGCTGTCTTTACATTGGTAAGTGAAAAGTACCTTCATGGATAAATGTACCTTCACTTGATAATTATGTATAATTGTAATATCTGAGTTCTCTGAAATAAAGAAAATAGTTAATATGTAGGATGTTTAAAACTATATAAAAAGAAACTTACGAACATAGTTCATTTAGAATATGATCGAGTCCTAGATACTGAAATAACAATAAGGTATGTAAGTGTATATTAATACCTATAACACTGTGATTTATGAAAAGTTGGTTTGGGTTGACTATTACAGCAGCAAGCAGAAGCTTCTTTCAAATTATACCAATTTTAGTAATTTAAAGTATCAGGGGCCTTTGCCAAGTCTAAGCTATTAATTTCAGAGATGAAATATCTGTAGTTTCTCTGACGTAAGCTAATTCTAGCAGTTTTTCATGGAACACTTAGCTATTCAAAATTTTCCTGCTGTTTTTAATGTTAATAATTAAAAATCAAACATGTATTCATAAATATCATAATCAGCAGGTATTTAACCTTCAGTCAAATATTTAAAGCTAAATGCCTCTGTTTTGTTGTTCTTGTTGTTTTTTGGTTTTGATTTTTGTTTTTTGTTTTTATTTGGCTACACTCTGTAGAGGACTGTAGTAACTTTGGCTTTGGAAATACTAAATAGAATTATTGACCAGGCATGGTGGTTCACGTCTGTAATCCCAGCACTTTGGGAGACTGAGGTGGGTGGATCACCTGAGGTTAGGAGTTCAACACCAGCCTGACCAACATGGTGAAACCCTGTCTCTACTAGAAATACAAAAAATTAGTTGGGCTTGGTGGTGGCTGCCTGTAATCCCAGCTACTTGGGAGGTTGAAGCAGGAGAATGGCTTGAACCCAGGAGGCAGAGGTTGCAGTGAGCCAAGGTCATGCCATTGCACTCCAGCCTGCGCAACAAAAGTAAAACTCTGTCGCAAAAATAATAAATAAAATTAAATAAGAAAAGAAAATAATTATTTAGAAAATATAGGCCACATGTGATGGCTCACGCCTGTAATCCCAACACTTTGGGAGGCTGAAGCAAGTGAATCACTTGAGGACAGGAGTTTGAGACCAGGCTGGCCAACGTGGCAAAACCCTGTCTCTACTAAAAATACAAAAATTAGCCAGGTGTGGTGGTGCGTGCTTATAATTCCAGCTACTGGGGAGGCTGAGGCATGAGAATCACTTTAACCCAGGAGGCAGAGGTTGCAGTCAGCCAGAGTGACAATTAGACTCTGTCTCAGGAAAAAAAAATAAATTAGGGCCAGGCACAGTGGCTTTTACACCTATAATCCCAGCACTTTAGCAGGCCCAGGTGAGCAGACTACTTGAGCCCAGGAGTTTGAGACCAGCCTGGACAACTTGTCAAAACCCTATCTCTACAAAAAAGTACAGAAATTAACCAGACATGGTGGCACATGTAACATGATAGTCCCGGCTGCTAGGGTGACTCTAGTGAGAAGATCACTTGTGTGTGTGTGTATATATGCTTGTGTGTGTGTGTGTGTGTGTGTATACACATATATATGTATGTGTATATATATATATATATATATATACACATACACATACATACATACACACACATACATATATATATAAATGTGTGTGTATACATATGTATGTGTGTGTATGTATGTATGTATGTTTTTTTTTTTTTTTTTGAGATAGGGTCTCACTTTATCACCTAGGCTGGAGTACAATGGTGTGATCTCAACTCACTCCTTCAACCTCAGCCCCAACCTCTGAGGTTCAAGCAATCCTCCTGCCTCAGTCTTGCAAGTAGTTGGGACTACAGGCGCCCTGCTACTCCACTTGGCTAATTTTTTGTATTTTTGGTTGAGACAGGTTTTGACATGTTGCCCAGGCTGGTCTCAAAGTCCTGAGCTCAAGTGATCTGCCCACTTCGGCCTTTCAAAATGCTAGGATTACAGGTGTGAATCACTGCACTCAGCCATTACTTTGTATTTTTAATTTACATAAATAGTATTCTGGTACAGATCCCATTTTTTTTTTAAACAAACCAAAAACTTTATTTACAAAAGTAAATTTTAACTTTTATATATCACATAATGTTAATGATGACAGCAACAGATTTAAAATATGCTGAGGTTTGTGCAGCTCATTTCCCCCTACTTATACCATAAAACTTTATAAACATTGCTTTAGCCTTGATGTTTGGTCGCATTTTTTGTGCAGAAGTCATGTATCAGGGTAGGTTCACCACCAGACACGGTCACATCACTATTGGCTGTGGATTTCCAAGAAGCAAAGGAGCTAATCTCAGCAAATTGTTTTTTACCTTTGTTTACTGAACACTGTTTTTAAGATTTATCCACATGTCTATTTCTAGATTGTTTATATCTATAGCATAGTGCTTTACCCTGTGTATCTTCCATGTTTTACGTGTCCTTTCTCCCAGTGATGAATATCCACATTGCCTCTATTTTCTCACTTCTACTAACAATGCTTTGATGAAAATCTTTGTACAGTCCCTATATAAGAATTTATTTGGAACATCATCTCCCCTCAGACTGCTCATCTTTATATGGTCCACCATGCTTTGCTGTATAGATGTTCAAGTACTTATTGAATAAATTAATGAGTGCTAGGCTAAGAATATAGATTATTTTGAAGGCAGAAGAAAATTCTTAAGAATTTTTAAGATAGACATTGTGATTAAAGAGATGTTTTAAAAAAGTAATTAAGAAGTAGCATTCCAGAATGCTGGAAAAGAGATAGGATATCTGAGTGTAAATGTAAAGTAAGAATTAAATTAGCATGCTGCTTTTATATGTTAGAGTTGTTTTTTGGAGTTGGTGACATGAAAAGTTCTCATATTTTTCTATCAAATCATTAAACTTACATAGAAAAATTGTATATACAATGAATAGTATTGAGTATTCCTTTGGAAACTTTACTGCTAATATTCTTTAGTCACTTTCCATTATATAATCATTCCTATATGAATTTACACATGCCCAAACTTGGTAATCTCTTTTAACATATAACTTCTTATAGTAAAAGGAAGAAGATTGAATTAATCTCTTAACATGTAACACAGATGCTGTTTCTTTGGACACCCTTGGTTAAGAGATTGCTGTGTTAAAGCTGTGTAATGTGTCCTATTAGTTTGGGAAATTTTGAGACAAATATTTAGACATAAAGGAAAAATGAGTCAATTCTAGTGGCTTTCATTTTTGACTGACCACAATAAGAAACTGTTATAGGTAAAGCTCGGAGTCATAAGGAAAATGAGCACTAAGGCAAAGGATTTCTTAGCAAAACAAACTTACTTCTGCACAGAGGGGTGCCCCTCACATTACCATGAGAGCAGCACATAGAACAAAGAAGAGCGCAAGTTTTTTTATTCTTGACGCAAATCCTGCTCTCGTGCCCTTTCCCCGTTGGCTGGGGTCAGGCCGTACAATCTGAACTAGACTTGATTGTCTAGACATTTAAACTTTTTCTCAGTTAAGGTGGGCACATAAGGAAGAGAGGGGAGAGGGAAAAGGGGTCGTCTGCGGTAAGCTAGAAGGCCAGTCTTTTCTTAAATAAGGAAAGGAGCATGAGCTGGTGCTGATAATGCTATTGGTGCTGTGGTCTGCTTGGGCATGTAGTAAAAGTGGAAAGAAGGAAAGAAAAAGAAAGAGCGGAGGGAGTACTGAGTATTAAAGAATGAGGCTGGCCAGGCACGGTGGCTCACGCCTGTAATCTCAGCACTTTGGGAGGCAGAGGCAGGTGGATTACCTCAGGCCAGGAGTTCAAGACCAGCCTGGCCAACATGGTGAAACCCCATCTCTACTAAAAATACAAAAATTAGCTGGGCATGATGGCACATGCCTGTAATCCCAGCTACTTGGAAGGCTGAGGCAGGAGAATCATTTGAACCCAGTAGGTGAATGTTGCAGTGAGCTGAGATCACACCATTGCACTGCAGCCTGGGCGACAGAACAAAACTCTGTCTCAGAAAAAACGAAAAGAAAAGAATTAGGCTGTTTGAAGAGAAACCTTGCTGTATCTCACAGAAACATTTTATATTGACACCCAGGACACATCATACATCTGTTTATCAAAACAAATTCCAGTGGATAATAAACACTCTACTACATTTGATGCACTGTGTTATTTTCAGTGTACTTTTTCAACCTGATTTTCTATTTGAGACCCAGTTGGGAATGCTGTTTAAAAATCATTCTACTAGGGTGCTGTGTGATGATGTAAGCAAGGGAATTGCAGAACAAGATTTAAGCTTTATAGATAAAACCAAGTAAGGAAATATAGAATCTATTCTAGATCCTCCTATATATCATGTGTTTTTTCCATTGACCATTATTTTTCTATTGTACAATGCACTAATTATTTTAGACACAAAAATGATTGATAGAATTAAGCTTATTCTAATAAAAAACTAAATATTTGGCAAATATATGTCCACCTCATTCCTTCTCTGCCAATAAAAAATAAAGGTGATGTTTAAGCTGTCATTTGTTGGTGTCTACTACTACAGACCTTTTCTAGTTTTGTTAATGGAGGGAAAATGAGAGGCAAAGGAATAGGACAGAAACCAAACGAAAAAGATGAAATGGTGACTTTATCTATATATTTTTTTCTTTTTTGAAATGGAGTTTCACTCTTATTGCCTAGGCTGGAGTGCAATGGGTGCAGTCTCAACTCACCGCAACCTCTGTCTTCCAGGTTAAGCAATTCTCCTGTCTCAGCCTCCCAAGTAGCTGAGACTGTAGTCATGCACCACCACACCCAGCTAATTTTGTATTTTTAGTAGAGATGGGGTTTCTCCATGTTGGTCTGGCTGGTCTCGAACTCCCAACCTCAGGTGATCTACCTGCCTCGGTCTCCGAAGTGCTGGGATTACCGGTGTGAGCCACTGCACCTGGCCACCTATATTTCTGAATAGTACTTTATGATATCATTCACTGATAATGGTGAATAGATTTCTTTGTATCTGACAATGTACGATGTTTGAAGGAGATAGAACTCTTTTTATATTCTGGTATCTTATAATACTGCTTACTATTGAAAATTTTGTTGCTAAAAGAATACTTGTCATAATCTCTACCCAGGAAGTGTAGATACTGCTTTAGCTTCCAGGAAAAATTAGGCGACATTATCTTTTTCAATCTGTTTTATTCTTGATGTTATAGCTTCTGTTAGTACTTTGACGTGTATCTAGGTAATTCCACTAACTCCATGGTTACAGACAGTCAGCCAATGGCTATTTTGAGATGAACCACTTTTTATACATCATTTTTGCCATCTTCCATTTTTAATGCTATAGACATTCTGGGCTTATAGTTTGTCTATTCAGTTAAATAAGTTACTCTTAGTAATCTTGTGTTCCATGCTTCTTGCATATTATTTGTTAACAAGATAGGGCCATTCCTATCTGTTACTGTCCTCAAAATTCTACTCTTATTTTGGATTATACTATTTATAAAGATTTTAAATCTGTGAATGTCCAGCAGGGTCATAACACAATTACTAACCAGTCTGGTTAGTGTTAGACTCTTACCTAGTTTTCCTGAATATTAAATATAAATTACTTAGTAGCTATACAAGGGTGTTTTGAAACTAATGGATGTTTAAAGGACCATTCAGTCTTTGTAGAACTTCTAAATGTACTTGAGTGATGTCATTGAATTTATTACATGACTGAATATTTCCTTGTTATTGTTGTGGATTTGTACATTGCTATTTGTGACCATTTGCCTTCCTTGTTGTCATTAGGCACTTTAAACAAATACTGTAAATCAAAACAGGGACTCCTATGTGGTATTAGGAAAGTAGTAATAAAATTAGCTCACAAATCTAATAGCTTTTGCTCTGAAAGAATAGTCTTTTTCTATCATTTTGCTCAGATAGAAATGTAAATTGAGAAAGGCTGAGGCTGGAAAATTACTTGAGGCCAGGAGTTCAAGACCAGCCTGAGCAACATACAAGACCCCATCTCTTTATATATATGAATATAAAATTGAATATAGACAATGTGCTTTGCAATTTAAGGAATAAGCCTCTGAAATTGATTGCAGTGGTATTGAAATTATGGTCATCTTACCTATTAAAAAGAGTATATAGGGGAAAAACTTAGACTTTATTAGTAATGACACATGTTGCATGTGTTTGAGCTACCTGCAGTTTTGAGATCTCTATTCTAGCAAAAAAAGTAGATGAGCTCTAATTTTTTTTTTCTTCAGTAGTTTTGTCACCCCCTTGCAATTCAGAACATTTTATATCTCTGAATGACCTTTTTTCCTTTGGACTTGAGAATCATTTTGAATACAACGGATGATTTTATTTTAAAAATTCCGAGGCCAGGCGCGGTGGCTCACGCCTGTAATCCCAGCACTTTGGGAGGCCAAGGTGGGTGGATCACGAGGTCAAGAGATAGAGACCATCCCGGTCAACATGGTGAAACCCCGTCTCTACTAAAAATACAAAAAATTACCTGGGCATGGTGGTGTGTGCCTATAATCCTAGCTACTCAGGAGGCTGAGGCAGGAGAATTGCCTGAACTCAGGAGGCGGAGGTTGCGGTGAGCCGAGATCGTGCCATTGCACTCGAGCCTGGGTAACAAGAGTGAAACTCCGTCTCAAAAAAAAAAAGAAAAAAGAAAAAAGAAAAATTCCCAAATTACCTATATTTTTCATATATACTGACTACAATTCAAAATAATAGATTACTTTTTTACCCAGCTCTTTCCTTTTTTCAAACAGCTTTATATTTAATTTACATACCATAAAGTTCACTTGTTTTAAATGTACAGTGCAGTGAATTTTGGTAGATTTATTGAGTTGTGTAACCGTTGTCACTATCTAGTTTTAGAACTTTTCCATCTCCCCAAAAAGATCTCTTATGCCTGTTTTCAATTGATCCTCCTTCTCACTGTTGTAACCTCAGGTAACCACTACTGTCCCTGTCTATAGATTTGCCTTTTCTCTGTAGATGTGATATAAGTGGAATTGCACTTATGTGGCCTTTTGTGTCTGGCTTCTTTCACTTAGTATAATGTTTTTGAGGTTCATCCATGTTGTAGCATGAATCAGTAGTTTTTTCCTTTTTGTTGCTGAATAGTCCTACTTCTAAACAAGATTAAGCCTTGGATTTGCCTCAGAGTAGGTATCATACATCAAAAAATATGTGTCCTTCATTTTATGTCCATATGTTGGGATTATTAATATTGATAGTTTTGAGCTGATTTGTTAGGAAGGATGTAGCTTAAGTGTAATTTAAAACCTTAAAATAATATGCAATGCCATTGTTTGTTAACATATACTGTCAGTATGAGTAAGCCTAAATGGGAAGTCTGATTTTTCTCCTAGGATCATTTATTGTTTCTCTCATAGATAGAATTTACTTGAAGTGTTCATTTAAATGCAAGTTGTCCTTTGTGTAGTAAGTTTAACAATGTTCCGGTACAAACGTGTCAAAGGTATATTTAATGGAGATTTTTAGGAAGACATGTCTTGAAAAAACTGATTTCACATTATATTTCAATATAAGAAGAAAAATATTTTGACTATTTGCAAAGCACTTTCCCTTGTTTTGATCTGTAAGTTTTGGTCTTTTGCATTAACTTTGCATTGCTTGCAGAGTTAATATTGCTAAAAGAACGATTGTTCTAAATGGGTAGTTAACATTTCTGGTATTTTCAACATGATTTTGATAACTGCTCTAGATTTGGTGTTCTTTAAAAAGTCCAATCTAATCAGCAGAATTTTGAGATTCTTGCATCTTTGTTTTCCTTTTCCCTGCCCCTGACTTAATTTCTAAAATTTTTCTATCCTAAAGAGTAGATTTTTTAAACTTCACAGTTTTTGAATTAGCAGCATCCTAGTTTGTGCTGTGTGAAATAGATGAGTATAATCTTTAACCTGCCTGACCCTGGTATGACTCTGAACATTCATTCTGTAACATTAGTTATAAGGGTTTTGGGAGGGAGGTCTGTGTGTGTGGGAGGGGAGGCTGGTTTTCTTTTTTCTTCTTTTTTTTCTTTCTTTTTTATTTTTATTTTTTTTTTAGCATGGCACTTTTTCAAACATTTTTCATGTGCTTAGGTACATCCAAGCAGAAGTCCAGTTCCCTCCAGGTAGCAGATCAGGACCTACTGCCATCTTTTCACCCATACCAGCCTTTGGAGTGCATAGTAGAGGAGACTGAAGGCAAGCTGAATGAACTGGGACAAAGAATTAGTGCTATTGAAAAAGCACAGCTTAAGTCACTGGAATTAATTCAAGGTGAACCTCTGAACAAAGATAAGATAGAAGAACTTAAAAAGAACAGAGAAGAGCAAGTCCAGAAGAAGAAGAAAATATTAAAAGAACTGCAGAAAGTGGAAAGGCAGCTGCAGATGAAAACACAGCAGCAATTTACCAAAGAATACTTGGAAACCAAAGGTCAGAAAGACACAATATCTCTACACCAGCAGTGCTCTCATAGAGGAGTCTTCCCAGAAGGGGAAGGAGATGGTAGTCTCCCAGAGGATCACTTTTCAGAGTTACCTCAGGTTGACACAATCTTATTTAAAGATAATGATGTTGATGATGAACAACAATCTCCACCATCGGCAGAACAGATTGATTTTGTCCCAGTCCAGCCTTTATCATCTCCACAGTGTAACTTTTCCAGTGACTTAGGTTCTAATGGAACAAATTCTCTTGAACTTCAGAAAGTATCAGGTAATCAGCAGATGGTAGGACAGCCTCAGATTGCTATTACTGGACATGATCAGGGGCTGTTAGTTCAAGAACCAGATGGACTAATGGTTGCAACTCCAGCTCAGACGCTTACCGACACTCTTGATGACCTGATAGCAGGTGGGTTAAGAAATATATCTGTAATAATTTCTCTGTAATCTGTGTGCTCAACTTCTTTATACAACTCTGCAAAAACACAGACTTTGTACTTTTCCATTTTAGAATTATCTTTGTAAAATTACTCATTTCTTGAGGTCTTTTGGAAGTGAATTAACTAAGTTTAATAGCACTAACACACAAAAGTGTGTTTCCCCTCTTTTTTGTCATATTGCAAAGGCAAATAAATAAAATTGCCATAATCCTTTATTTTAAACCTTTGATATTGAAACCACCCTGTGCTGTGACTTGGGTAAGGAGGTCTCAAAGTGGAATTGCTTTGTAGGCTTTAGAGGTATTCACATAAGATTGTAATTAAAATTTTCCTGCTGTTGATTTTCATGTCTGGAAATTTTAAATCACACTGCTTTTTTATTTATAATTTAATGGGATGTTCAGAGAAAACTAAGTTTTCCATGTTATAATATTTGTGGTTAGAAGATTAAGGTACATTAAAATTATTGTCACTTGATTTTGCATTAAGTCTCTTAATGAAAGCACACAGCCACATCTCTCTCTCTCTCTCTCTCTCACACACACACACACACACACACACGGAAAAAAGAAAGGCCTGATAACCTTGAAGTATGTGTTTCTGTTTATTGTTGTGTGGAAAATTACAACTAGATATGAAATGAGGTGCACAAGTTTACTTTCCCTTTCATTGTCCTTGCAGCAGTGGGAAAACAGTGCAATTAATCATTTACCTTCCTAAAGATGGCTGGTGAATGTATCACCTCCATGAGAGCCCAGTTCAGAAATGCAGCCAGAATGGCTGTTGACAGTGGATGAAGACCAAGAACTAAGATGTAGCTGGAGTGATATTCAAAGGCAGGCCAGTCCTCTGTCTCTTGATTGCAACATTTTTTTCCTTACTGTTGTCTGTTGCCTCTTGTCATATTCTCCTCCCCTTCTCCCATCCTGATTATCCTATTTCAGTTTCCTTTCTTCTTTTGTGAGCCTTTAGTCTTCCTGATCTTTACTGAGTCTTTTTAAATGTGGAATAAGATTACTGAAATCAGGAATTTTATTGGGCATGTGTATGACTTCAGTGGTTATAGAATTGTGATATTGCCGTTGAGGTTCCTCTGATATGTAATAAGTATCATTGTGCAGAGGAGGAATGTCTTAGTCTCCTTAAAGAAAATTAAAATGCTGGGAAATGTCTAAAGGAGTTAGGCTCTTTGTTCTTTAATTTGGGTTTTTATATCTTCAGCTGGTAGACACAAATTAATTTTGTATTTATTAGCATTGAAAGTTATAAATTATGAATAAACTCTTGTAGTTCATTTGCAATTCTAATTTATAATCTGGGTAAAAGCAGATTTTGGAATGTGAAGTATGATTATGAATAATAATGATGAAACAGGTAAACTGGGAGTAACATTTTTAAGATGTAGGGTTCTGTAACTACCATTATAATGTTCCTAATTTAGTGCACAGTTTGCAGTTATGAAACCTATGTTACTGATTAGTTATGTTAGAACTTTTTAAAAAATAATGTAGAAACAGCTCTAAAGGGAACTTGTAGGTATTAAGGAACATCACATTTTATTTCACTAAAGTATTTGTTGAATTAGTCTTTTACAAAGTTTGCATGAAACTTAGAAAATTGGCTTAAAATTATCTTTTAATTATATATAATATTAATATAAACAAAATTTGTGTTAGACATTATTACCTACCACATTGTGCAATATTCTTTTATTAATGTTTTAACTTTTAAATCAGCCACCAAGTACAAAATTATCTTCATGTAAAAATTTCCATTTTTAATGAAGGTTATGTGTTTTGAATGATATGGCAATAATTATATTTTCTTTATTCAACATGATGGACCTGTTTTAAAATTTAATTATTAGGCCGGGCGCGGTGGCTCACGCCTGTAATCCCAGCACTTTGGGAGGCCGAGATGGGTGGATCATGAGGTCAAGAGATCGAGACCATCCTGGTCAACATGGTGAAACCCCGTCTCTACTAAAAATACAAAAAATTAGCTGGGCATGGCGGCGCATGCCTGTAGTCCCAGCTACTTGGGAGGCTGAGGCAGGAGAATTGCCCGAACCCAGGAGGCAGAGGTTGCGGTGAGCTGAGATCGCACCATTGCACTCCAGCCTTGGTAACAAGAGCAAAACTCCATCTCAAAAAAAAAATTAAATATTACATTTTTCTAAGTCCAGATTTGTCTTAATTTTCTTAGTTGAAGGTAAAAGAAATTAGGCAAGGGTGAATTAGGTTAATACCTAATTCTACAATTGTAAAATATATTAATATATTGGTAAGATTATAGAGTAGGACAAAGGTAAAATTAATTTTACTTTAGTTCTTACCCCTCATAGTAGTAAAGGAGAGAATACTGTACATCTTAAAATTCTACTTTAGAAAATACCTGTGTATGATAACAATACATTTCACTCATTAAATATAGGAGTATTATTTCCTTATTGCTATTCTTTAAAAATATTTGTTGTGATAATGAGTTGTTTACATATATGTTATTAATTTTGCGACTTGATTAGCTGACTAACTTAGCCCTTTAGTGTGTTGTTTGATACGTGTCATACATGATATAGTTCCAAACAGACTATATAAACTCTTGATTAGGAGCATGGTTCCTCATGTCCTTCTGAAAGTGAGCATTGGGTTTTTAGCAGTTACCATGATAGCAAGTAATTCTCAAAGTTCAAATGTCTAGGAATATAAAGTAATTTAAAGAAATTCAAAATAGCTTTACCATTGAGCAGTTCTAGAAATATTGAGTAAAATTTTCTTTTTTGTTGTTTTTTTTGAGACAGAGTCTCACTCAGTTGTCCAGGCTGGAGTTCATTGGCTCTATCTCGGCTCACTGCAATCTCCACCTCCTGGGTTCAAGCAGTTCTCCTGCCTCAGCCTTCTGAGTAGCTGGGATTACAGGCACCTGCCACCACACATGGCTAATTTTTGTATTTTTAGTAGAGACGGGGTTTCACCATGTTGACCAGGGTGGTCTCGAATTCCTGACCTTAAGTGATCTACCTGCATAGGCCTCTCAAAGTGCTGGTTTTACAGGCGTGAGCCACCATGCCTAGCCAAAATTTTCATTTCTAATATAGAAAGAAGATTGGCTAAAAATCAACTAATGTCAACTAGTTTACATTTATTTATTTATTTTTTTGAGACGGAGTTTCACTCTTGCTACCCAGGCTGGAGTGCAATGGCACGATCTCGGCTCACCGCAACCTCCGCCTCCTAGGTTCAGGCAATTCTCCTGCCTCAACCTCCTGAGTAGCTGGGATTACAGGCACACGTCACCATGCCCAGCTAATGTTTTGTATTTTTAGTAGAGACGGGGTTTCACCATGTTGACCAGGATGGTCTCGATCTCTTGACCTCGTGATCCACCCACCTCGGCCTCCCAAAGTGCTGGGATTACAGGCTTGAGCCACCGCGCCCAGCCTTAGTTTACATTTATTGAGCATTTACTATGCACCAACTTCTGTGTTAAATGCTAAATATACTTTATCTCATGGGCTAATTATAATACTTTAGGTAAGTCCTTTTCCTACCTCTATTTTTCTGTTGAAAAACTGAAGCTGGCCAGGCATGGTGGCTTACACCTGTAATCCCAGCACCTTGGCAGGCAGAGCCAGGTGGATCACTTGAGATCAGGAATTCGAGACCAGCCTGGCTATTATGGCGAAATCCCATCTCTACTAAAAATACAAAAATATAGGCATGGTGGCGCATGCCTATAATCCCAGCTACTTGGGAGACTGAAGCAGGAGAATTGCTTGAACCCAAGAGGCAGAGGTCGCAGTGAGCCAAGATCACACCACGGCACTTCAGCCTGGGCAACAGAGCAAAATTCTGTCTCAAAAAAAAAGAAAAACTGAAGCTTAGGGAAATTAAGTTGCTAGTAAGTACCAAGATTCAAACTCAGTTCAGCCAAGTTTAAGAACTTAAGGTGTAATATACATGCATATGTGTCAACTTATAAAGTTCTGATTTCTCCTTAAGTATTGTTGTTTCCTTAGATTTTGAAATTCCATTAATCATTTCTATTATTTTTATATTAAGACTTGATGTACATGTAAATTTATATATATATATGTATGTATTTTTTTGTATACGGAGTCTCACACTGTCGCCCAGGCTGGAGTGTGGCGTTGTGATCTCCGCTCACTGCAACCTCTACCTCCCAGGTTCAAGTGATTCTCCTTGCCTCAGCCTCTCAAGTAGCTGGGATTACAGGAGCCCACCACCATGCCTGGCTAAGTTTTTGGTATTTTTAGTAGAGACAGGGTTTCACTATGTTGGCCAGGCTGCTCTCGAACTCTTGACCTCATGATCCATCCATCTTGGCCTCCCAAAGTTTTGGGATTACAGGTGTGAGCCACCACACCTGGCCATACGTTTTTATTTACATGGAACTATTTAATAAAGTTACTAATACATAAAACAGATTATAACAATTAAATTTCTTAAAAACTCACAAAGTATTTTATGTAGACCTAGTATCAGTGAGATTTTTTAATAATAGGATTTATTATCTTCCATATTGCCTACAAAACTTTCTTCAGCTTCATAAAAAGTCAAGTAGAATATTGCACTTAGTTCTTCTCCCACCTCATTTTAAAAATAGTGTATAAATTGTTAGACACAGTGACTCTGCGCCTGTAATCCCAGCTAGTTAGGTGGCTAAGGTAGGAGGATTGCTTGAAGCCAGGAGTTCAAGACCAGCCTGAGCAACACAAAGAGACCTTGTCTCTTTAAAAAAAACAAAAAGCATACCGTATAAGTTTAATTTGAATTATATGTAGGAATTTGTGATAGCAGTCTGTCTTTCAGACTTTCAGAGTCTGAAAGGCACTTTCAGAGATATTTCATTCAGAGGTAGGAAATATTTTAGGATTTATGAAAATGTCATAGTCTTGGTATGATTTTCTCTTAATACAACTTTTATTCCACATGCACCTTTTAAATCTCTTGCTACTTTCTAGTTTTATAACTTTCCATTTGTAATTAGTCTTGTTAAAAGCACTTGCTATGGAGTGTTTTTTATTGTCATTATTACATGGAGTGAAAAAATGCTTCTAAGATAATGTAGTACAGAAATGTATGGTAATTATTGTAACAACACATTTTTGTTAACAAAGCTGTTAAATGCACAACAGTACTTTTTAAAAGCCAACTCTGTAAATGAATTTCTTATAACCATCACATTCTGGCATAGCACTCTAATCAACTATTCAAAAAAAATTTTATATACCTGTTTTTCATAATAAAAAAGAGAAATGAGGTAACGTAAATAAAATACTGATAGAAAAGTAGTTCTTTACTAAAGTATATGTTAATAATTGTGGGACCACTGTCAAAGTCTTACTGTTAGAAAAGTTCTGTAACATATTAATCTTCAGTGTCTTGTTTTTTCAAGCAGTTCTCTAAACATCAGCTATTTCTAGGAGGTGTAACAAAATACTATATACTTTTAACTCATCAAATGACAACAGTTTTTCATTATTACTATTATTTTTTCTTGGCCACTTCTTCCAGGAAAAAAAAGACAAAAATTTTTAAGGCTTTGTTTCTATTTTGCATATGCTTATTGGTAAAACAAACGTGTAGTAATTCCTATTTGTAACTAAATAGTTAAATTATGTTATTTATGTGATGACAGAAGCTGGAGGAATTTGTATTGCCAAGATGGTTATATATATTGGTGGGGATGAGCTGGGGTAGCTCATGTAGAAACATGAATTTTAAACTTTGCTAAATTAATTAAGCTAGTAACCTACTAAACTGAGTCATTCACACTTGTGAATAGTATCTTTGAATGGAATCTAGTCATATCAAAAATTCTAGACAGAAAATATTTTCTAACACTTAAAATGCTTACATTTTTCTTTTAAGTCTTACATTTTTCTTTAAGTCTGACTCTTAATCCGGATGTAAGATTATTGCCATCACTGATGTTTTATTGATTTTTTGGTATATTATTAATGATTATATGTTTTTTCTGAGTTTTTCCATTCTTGAGTGAATAGTAATGTTTTTAGTTTTCAATACAGTGAATAATAGTACTGACAATCCTATAAAATATCTGATAGTTACATCTATTGAGCACTCACCCCATGTGCCAAACACTGTGTTAAATGCTTTATATACAGTATCTCACATACTACTCACAACATCCCTGAGATAGGTCCTATTTCCCCCTATGGTCAAACTCCATCTCTTATGAAACATAAATATTCAGAGAGATAAAATACATAATTTCATTTAACTCAGTTTTCTTTTCTTTTCTTTTCTTTTGAGATGGTATCTTACTCTGTCACCCAAGCTGGAATGTAGTGGCGTGATCACGGCTCACGGCAACCTCCACCTCCTGGGTTTAAGTGATTCTACTACCTCAGCCTCCCAAGTAGCTGGGATTACAGGCACACACCACCATACCCAGCTAATTTTGTATTTTTAGTAAAGATAGGGTTTCACCATGCTGGCCAGGCTGGTCTCGATCTCCCGACCTGAGATGATCTGCCCACCTCAGCCTCCCAAAGTGCTGGGATTACAGGCATCAGCCATTGCACCCAGCCTTAGCTCAGTTTTCAAGCAAGTGCTGGGATTATAGACATGAGCCATTGCACCCAGCCCGAACTCAGTTTTCAAACCACATTTTGAGATCTCAACTAGAACTTCAGTATTCATTTTAAAAATAGTTGGGCCTTCAAATACTGATTTTTAAACAGATTTTCAAAATAAATATTGAATTTTGAAAACACATACTCCAGCCGGGCGCGGTGGCTCACGCTTGTTATCCCAGCACTTTGGGAAGCTGAGGCGGGTGGATCATGAGGTCAAGAGATCGGGACCATACTGGTCAACATGGTGAAACCCCGTCTCTACTAAAAATACAAAAGATCAGCTGAGCATGGTGGCGCGTGCCTGTAATCTCAGCTACTCAGGAGGCTGAGGCAGGAGAATTGCCTGAACCCAAGAGGCGGAGGTTGCAAGTGAGCCGAGATCGCACCATTGCACTCCAGCCTGGGTAACAAGAGCGAAACTCCGTCTCAAAAAAAAAGAAAAAAAAAAAAACAAACAAAAAAAGAAAACACATACTCGATGCCATTTACGTGAGAAATGCATGTCTCCCTCCCCCTCCCCAACCTTTTTTTTTTTTTTTTTTTTTGAGATTGAGTCTAGCTCTGTCACCCATGCTGGAGTGCAGTGGCATAGTCTCAGCTCAGTGCAACTTCCACCTCCCAGGTTCAAGTGATTCTCCTGCCTCAGCCTCCCAAGTAGCTGGGATTACAAGCATGCACCACCATGCCTGGCTAACTTTTTGGTTTTTTAGTAGAGATGGGATTTTGCCATGTTGGCCAGGCTGGTCTTGAACTCCTGATCTCGGGTGATCCACCCGCCTCCGCCTCCCAAAGTGCTGGAATTACAGGCGTGAGCTACTGTGACCGGCCCACTCTTTTTGAATTGTACACAGGATATTTTTATCCAGTTGACTTTTACAAACTAAAATATAGAACTCCTTTTATTTATTTTTATTTTTAGAAAAAATTTTTTCCTCCCTACTGACAATGTAAAAAGCTACTATTTATATTTAGTATATGCACTAAATATCAGGCGCTGTGTTAAGCATCTTGTCTGCATTGTCTCAAGAGGTCTTTCCTATAACCTTTCAAGGCAGGTATCATTATTATCCCCATTATACACATAAGGAAAATTGAGGTTCAGAGAAATTAAATTACTTGCCCAAGATCTGAAAGTCAGTGTTGGAACTAATATTCAAATGTAGGTCTGTCTGATTCCAAAACTTGTGATTTTATTATTACTGTATATTACTGCTATGGAAATTTCTGTTTTCTGTGTTTTTTTGTGTACAAATAACCTTACTCTGTAAAGTGAAATTTAGCAATATGAATATTGTTTTTCAGCTGTAAGTACCAGAGTGCCCACTGCTTCCAACTGTTCTTCTCAGACCACAGAGTGTCTTACACCTGAATCCTGTTCACAGACTACAAGCAATGTGGCTTCCCAGTCTATGCCTCCTGTGTATCCTTCAGTTGACATTGATGCACATGTGAGTAGATGGCTTTATTTAAACCTATTTTGCACATTCTAATTTTCTTTGGAAAGGAAAATTATCATTCTACATTTATTGTGAAAAGAATTATTTTGCTCTTCAATTGATAACTTGTTAAAAAAAATTTAACTTATTTTTTTCTTCTCCTAGACTGAGAGCAATCATGACACAGCATTAACACTAGCTTGTGCAGGTGGTCATGAAGAACTTGTATCTGTGCTTATTGCACGGGATGCCAAAATTGAACACAGAGACAAGAAAGGTAAATGTCAGTCAGAAATAAAATCTGAGTGTAATTACATCAGAAAACAATTGTAATTTTTATTATTGATAAATAGTTCCTGGACTATCTTAGTGATAAGATAGATAAGCATATTTCAATTAGGAATATCCAGATTCATTATTCTGCAGAGCCAAATAATTCTCCAAAAATTAAGACTATAGATCATTAGTGAAAAAGAGCAAGTTGTGGTTGCCCTTCTTAATCCAAAGATATTTCATACAGAGGCATCAAAGTAAATTATGAGTATAAACTTTAATAATTTTTACTGACTTAGTTTTTTAATTAGGTGTTTATGGGTTTTTAGTCAGTAACAAATTAGGGTTTAGAGTAGTTCTATGTTAATTTGTTACCAGTATCTGCCCTGAAGGCTTTATTTTGCTAAAATGCTAAAGAATGGAAAACAGTGGCTTTAAAATAAAACAAGAAACATAAATTTGTTTAAGATTTACATTTTCTGATTTAGGTTTCACACCACTAATCCTGGCAGCAACAGCAGGGCATGTTGGAGTTGTTGAAATTCTTTTGGATAAAGGTGGAGATATAGAAGCACAGTCTGAACGAACTAAGGATACTCCACTTTCATTGGCATGTTCTGGTGGACGTCAGGAGGTGTGTTAATGTTAATTTAATTGTCATTTTGTAAATATTTTGCTTGTATTTTAAAATATGCATATGATTAGTATTTTAGCTACATGAATAAAATTTGCATGTATTTTGTGTGTTTTTCTGAGATAGGGTCTTTTTTTTTTTTTTTTTTTTTAAATTTTTATTATTATTTTTTTTGAGACTGGAGTTTCGCTCTTGTTACCCAGGCTGGAGTGCAATGGCGCGATCTCGGCTCACCGCAACCTCCGCCTCCTGGGTTCAGGCAATTCTCCTGCCTCAGCCTCCTGAGCAGCTGGGATTACAGGCAGGCGCCACCATGCCCAGCTAATTTTTTGTATTTTTAGTAGAGACGGGGTTTCACCATGTTGACCAGGATGGTCTCGATCTCTCGACCTCGTGATCCACCCGCCTTGGCCTCCCAAAGTGCTGGGATTGCAGGCTTGAGCTACCGTGCCCGGCGAGATAGGGTCTTACTCTGTCTCCCAGGCTAGAGTGGAGTGGCGCAATCATAGCTCACTATAATCTCGATCTCTGGGGCTCAAGCAATCCTCAGCCTCCCATGCAGCTAGGGCTATTTTGTAGAGATGGGGTCATGTAATGTTGCCCAGGCTGGCTTCAAACTCCTGGCTTCCCAAAGTACAAGGATTATAGTTATGGGCCAGCATGCCTGGCCCTGCCCATGTTTTGACACGTTCCATATACTTTCTGAGGAAAGGGATACTTCTGTTACGTTTTATGGGAATGTAAATGCCCTTTTCTGGCAGGGGGTAGTGGGGAGAACAGAAGGGTGGAGATGAGGTCTCATGTTGCCCAGGCTGGCCTTGAACTCCTGGCCTCAAGGGATCTTCCTGCCGTGGCCTCTCAAAGTGCTGGGATTACAGGGATGAGCCACCATGCCTGGCTCCAAATGCTGTTTTAAAGAATCTGTTTCTAGCCCTTAAAGCCAAATAAAAATTATCTTAATCCTTACATTTATTTAGATTGAATGAATCACAATTCTAACACATGAGATGCAAATTTATTGCTCAATAAATGACAAATTAGGGTAACATCTTGTTATTGCAGTATAATTGGGATTTCAAAGCTCTGAATTCGTGAGATTGAATCCATTTATCTAGTGCTGACATTTCAATATTTAGGGCCTAATGAAATGTAATTAAAATATCATATATTTAGATAAGGAAGTTATAAATCCTGTTTCTTTGTGTTTCCTTCATTATAAGTTGAGCCCTTGGTGTAAACACTCTTCTCTATCCATATTTTACTTTGTAGGTGGTAGACTTGCTGCTGGCTCGAGGTGCAAATAAAGAACATAGGAATGTATCTGATTATACACCACTGAGTCTAGCTGCATCTGGAGGATATGTTAATATCATTAAGATTCTGCTTAATGCTGGGGCAGAAATTAATTCAAGGTATTAACCTGTTAATTTTATTTTTCATGTTTTGTAAGTTACTTCTAAATTACTACTATGGAGTTAAATGTCTACCTCTAAGCGTTTAGACAGATACCATTTTAAATTAAGATAGTACTAAAGTTGCAAAGCCAACAATTACACCTATAATGTGTTTATAAGTAATCTCAGCTTATCTCAGTAATGTGGTTGCTTATAAAGAGGTCTCATTTCAAAATTTTGAAATTTTGTTCTGTGGCCCTTCCACCCTAAACTTACCCAGTCTCATCTGATCTCAGAAACAGTACTTTATATATGTTGGAAATTTATAATCCCCTAAGTAGAAATTATGTTTTATTATTTCTTTACTTTTTTTTTTGAGGTGGAGTTTCACTTTGTTGCCCAGGCTGGAGTGCAATGGCATGATCTCGGCTCATTGCAACCTCCACCTTCCTGGTTCAAGTGATTCTCCTGCCTCGGCCTCCAGAGTAGCTGGGTTTACAAGCATGCACCTCCACACCCAGCTAACTTTGTATTTTTAGTAGAGGCAGGGTTTCTCCATGTTGGTCAGGCTGGTCTCAAACTCCCAACCTCAGGTGATCCACCCACCTTGGCCTTCCAAAGTGTTAGGATTATGGGCGTGAGCCACTGTGCCCAGCCAGAAATTATGTTTTAAATTGTGGCATTTTCTTATTCTTTATTATTGTTGAAACAAAATCTATTAATTGATATTAGAAACTTCTCTTTTTAGTGAAACATTTTCATCTTTAATGCTTTTCTAAAATAATAGGCAACATATTATTTTAATTTTCTAAGCAAATTTCCCCCCTTAGGACTGGGAGTAAACTAGGTATTTCTCCCCTGATGTTGGCTGCAATGAATGGACATGTTCCTGCAGTAAAACTGCTGCTTGATATGGGTTCAGACATTAATGCCCAGATAGAGACCAATCGGAACACGGCTCTCACCCTGGCCTGTTTCCAGGGCCGAGCAGAAGTAGTGAGTTTGCTTCTGGACCGAAAAGCCAATGTTGAACACAGGGCAAAGGTAAGCATTTTATAACTTGTCGACTATTTCAGATACATTTCTAATGGAAAAAATGTGGCATTTTAACTCAAATTGAATGTAATATTTTAAGTTGTCATAAGTTAAAACTGATACCCCACTGCAGAATTGGGGGATTATGCTATGTAGTAGTGAGTGACATACCGTCACCATTAAGACTTTTATTAAGGACAGTGAAGAAAACAGAATTAGTACTTTTCCCAACCTCAGCCTTGAATAGCTTTCTATTAATACTGTAGCTTACAACTTTTGAATGTAGTAAGATAATTTTGTATTAACTCTTACACTATAGACTTTTAAAGAAGTCCTTTCATGAGGCATGTGCTTATTATTGTAAAATCCCAAGCAAAACTTCAGTTCATAAGTTATAAAATTAGGGCAGCTAACATCTAATTTGACCATGGCAGATTTTGACAGTTTCATGACTATTTGTTATTAAGAAAATAGGAATTAGTGTGTCATTGGCTTGAATTTCTTTGCTTAGAACTGCAAGGTTCTTAGAACTCCGGGAAAATGTAGGTTGGGTAGAATTTTTAATAATCAGCCAACAGCAAATCTAATGGCCATTTCAAATTGGAAAGGTTTGACTGGAAATCCTATGTATTTTCCCTAAAATTTTTTTGAGATGGAAATCATTTTGTTCTTGTTGCCCACCCAGGCTGGAGTGCGTTGACACGATCTTGGCACATGGCAACCTCTACCTCGTGGGTTCAAGCAATTCTCCTGCCTCAGCCTCCCAAGTAGCTGGGATTACAGGCATGCACCACCACACCCAGCTAGTTTTGTATTTTTAGTAGAGATGGGGTGTCTCTATGTTGGTCAGGCTGGTCTCAAACTCCCGATCTCAGGTGATCCACCCACCTCAGCCTCCCAAAGTGCTGGGATCATAGGCATGAGCCACTGCGCCCAGCCTCCTTTTACTTCTTTTTTTTTTTTTTTTTTTTTTGAGACAGAGTTTTGCTCTTGTTACCCAGGCTGGAGTGCAATGGCGCCATCTCGGCTCACCGCAACCTCCACCTCCTGGGTTTAGGCAGTTCTCCTGCCTCAGCCTCCATAGCTGGGATTACAGGCACGCGCCACCATGCCCAGCTAATTTTTTGTATTTTTAGTAGAGACGGGGTTTCACCATGTTGACCAGGATGGTCTCGATTTCTTGACCTCGTGATCCACCCGCCTCGGCCTCCCAAAGTGCTGGGATTACAGGCTTGAGCTACCGCGCCGAGCCTCCTTTTACTTCTTAAAGTTTAGTGCGACATTTACATTCTTTTAATATAAGTAATGAGTAAATGTAGTTTTGTTGTTGTTATTGTTGTTGTTTTTTACCACACAAAGAGAAATGAGTTTTTCCTGTTACTCAGTTTTTTTTCTGTTACAAGTATTCATTGTGTGCCACTTATCCATTAAAAGGCCTAGAGAAATCTACATTATTTTGAATGGTACCAATAGGAAATGTCCTTTGAAAAAATGTTACAGACTAATATACCAAAGGCACATGTGCAAAAAATTTATAAAGTGATTTTACTCTTTTTATTTTTAATGTCACTATTCATTGTGCAAAGAAATTATCTGAGTAAATTTATGAAAGTATAGAAATTATGGGATTTATTTTAGCATGAGATAACATGTTTTAAGTTCATTCTAGCATGTCTAACTGAATCTAACAATTTTTACTGCTGTTTAGTAAAATTCAAGGCTAAATATTGCTTAGCTCTTTTGAGAGCTAATCAGAATTAGAATTGTCTTAAAAGTTAATTGCTTCAGTTTTTTAAAGAAATTATATAACTTAGTTTTGGTCCATGGAATAGTTAAAAAGAAAAAAAGAAGCCGGGCGCGGTGGCTCAAGCCTGTAATCCCAGCGCTTTGGGAGGCCGAGGCGGGTGGATCACGAGGTCAAGAGATCGAGACCATCCTGGTCAACATGGTGAAACCCCGTCTCTACTAAAAATACAAAAAATTAGCTGGGCATCGTGGCGCATGCCTGTAATCCCAGCTACTCAGGAGGCTGAGGCAGGAGAATTGCCTGAACCCAGGAGGCAGAGGTTGCAGTGAGCCGAGATCGTGCCATTGCACTCCAGCCTGGGTAACAAGAGCGAAACTCCGCCTCAAAAAAAAAAGAAAGAAAGAAAGAAAGAAATTATGTAACTTAATTGCATGATTTATTGGTTTAAACAGACTGGTCTTACCCCTTTGATGGAAGCAGCTTCTGGAGGGTATGCAGAGGTTGGAAGAGTTCTTCTTGATAAAGGAGCAGATGTTAATGCTCCCCCTGTGCCTTCCTCAAGAGACACTGCTTTAACAATAGCAGCAGACAAAGGTCACTACAAATTTTGTGAACTCCTGATTCATAGGTAAGTAATTTCCTATTATACATAGAACTTCTCATAGTCCTTTTCACGTTTCAGTGTTTTTAAAGTTAATTACATTATTTTGCTTTATTGACATTGTTAAGATTGTTTGCATGTTATTTTGTAAAAGATAGAAGATGATAGAAAAAACTAGAAAAAGCCAACCTCTTCTTACAGGAAACAAACTGTATTAATATTCTTTGTTTACAGGGGAGCCCACATTGATGTTCGTAACAAAAAGGGAAATACACCACTTTGGCTGGCATCCAATGGAGGTCATTTTGATGTTGTGCAGTTGCTAGTACAAGCAGGTGCTGATGTAGATGCAGCAGATAACCGGAAAATCACGCCCCTTATGTCAGCATTTCGCAAGGTAATTTGATATAGGGGAAGAAAGGTCAAATTTAGTAATTTCAAGCCAATTCTAAGTTGAAACCATGTGAAAAAGATAAGTTGATGTTGGAGAATTGAATATATTTCCATACAAAAATCACTGTTATCTTTCCATTCTTTTTTTTTATTTTTGAGACAGAGTTTCGCTTTTGTTGCCCAGGCTGGAGTACAGTGGCATGATCTCGGCTCACCACAACCTCCGCCTCTTGGGTTCAAGTGATTCTCCTGCCTTAGCCTCCTGAGTAGCTGGGATTTACAGGCATGTGCCACCACACCCAGCTAATTTTTTATTTTTAGTAGAGATGGGGTTTCTCCTTGTTAGTCAGGCTGATCTCCAACTCCCGACCTCAAGTGATCCACCTGCCTTAGCGTCTCAAAGGCTGGGACTACAGGCATGAGCCACTGGGCCCGGCCTTCTTTCCATTCTTTTGTGGCCAAATCTAAGAGCTATGTGGTAGTTCACTATAAGCAACTTGATTGTTAAATCACTTGGTGTCTTGACTATTTGTGATATGATGTTCATAAAATAGAAGATTTAAGGAAATGTATTATATGCAGATGGATTTTTTTCTACCTAAAAAGGTGTAGACTTTCATAAAATGTTACTGTATCGTGTGTGTGTGTGTGTGTGTGTGTGTGTGTGTATGTGTGTGTGTCAGAGAGAGAGAGAGAGAAACAGGTTCTCACTCTGTCACCTAGGCTGGAGTACAGTGGCATGATCATTGCTCACTATAGCCTCAGCCTCACAGGCTCAAGTGATCCTTCTGCCTCAGCCTCCCAAGTAGCTGGGACCACAGGTGTGCACCACCATGCTCAGATTTTTTTATTTTTATGTTTTGTAGAGATGAGGTCTTGCTATGTTGCCCAGGCTGGTCTCAAACGATCCTCCCATCTCCACCTTCCAAAGTGCTGAGATATGGGTGTGAGCTACCATGCCCAGCCCTCTTATATATATTAAAGTTCACGGCCGGGCACGGTGGCTCAAGCCTGTAATCCCAGCACTTTGGGAGGCCGAGGCGGGTGGATCACGAGGTCAAGAGATCGAGACCATCCTGGTCAACATGGTGAAACCCCGTCTCTCCTAAAAATACAAAAAATCAGCTGGGCATGGTGGCACGTGCCTGTAATCCCAGCTACTCAGGAGGCTGAGGCAGGAGAATTGCCTGAACCCAGGAGGCGGAGGTTGCAGTGAGCCGAGATCGCGCCATCGCACTCCAGCCTGGGTAACAAGCGAAACTCCGTCTCAAAAAAAAAAAAAAAAAAAGTTCACTTATCTGCCATATTTTTAAAAGCCTTCCCATTGCTATAGCTTCCCAAACTATAAACTACTTATTAGAGCCTGTAAAGACCTGCATAATAAGGTTCGTGTCAACCTCTCCAGGCCAGTCAAAATTTGTGATAGTATCCCCCTTTGCTCACTACGTTCTCTAGATACTGGCCTAGAATGCACTAAATTTTCAACTGTCTCGGGGCATTTGCTCACTGGTTTTCTTTTGCTAACATGTTTTCCCTTGCTCTTCACCTAGCTCACCTCTCTACTTGTCCATTAGCTCCAGTTTTACATGTCACTTCTCAAAGAGTTCTTCCCTAACACCTGATCCATAAAAGGTCCCTCTGGTTCTCTTTTTTCTTTTATTTTTTTTATTTTTTTATTTTTTATTATTGCATTTTAGGTGTTGGGGTACATGTGAAGAACATGCAAGATTGTTGCATAGGTACACACATGGCAGTGTGGTTGATGCCTTCCTTCCCCTCACCTGTATCTGTCATTTCTCCCCATGCTGTCTCTTCCTACCTCCCCACCCCCCCATCCCTCCCCCATTTCCCCCCAACGGACCCCTGGTTCTCTTTTTTTTTTTTTTTTTTTTTTTTGAGACGGAGTTTCGCTCTTGTTACCCTGGCTGGAGTGCAATGGCGCGATCTCGGCTCACCGCAACCTCCGCCTCCTGGGTTCAGGCAATTCTCCTGCCTCAGCCTCCTGAGTAGCTGGGATTACAGGCACGCGCCACCATGTCCAGCTAATTTTTTGTATTTTTAGTAGAGACGGGGTTTCACCATGTTGACCAGGATGGTCTCGATCTCTCGACCTCGTGATCCACCCGCCTCGGCCTCCCAAAGTGCTGGGATTACAGGCTTGAGCCACCGCGCCCGGCCCCCTGGTTCTCTTTTATAGTTGAGTTTTAATTTTCCTTATTCCAATTTGTAATTATATCTTCAAATATATACTTACCATTTTAATGCCTATCTAGCCAACTAGACTGGTAGGTCCATGAGGACAAGAGTCATGACTATCTTTTTCAGCACTGTTTATATACCCAGTTATTTAGCACAGTGCAATTTACATATAGTGAAGTGCATGAATCTTAAGGTATGTGGCTTAATTCGTTTTAATAAATGTATACATACATTTAACTCATACCCCATAAAGATACAAATTATTTCTGTAACCCTAGAAGGTTCCTTCTTGCCCACTTTTAGTCACTTTCCTGCCTCAGAGGCAAGCATTTCTCTGATTTTTATCTCCATTACACTAATTCTTGAGGACGTTTTAGAACCTTAGTAGGAAGAGAAACTATGCAAGTTTGGTTATATTAAAATAGATACACTGGCTGGGCACAGTGGCTCATTTCTGTAATCCCAGCGTTTTGGGAGACCAAGGTGGGTGGATCACCTGAGGTCAGGAGTTCGAGACCAGCCTGGCTGACATGGTGAAACCCCATCCCTACCAAAAACATAAAAATTAGCCGGGCATGGTGGCAGGCGCTATAATCTCGGCTATCCCGTAGGCTGAGGCAGGAGAATTGCTGGAACCCGGGAGGCGGAGGTTGCAGTGAACCAACCTCCAGCACCATTGCACCATTGCCCTCCAGCCTGGGCGACAACAGCGAGACTCTGTCTCAAAAAAAAAAAAAAAAAAAAAGATATGCTTAGAATTGGTTACAAATCTTTCAGCCCTTAATAATGGTGTTTAGAAAGTATTTTTATTTAGATTCAAGTCCTAAGGCTCAGAAAGATGTGATAGTTCATCTTGTTTAGTTAGTGAGGCTTTGAAATTTTAAAAAATCCTTTGTTTTAGGACTTACTTCCCTTTTACACTGAGGTTCATTTTACATTACCAATGTTTGTTTTATTAATAGATTTATTCTAGGAGATACTGTTTTTCTACAAAACCTTTTTCTACTTTCAGTGGAATTAAATTCAGGATAAGTGTCTTCTAGTCCACCATGCATTCCTGAGCACACATTCTTGTATTTATGCTTTTCTGTTTATAAACTGAACACTGATCTTGTTTTTGTAATTTTAATTTTTAAATTTAGTAAATTATCTGGCATTATTAATCTGCCTTTTTATTCTTAAGTTGGTAAGCATACATGCCAAATTTCAAGGGATTCCTTTGTATTTTTTGTTGTTGTGTACTTTTATTTTTATTCTTAAAAATAATATATTTTCGGCCGGGTGCGGTGGCTCAAGCCTGTAATCCCAGCACTTTGGGAGGCCAAAGCAGGCGGATCACAAGGTCAGAAGATCGAGACCATCCTGGACAACATGGTGAAACCCCGTCTCTACTAAAAATACAAAAAATTAGCTGGGCATGGTGGCACGTGCCTGTAATCCCAGCTACTCGGGAGGCTGAGGCAGGAGAATTGCCTGAACCCAGGAGATGGAGGTCGCGGTGAGCCGAGATCGCGCCATTGCACTCCAGCCTGGGTAACAAGAGCGAAACTCCGTCTCAAAAATAATAATAATAATAATAATAATATATTTTCCTGCTACCTTGTCTAAGATTGTTGTACTTCTTACAGGGTCATGTAAAAGTTGTTCAATATTTGGTAAAGGAAGTAAATCAGTTTCCTTCTGATATAGAATGCATGAGATACATAGCAACAATTACAGATAAGGTAAGTTTAATATGCTACTGAAGCACATTTTTGTTCTTTGTGGAGTGATATGCCAAAGTGTGCAGTTAGGAACTTGTTCTTTTTATATGCCGAGAGGTTAGTCACCAGATCTCTTTATGCTTTTGTTTCTCCATTTGCAAAATAGATGGATATAATACTTTTGATAAACTATTTTGAGATTTCTACTGTGGACCATAGTCACAGTGACTACAGCTAAGGTACTAAACTATTAGTCTGATTAGAATGCTTCTTAAGGACATGCAGGTTTTTAGGGAAATGGCACCTTATTTTTGTGAAAGATTGATACATGCCTGGACTCAAAGGATAGCTTAATTTGGTTTAGTGACTTTTCAGTTTGAGTGTTAACCTCTGGACTTTAAAGGTGCTCATCAGCTTAAGTTTTATTTGGCCTCTTTATATTATGTTTCATTATATATTTACATAATTCTGCTGTCCGCTGTAGGAACTATTGAAAAAATGTCATCAATGTGTTGAGACGATTGTGAAGGCTAAAGACCAGCAAGCTGCAGAAGCAAATAAGAATGCAAGTATTCTTTTAAAGGAACTTGATCTGGAAAAGGTGAGTGGGAAAAACAATGTTCTTTTTAGAAATTTTTGAGGCTAGGTGTAATGTCCAGCTCTACAGGGTTCTGTGAGCTGCTCCTGGCTGATGCGGAGATGAGAAATTGCAGAAAAAAAAGACACAAGCCACAGAGATAGAGAAAAGAGTTTGGGCCCAGGGGTCCACTGCTACCCAAATTGGGGAGACCAGCAGTGGCCCCGCGGGACGCTCTCACTTTTATTGAGTTGCAAATCTGGGAAGCAGGGTAGGTAGGGCGTGGCCTTGGTGGTTGGTAACTGGGGGCAGGGTAGATAGGGCATGGCAGTGATAGGGTCAAGCACTTTTTCCATACTTACCAAGAAAGAACTAAAACATTAAGATTTATGTTACTATTACTGATTATCTTTTCTAAGACATAGGAACCAGGTGCAGAAGTAGAACGTAAGAGTGGACATGGGACGTGACCACTGAAGCACAGCATCACATAGAGACAGTTAAGCCCCTGGATGTCTGCGGGCCTACCTGACAGCCGCCAGGCCTTACCACAAGAGCTTGGAGAAGCGGAGTTTTTCCAGACTTCCCCAGGAAAGAGATGTCTTGGCCATTTTGGACATCTCCTTCCCTAGTTGGCTAAACAGCGGGCGCTTTCACAGCGCTGACACTGAGGCACAGCCAAGGTGCCCTCCAGCAGCCCTTATGTGGGCGTGACAGAGAGCTTAAAGCATCTTGCCTTAGTGTCATTCATTTCACAGTGTCACCCCAGGTTCACATTTCTTACCTGATAGGCATTAGTAAAGGAATTAAGATCACCTATGAATAACTAAGATCACATATGAATAACTAATAACTACTATGGTTGTATTTCTAGTTACTTCCTTCTTCATTATTTATATGGAAATAGGCTGAGGCCTTTTGCTCCTGTCTTGGTGCTTATGGGATCTCCCTGCTACAGCTAGGCATGGTAGCTCACACCTGTAATCCCAACAATTTCGGAGGCTGAGGCAGGAGGATCTCTTGAGCCCAGGGATTCAAGACCAATTTGGGCAACATAGTGAGGATGAGAGGTAGGGCTGAACCCAGGAGGCAGAGGTTGCAGTGAGCTGTGATTCTGCCATTGCACTCTAGCCTGGGTGACAGAGTGAGACCTCGTCTCTACAAAAAAAAAAAATTTTAATAAACAGCTGGGTATGGTGGTGCCTGCAGTCCTAACTACTCAGGAGGCTGAAGTGGAAGGATCACTTTGAGTCCAGGAGGTCAAGGCTCCAGTGAGCCATGATTGTACCACTGTAGTCCAGCCTAGACAACAGTTCAAGACTCTGTCTCTACTTTAAAAAAAAAAAAAAAAGAAAAGAAATTGTCAGATGTCATGGCTCATGCCTGTAATCCCAGCACTTCGGGAGGCTGAGGAGGGTAGATTGCTTGAGCCTCAGAGTTTGAGACCAGCCTGGGCAACATGACAAAACCCCATCTCTACAAAAAACAAAAATTATCCAGGCATGGTGGCAGGCACCTAGAGTCCCAGCTACTTGGGAGGCCTTGCTGGGAGGATGGCTTGAACCCAGGAGGCAGAGGTTGTAGTGAGCTGCGATTGTGCCACTGCACTCTAGCCTGGGTAGCAGAGACCCTGCCTCAGACAAAAAGAAAATCTGCTAGAATAAACTTGTCACCTGTATGACCAATACTCTTAACAATATACGATGCAAAGATAATGGTTAATAGATTCTTGTACCACCATCAGTTTCTTGATTCTGACCTGTCATTCAAAAAAATGTATTTTGAGCCCAAATATAGGTAAGGGACTAGATTTTGAGCAAGATCCCAATTTATGGCTAGGTGCAGTACCTCACACCTGTCATCTCAGCATTTTGGGACGCCTAGGAGGGAGAATGGCTTGAGCTCAGGATTGGAGATCAGGATGGGCCATAGTGAGACTTTATCTCTACTAAAAGTTTAAAAACTTCACTGGGCATGGTGGTGCACACCCATAGTCCCAGCTACTCAGGAGGCTGAGGCGAGAGGATCACTTGGCCCTGGGAGGTTAAGGCTGCAGTGAGCTATGATTTTGGCACTGCACTCCAGCCTGGGTGACAGAGCGAGACCCTGGCACCAAAGGAAAAAAAAAAAAAAAAAAAAAAAGATCCTGTCTGGGCGCAGTGGCTCATGCCTGTAATCTCAGCACTTTGGGAGGCCAAGGCAGTCGGATCACCTGAGGTTAGGAGTTTAAGACCAGCCTGGCCAACATGGTGAAACCCTATCTCTACTAAAAGTATAAAAATTAGCCGGGCATGGTGGCACACACCTGTAGTCTCAGCTACTCAGGGGGCTGAGGCAGAAGAACTGCTTGAACCCAGGACAAAGAGGTTGCAGTGAGCCAAGACTGCACCACTGCACTCCATCCTGGGTGACAGAGCTAGACTCTGTCTCAAAAAAAAGAAACCTATGTTAACATTGGTCTGCAGAGAAATTTAGTAAAGCATTGGAAATCATTTGTTTATCTTAAAATCTGGGTTACAAGTGATTTATTAGATTCCCAATTAAAGACTGTCTAGTGTCCTAGGATGTGTGGTATAATGGAAAAATTAAAACAAACTAAAACTTTTCCTTTCTGAGACTCAGTCTGCTTACCTCGAAAATGATAGTGTTGATACTGAGTTCAGAAATTATATTGAAAGAAAAAACAAAAAAATAAAAGAAAAAACATTATGATTAAGTAGAGTTATTCTAGGAATGCAAGAGATAGCTTAACATGAAAATATTTTGTTGATGATTAAAGGAAAAGAAAAAGTATGATCATTGAGACATGCTAAAATTTTGACAGCAAATTTTGGTTTAAAAAATTTAGTAAGCTAAAGAGAGAAGAAAATATTGCTTATAATCACAGAGGAGAAAAAAAAGATAACTTACCCATAATAAAAAATGATCATGTGAATAGGCAATTCACAGAAAAAGAAATACAGGCTGGGCATGTGTTGTGGCTCATGCCTGTCATCTTAGTACTTTGGGAGGCTGAGGCAGCAGGATCACTAGAACCAAGGAGTTCAAGACCAGCCTGGGCAACATAGTGGGATCCCGTCTCTACTTTAAAAAAAAAAATGCAGGGCCGGGCGTGGTGGCTCACACATGTAATCCCAGCACTTTGGGAGGCCGAGATGGGTGGATCATGAGGTCAAGAGATCGAGACCATCCTGTTCAACATGGTGAAACCCTGTCTCTACTAAAAATACAAAAAATTAGCTGGGTATGGTGGCGCATGCCTATAATCCCAGCTACTCAGGAGGCTGAGGCAGGAGAATTGCCTGAACCCAGGAGGCGGAGGTTGCGGTGAGCCGAGATCATGCCGTTGCACTCCAGCCTGGGTAACAACAGCGAAACTCTGTCTCAAAAAAAAAACAAAGAAAAATGCAAATAAATAAAAATAAATTCTATAAAGCAGGAAAGAATCATCTCTGTAATAGCTTCTTATTTGTATTTTTACAGCGAGATTTATCAGTCTTTTGTAAGGATCATGATAGCTGCATTTTAGGCACATAAATAGATGCCACATAAATGTTTTTGTTAAATAGCATTAGTGAAATTCACTCCACAGACCACACAATTTACCCATATAAAGTTACATACACACCTACATACAGTCCTAGCACTTTGGGAGGCCGAAGTGGGCAGATCACCTGAGGTCAGGAGTTCGAGACCAGCCTGGCTAACATGGTGAAACCCCATCTCTTTTTTTTTTTTCTTTTTTTTTTAAATGGTCATAGTTAATATTTATTGAGCATTCTCTATATGTCAGGCAATGTTCTAAGTGATTTCATTTTTAAAAAATTTTATTTTATTGCATTTTAGGTTTTGAGGTACATGTGAAGAATATGCAAGATTGTTGCATAGATACATACGTGGCAGTGTGATTTGCTGCCTTCCTCCCCATCATCTATATCTGGCATTTCTCCCCAATTCCCCACCCCCCGCTGTCCCTCCCCTATTTCCCCCCAACAGACCCCAGTGTGTAGTGTTCCCCTCCCTGTGTCCATGTGTTCTCATTGTTCAACACCTGCCTATGAGTGAGAACATGCAGTGTTTGATTTTCTGCTCTTGTGTCAGTTTGCTGAGAATGGTGGTTTCCAGGTTCATCCATGTCCCTACAAAGGACACAAACTCATCGTTTTTGATGGCTGCATAATATTCCATGGTGTGTATGTGCCACATTTTCCCTGTCCAGTCTATCATTGATGGACATTTGGGTTGGTTCCAGGTCTTTGCTATTGTAAACAGTGCTGCAGTGAACATTTGTGTGCACGTGTCCTTATAGCAGAACGATTTATAATCCTTTGAATATATACCCAGTAATGGGATTGCTGGGTCAAATGGAATTTCTATTTCTAGGTCCTTGAGGAATCGCCACACTGTCTTCCACAATGGTTGAATTAATTTACACTCCCACCAACAGTGTAAAAGTGTTCCTGTTTCTCCACATCCTCTCCAGCATCTGTTGTCTCCAGATTTTTTAATGATCGCCATTCTAACTGGCGTGAGATGGTATCTCAAAGTAGTTTTGATTTGCATTTCTCTGATGACCAGTGATGATGAGCATTTTTTCATATGTTTGTTGGCCTCATGTATGTCTTCTTTTGTAAAGCACCTGTTCATATCCTTTGCCCACTTTTGAATGGGCTTGTTTTTTTCTTGTAAATCTGTTTTAGTTCTTTGTAAATTCTGGATATCAGCCCTTTGTCAGATGGGTAAACTGCAAAAACTTTTTCCCATTCATTGGTTGCCGATTCACTCTAATGACTGTTTCTTTTGCCGTGCAGAGGCTCTGGAGTTTGATTAGGTCCCATTTATCTATTTCGGCTTTTGTTGCCAATGCTTTTGATGTTTTAGTCATGAAGTCCTTGCCCACGCCTATGTCCTGGATGGTTTTGCCTAGATTTTCTTCTAGGGTTTTTATGGTGTTAGGTCTTATGTTTAAGTTTTTAATCCATCTGGAGTTAATTTTAGTGTAAGGTGTCAGGAAGGGGTCCAGTTTCTGCTTTCTGCACATGGCTAGCCAGTTTTCCCAACACCATTTATTAAAGAGGGAATCTTTTCCCCATTGCTTGTTTTTGTCAGGGGTGAAACCCCATCTCTACTCAGAATAAAAAAATTAGCCAGGCATGGTAGCACATGCCTGTAATCCCAGCTACCTGGGAGGCTGAGGCAGAAGAATCACTGGAACCTGCCATGCATGCGGAGGCTGCAGTGAGCCAACATCGCACCACTGCACTACAGCCTGGGTGACAGAGCGAGACTCTATCTCTAAAATAAATAAAATAAAATAAAATAATAAAATAGGTTATGTAATTCAGTGGTGTTTAGTATATTCACAGAACTGTACATTTATCAGCACAATTAATTTTGGAACATTATGACTATCGTAAAAAGAAACCCTGTACTACATAGCTATCACATTCCTATTCCCCCTCTGCAATCTCTCTGTCCTAGGTAACTACTAATCTACTTTCTATCTCTATAGATTTGCCAGTTCTGGACTTCTCACATAAATGAAATCATACAATATTTGGTCTTTTGTGTCTGGCTTTTTCACTTGGTGAAATGTTTTCAAAATTCATCTATGTTGTAGCCCAAATGAGTGCTTTATTTCTTTTTATTGCCAAATACAAAAACAATTCTGTTCTCTAGATAGATCATATTTTGTTTATCTGCTTATCAGTTAATGGACATTGGGTTGTTTTCACTTTTTGGCAAGTATAAATAATGCTACTATGAACATAAGTATACAGGTTTTTGTATGAAAATCTTTTTATTTCTCTGGAGTATGTACCTATGAATGGAATTACTGAATCATGCTAGTTCTGTGTTTAACTATTTAAGGCAGTGCCAGACTATTTTCAAAAGTGGCTATATCATTTTACATTCCTACCTGCAGTATATGAAGGTTTCAGTTTCTCTACACCCTCACCAATATTATTATCTGTCTTTTTGATTGTGGCCATCCTAGTGGGTATGAAGTGGATATCTTGTAATTTGGATTTTATTTTCCCTGATAGCTAATTGAACATCTATCTCTTTCTGTGCTTATTGGTCATTTGTATATTTTCTTTGGAGAAATGTCTATTCAGATCCTTTTTCTACTTAAACAAAAATAGCTTTATTGAGGTATGTTTGACAAATAAAAATTTGTGTATATTTGAAGTGTTTAACTTTTTTTTTAAATTAATTTTTTTCTTTTTAGAGACAGGATCTTACTCTGTTGCCAAGGCTTAGTGCAGTGGCATGATTATAGGTCACTGGAGCCTCAAACTCCTGGTCACATGCAGTCCTCCTGCCTCCCAAGTACCTGGGACTATAGGCATAGGTCACCTAAAAAATAATTTGCTTATTTTTTTTATAGAGGTGGGATCTTGCTATGTTGCTCAGGCTGGTCTTAAACTCCTGGGCTCAGGCAGTCTTCCCTCTTCCCTCCTCAGTCTCCCAAAGTGCTTGCTTGTATTACAGGTGTGAGCTACCATACCCAATCTATATATAACTTCATGTTTTCATAATCTGTTTTTTAAATTGATTGTCTTCATTAGTGAGTTAAGGTTTTTTTTTTATATATTGTAGATACAAGTCCTTTACGAGTTGTATGATTTGCAAAAATATTTTTCCCATTTTAAACATGGACTTTTTGCTTGCTTGCTTGCTTTTTTTTTTTTTTTTTTTTTTTTTTTTTTTTTTTTTTTTGAGACAGAGCCTCACTCTGTCTCCCAGGCTGGAGTGTAGTGGTGCAATCTCAGCTCACTGCAACCTCCACCTCCCAGGTTCCCAGGTTCAAGTGATTCTCTTGCCTCAGCCTCTCCATTAGCTGGGACTACAGGTATGTGCCACCACATCCAGCTAATTTTTGTATTTTTAGTAGAGATGGGTTTTGCCATGTTGGCCAGGCTAGTCTCGAACTCTTGACCTCAGGTTATCCACTGGCCTCAGCCTCTCAAAGTGCTGGGATTTTACAGGTGTCAGCCACCACACCCAGCCAACTTTTTACTTTCTTGACGATTCCTTTGAAGTACAAAAGTTTTTAATTTTGATGGTGTCCAGTTTATTTTTTCTTGGTGACATTTATAAATGTGTTTTGAGAGTAACATCCATGGAAATTCCTGTGTATCATAAACAAAAATATCATTTCATTCTTTATTTTACATTACTGCCTTATTGTTAAAATTACAAACCCACTTTATTTGCAGTCAAGAGAAGAGAGCAGAAAGCAGGCTCTTGCCGCTAAAAGAGAGAAAAGAAAAGAAAAGAGAAAAAAGAAAAAAGAGGAACAGAAAAGGAAACAGGAAGAAGATGAAGAAAACAAACCTAAGGAGAATTCAGAACTACCAGAGGATGAAGATGAAGAGAATGATGAATATGGTGAGAAACGAACCACCTGAATTAGTGGTGGTTCTCCTTTGTTTATCAACTTCATTTTGAGTCTTTTTTGCTCTAGTTAACTCTAGTTAAACATTTGATTATTAATCTGAAAAGTGGTTTGCATTGTAAACCAAGCATGTAATTTGAAGAAATTCAGTTGTAATTTAAATCATCTCATAAAACATTGCATGTATGCTAAAAGCAATATAGTAAGAGGTTTGCCAGCTTTTTTCAAGGTTTTCTGTAACTTTTCCTCTCTTGATTAGAAGTACAGTTTCTCAATTTATTTTCAGCTGAGATTCAGGCTCAAGGATACAGAGACCTGAAATGTCAGTAGAGATGGGTTTAGTACTCTCAAAGAGTTGTTTATTGTACTGTCTGGCAGTGCTTATAATAGGCAAATAATTTTGTTCTACTTGAATTCTAATTCTAAAATACTATTTGAAAAATGTCCTAAATTCAAACTATATTGTGGTTTTGGTTAGTTCATGTGACTAGAATTAAGAATATTGCAGTCGGGCGCGGTGGCTCAAGCTTGTAATCCCAGCACTTTGGGAGGCCGAGGCGGGTGGATCACGAGGTCGAGAGATCGAGACCATCCTGGTCAACATGGTGAAACCCCGTCTCTACTAAAAATACAAAAAATTAGCTGGGCATGGTGGCATGTGCCTGTAATCCCAGCTACTCAGGAGGCTGAGGCAGGAGAATTACCTGAACCCAGGAGGCGGAGGTTGCGGTGAGCCGAGATCGTGCCATTGCACTCCAGCCTGGGTAACAAGAGCGAAACTCCGTCTCAAAAAAAATATATATATATTGCTAGTATATATGTCCTATACCACCTCAGACAATAAAATATAATAGTGTATATTTGTTCTGATAACAAATAATAGTAAATATTTATTAGGCTAACAACAGCAAAGATTTTTGTTTGTTTGTTTTGAGACAGAGTCTCCCTCTGCTGCACAGGCTGGAATGCAGTGGCGCAATCTCAACTCACTACAATCTCTGCCTCCCAGGCTCAGGTGATCCTCCCACCTCAGCCTCCCGAGTAGATGGGACCACAGGCACTCACCACTACCCCCTGCTAGTTTTTGCATTTTTTGTAGAAACAAGATTTTGCCATGTTACCCTGGCTGGTCTTGAACTCCTGAGCTCAAGTAATCCACCTGCCTTGGCCTCCCAAAGTGCTGGAATTACAGGCATGAGCCACTGTGCCTGGCCACAGTAAAGATTTCTTTATTTCAGCTGGCTACAATGGCTCACCCTGTAATCCCAGCACTTTGGGAGGCTAAGGCAGGAAGATCATGAGGTCAGGAGTTTCAGACCAGCCTGGCCAAGATGATAAAACCCTGTCTCTACTAAAAATACAAAAATTAGCTTGGCATGGTGGGGTGCACCTGTAGTTTGAGCTATCTGGGAAGCTGAGGCAGGAGAATCGCTTGAACCCAGGAGGTAGAGGTTGCAGTGAACCAAAATTGTGCCACTGCACTCCAGCCTGGGCGACAGAGCAAGACTCCATCTAAAAAAAAAAAAAAAAAAAAAAAAGGATTTTCTTAATGTCTTAGTGAATACTGGTGAAAGGAAAATATGATATTAAAGACAGTTAATATGGCTGGGCATGGTGGCTCACGCCTGTAATCCCAGCACTTTGGGAGGCCAAGGCGGGCGGCATGAGGTCAGATCAAAACCATCCTGGCCAACATGGTGAAATGCTGTCTCTACTGAAAATACAACAAAAATTAGCTGGGCATGGTGGTGCATGCCTGTAGTCCCGGCTACTCAGGATGCTGAGGCGGGAGAATTGCTTGAACCCAGGAAGCGGAGATTGCAGTGAGCCTAAATCGCACCTCTGCACTATAGCCTGGGCAACAATGCGAGACTCCATCTCAAAAGAAAAAAGAAAGGCTGGGTTATTATGAATTATCAAATACATTCTGTCAGAATTTGAGTTCTGTGATTCTCAGTATGACTTTTTTTCTTTTTAATAATTTCAGTGGAGCAAGACGTTCCCATAGAACCTCCTAGTGCAACCACCACCACCACAATTGGAATCTCTGCAACATCTACAACATTTACAAATGTATTTGGGAAAAAAAGGGCCAATGTGGTGACAACTCCCAGCACCAATCGGAAAAATAAGAAGAACAAAACGAAAGAAACCCCTCCTACAGCACATTTAATTTTACCAGAACAACATATGTCTTTAGCACAACAAAAGGCAGATAAAAATAAAATAAATGGAGAACCTAGAGGTGGTGGTACAGGTGGGAATAGTGATTCAGATAACTTGGACAGCACAGATTGCAACAGTGAAAGTAGCAGTGGTGGTAAAAGCCAAGAGTTAAATTTTGTGATGGATGTGAACTCCTCTAAATACCCCTCACTGCTCCTTCATTCCCAAGAAGAAAAGACCAGTACTGCTATTTCCAAAACTCAGACACGGTAAATTTTTCTGATTTGTTAATTCTACCTCCACCTTTCCTTCATGCCTGGCACAGGAATTTGAAGTATATTACCCAAGTACATGTTGTGTTAATTTAAGTCTACCACATTATCTGTCTTCAGTATTCAAAACTGAAATTCACCCATGTCCTCTTCATCATGTGCTAGTTAGGAAATTAGATTATTAGAAATTTTTATAGGATTCAAAGTCTGAAGTTGAAACTATTTGCATGCTTTGATTTTATCTATGTCATTTTTATTGATTATGGTCTAATTTTTGGCATCTGAATCCATTTTAATACTAAAATAAATGATGGGCTCTCTTTGCTGTATTTCTGTTTTTCTGACTTGTTGATTATTTGATATGCCAAAGTTTAATACGAATATTTCAGTGTAACTCTGGCTATAAAGGAATAGTCTCTTGAGTTTCTATCTTAAAACTTATCTTTTATCGTACTTGCTATTTGTCTCTACTTAGACTTGAAGGTGAAGTGAATCCTAATTCCTTGTCAACCAACTACAAGTCAGTGTCATTGCCATTAAGCTCTCCAAACATAAAGCTGAATCTCACTAGCCCTAAAAGGGGTCAGAAAAGAGAAGAAGGGTGGAAAGAAGTTGTACGAAGGTAAATAAAATTAGTTCCATCTTTTTAACTTTCATAAATTTTCTCTTTCTCATGTGAGATGGCTACCTAGTTAATGAATAATTTGAATGTGGTTATTATTTTAAACTGCAGTGCCATACTAAATCTAGAATATGCTAAAGCACAATTAGAAGCAGTGTATACATTTCGCAAGCATATTTTATATGACACAAGAAATTTTGGCTTTTTTGGATAACCTAAGTTGCTTTTTATATAGTTCAAATGTAAAGACTTTCTCTTTCTTTCTTTTTTTATTTCTTTTTTATGTCTTAATTCTAGAACTAAAGTACTAATAATCAACTTTAGATTCAGAATACAAGTCAGCTCATCATTGACCTGAGGCTTTCTTTTTCATTGCTAAGTATTAGCTGTTGATACTGGTTTAAAATGAATAAGCTGGCATAGTTATTCTATGTGGATTTTAATAATATGGTATTCATTATTTTAATTTAGAAAGAGTCAACACATATGGTCATTGCAGTTTAGTTGATGTGTAATATTTTGGGCAGATTTGAATGCTTAGATTGTAAGTGATTTAAATATAATTTTTGTTTTAAATTAGGTTCTCTGAAACTGCAGAGGCAATGTAATTTTTAACTTTACTAAATTCAATACAATAAGAGAAAAGTTTCTAAAATAAAAACTTTTAATAATTTCCTCTTTAGCATTTGAGAAATGTTATTCTACAAAATGTCCATGAACATACTTACTGAGACATCTTTTTTAATAAAGAGACATTTAATTTCATAAGCTTGTATGTATTCTTCATTTTATAGGTCAAAGAAATTGTCTGTTCCAGCCTCAGTGGTGTCAAGGATAATGGGAAGAGGAGGATGCAACATAACTGCAATACAAGATGTTACTGGTGCCCATATTGATGTAGATAAACAAAAAGATAAAAATGGCGAGAGAATGATCACAATAAGGTAATTGTGCAAAATGTATACTGCTAGTTTTGAGTAGAAATTATAAGAAGCATACCTTTGTTTGGTATGCTATAATGAGGAACTTTATTCGATGGTTAAAATTACCTGTTTATTTTGTAATGTTTATTTTTTTAATGTTTTTGGTCTTGTTTCTGTTTTTGTTTTTTAATTTTTCCCAGGGGTGGTACAGAATCAACAAGATATGCTGTTCAACTAATCAATGCTCTTATTCAAGACCCTGCTAAGGAACTGGAAGACTTGATTCCTAAAAATCATATCAGAACACCTGCTAGCACCAAATCTGTTCATGCTAACTTCTCATCTGGAGTAGGTACCACAGCAGCTTCAAGTAAAAATGCATTTCCTTTGGGTGCTCCAGCTCTTGTAACTTCACAGGCAACAACATTATCTACGTTCCAGCCCACTAATAAACTTAATAAGAATGTTCCAACAAATGTACGTTCTTCTTTCCCAGTTTCTCTACCCTTGGCTTATCCTCACCCTCATTTTGCTCTGCTGGCTGCTCAAACTATGCAACAGATTCGGCATCCTCGCTTACCCATGGCCCAGTTTGGAGGAACCTTCTCACCTTCTCCTAACACATGGGGACCGTTCCCAGTGAGACCTGTGAATCCTGGCAACACAAATAGCTCTCCAAAGCATAATAACACAAGCCGTCTACCTAACCAGAATGGGACTGTTTTACCCTCAGAGTCTGCTGGACTAGCTACTGCCAGTTGTCCTATCACTGTCTCTTCTGTAGTTGGTGCCAGTCAGCAACTATGTATGACTAATACCCGGACTCCTTCATCAGTCAGAAAGCAGTTGTTTGCCTGTGTGCCTAAGACGAGTCCTCCAGCAACAGTGATTTCTTCTGTGACAAGCACTTGTAGTTCCTTGCCTTCTGTCTCCTCTGCACCTATCACTAGCGGGCAGGCGCCCACCACATTTTTATCTACAAGTACTTCTCAAGCACAGCTTTCTTCACAAAAGATGGAGTCTTTCTCTGCTGTGCCACCCACCAAAGAGAAAGTGTCCATACAGGACCAGCCCATGGCAAACCTATGCACCCCATCTTCAACTGCAAATAGTTGCAATAACTCTGCCAGCAACACCCCAGGAGCTCCAGAAATTCACCCCTCCAGTAGTCCCACTCCTCCTTCCAGTAACACAAAAGAGGAGGCACAGCCATCCAGTGTGTCTGATGTAAGTCCTACATCAATGCCTTTTGCATCTAACTCAGAACCTGCTCCATTGACTTTGACATCACCCAGAATGGTTGCTGCTGATAATCAGGACACTGGTAATTTACCTCAGTTAGCTGCACCAGCACCTCGAGTTTCTCATCGAATGCAGCCCAGAGGTTCTTTTTACTCCGTGGTACCAAATGCAACTATACATCAGGATCCCCAGTCTATTTTTGTTACAAATCCAGTTCCTTTAACACCACCTCAAGGCCCACCAGCTGCAGTGCAGCTTTCTTCGGCTGTGAACATTATGAATGGTTCTCAGATGCACATAAATCCAACAAATAAATCTTTGCCACCTACATTTGGCCCAGCCACACTTTTCAATCACTTCAGCAGTCTTTTTGATAGTAGTCAAGTGCCAGCTAACCAGGGCTGGGGAGATGGTCCACTGTCCTCACGAGTTGCTGCAGATGCCTCTTTCACTGTTCAGTCAGCGTTCCTTGGACACTTGGAAAACGTGCACCCTGACAACTCTAAAGCACCTGGCTTCAGACCACCTTCCCAGCGAGTTTCTACTAGTCCAGTTGGTAAGTTATTAATTATGCTGCAGCTCACTTCGGAGCTCTTATGCCCTAATCTCACCTTAAGTGAACAAAAAAAAGTAGCAAGAGGTAAATAACTCACATATAATGAGCTGCTTTATATTCTCTCTATGATCTTTCTGTCCCTCATAGTAAGGAAGTTATAACAATGGTGTCAGTCCATTTTCTTGGAATTGGTGTCTATTCATGTTAATAAAAAAGACTCCAGGGATGTTTGAAGGATTCTAAATTTACAGACTTAAAAAAAGAAAATCTGGCCGGGCACGGTGGCTCAAGCCTGTAATCCCAGCACTTTGGGAGGCCGAGACGGGTGGATCACGAGGTCGAGAGATCGAGACCATCCTGGTCAACATGGTGAAACCCCGTCTCTACTAAAAATACAAAAAATTAGCTGGGCATGGTGGCGCGTCCCTGTAATCCCAGCTATTCAGGAGGCTGAGGCAGGAGAATTGCCTGAACCCAGGAGGCGGAGGTTGCGGTGAGCCAGGATCGCGCCATTGCACTCCAGCCTGGGTAACGAGAGAAACTCCATCTCAAAAAAAAAGAAAGAAAGAAAGAAAGAAAATCCTATAATCCCCACACTTTGGGAGGCCAAGGTGGGTGGATCACAAGGTGAAGAGTTTAAGACCAGCCTGGCCAACCTGGTAAAACCCTGTCTCAACTAAAAATACAGAAATTAGCTGGGCTTGGTGGCGCATGCCTGTAATCCCAGTTACTCAGGAGGCTGAGGCAGGAGAATTGCTTGAACCTAGGAGGCAGAGGTTACATTGAGCTGAAATTGTGCCACTGGACTCCAGCCTAGGCAACAGACCGACACTGTCTAAAAAAAAAAAAAAAACTACAAAAAACATAGTGATTGTTTGCATTTCTTAGATTAAAAAAATCGAAATTGTAAAGGTGTTTAGGCACCAGTCCATAATTTATTTTGTTTAATAGTACTCTATTACCTACTTTAGGTATAGTTATTTGTTTATTTTTTATGTATTTTCTTATTTTTCTTATTTTATTTTATTTTTTGAGACAGGATCTCACTCTGTTTCCCAGGCTGGAGTGCAGTGGTGTAATCTTGGCTCACTATAACCTCCACCTCCTAGGCCCAAGCATTTCTCATACCTCAGCCTCCCAAGTATCTGGGACTATAAGCATGTGCCACCATGCCCAACTAATTTTTTGTATTTTTAGTAGAGAAAGGGTTTCACCATGTTGCCCAGGCTGGTCTAGAACTCCTGAGCTCAGGCAATCCTCCCGCCTTGGCCTTCCAAAGTGCTAGGATTACAGGCGTGAGCCACCGCACCTGGCCTAGATATAGCTGTTTGAAGAGACCCAGTCATTTATAGGCTCTTATTTTTGAAAGACCAACATAGATTTAGCTATTGCTTCTTTGAAATTATAAATTAGCTGCCGAGGCTTTATGAGAAAGATATAGATAGATTTGAGGTCAGTTTTGGCTTGGAGATATTTGGAGAACCAGAATCTATTTTTCATAGTTTAGAAGCCAAAATTTAGTCTAATCTGCACTGTTCTGAAAAATGCGGCTGATCCGGAACGTGGAACTCTATTGCCTCTTAGCATTTCTGTTCCATTTGGAAAACTCCCCCTTAGTCCATGCCACCTTGTTGCTAATTATTTGTGAATTATGGATATGCCATAGCCTTAGCTTTCATTTCAGATAAGTTTCCATTTACTTCTCTTTTCAGGAAAACATAGCTGTTATGTTATATTTCAAATAGAAATAGAAACCTGCATATGACTATCTATGGTCCAAAATATTCTCTAGAATTTTTTCTCTTCCTCTCTGTAAATAGACATCTATTATGACTTTTCATTAGGGGAAACTAGTGTAGACTTTGAGAAGCCCCAGGGTGAAAGAAGAGCTCATTTCCAGTACCCAGGATGTGATAGAGAGCATTAATCCTTGAGTTTCCTTCTAGGGCCTGGGATTAATAAGCTTAGCCCCATTTCTTAACTGCTTGTATGGTTTGTTTTGTTGGTGCTCTTTTCATGAATATAGTTTACTTTCCTAGCTTTCAAGTAAGAAGTAGTAATACTGACCAAGCATGGTGACTCATGCCTATAATCCTAGCACTTTGGGAAGCTGAGGCGAGTGGTTTACATGAGGTCAGGAGTTTGAGACCACCCTGGCCAACATGTTGTGAAACCCCTTCTCTACTAAAAATATAAAAATTAGCCAGGCATAGTGGTGCACATCTATAGTCCCAGGTACTTGGGAGGCTGAGGCACAAGAATCACTTGAACCCAGAGGACAGAGGTTGCAGTAAGCTGAAATCATGCCACAGCACTCCAGCCTGTATGAAAGAGCGAGAATATTTTTTTTTAAAAAAAGTAATACTTAAGAAGATGGGAAAAGATATAGAGAAATTGAAACCATCATACACTGTAGATAGGAATGTGAAATCGTAGATCTGTTTTGGAAAAACAGTTTCACAGTTCCTCAGAAGTTAAACATAAGAGTGATCATATGAACCTGTAATTCTTCTCCTAGGGAGGACATATGTCTGTACAAAAACTGGCACACTAATGTTCATAGCAGCATTATTCATAATAGCCAAAATGTAGAAACAAATGAATGTTCATTGACTGACAAGCAGATAAACAAAATGTAGTTTATCTGTAAAACATAATATTTTGTATTTGGTATAAAGAGAAATAAAGTACTGATTCATGCTATAACTTGGATGAACTTTGAAAACATTTTGCTAAATGAAAGAAGCCAGTCACAAAAGATCAAATATTTATTTTATGATTCTATTTATGTGAAACATCCAGATTAGCAAATCCATAGAGACAGAAAGTAGATTGGTGGTTACCTAGGATGGATGGATGATTGGAAGATGGGTAGCTTAGGGGTGCAGAGTTTCTATTTTCGGGGGAAGAGCGGGGGACAGGACCTCACTCTGTTGCCCTGGCATGATCATGGTTCACTGCAGCCCCAACCTCCTGGGCTTCAAGCAGTTTTTCTACCTTGGCCTCCCAAAGTGATGGCATTGCAGGTGTGAGCTGCCACGCCCGGCTTCAGAGTTTATTTTTAGGATAATGGAAATGTTCTAAAATTGATTGTGGTCATGAATGCACAATTCTGTGAATATACTAAAAGCTACTGAATTGTATAACTTTAAATGAGTAAATTGTATGGTTTATTAATTAAATCTCAGTAAAGCTGTTAAAAAGTACATTTATATGGCATCTACATTTATGTCCCTAAAATGCACATCATGTTCTTTAAAAGCTATCATGATCGGCTGGGCACGGTGGCTCATGCCTGTAATCCCAGCACTTTGGGAGGTTGAGTGGGGTGGATCACTTGAAGTCAGGAGTTCAAAACCAGCCTGACCAAAATGGTGGAATGCCATCTCTACCAAAAATGCAAAATTTAGCCGGGCGTGGTGGCGGGTGCCTGTAATCCCAGTGACTCAGGAGGCTGAGGCAGGAGAATCACTTGAACATGGGTGGCAGAGGTTGCAGTGAGCCAAGATTGTGCCACTGCACTCCAGCCTGGGCAACAGAGTGAGACTCTGTTTCCCAAAAAAAAAAAAAAAAAAAAGCTATCATGATCTTTACAAAAGACTGACGATTTCACTGTAAAAATACTGGCAGTGGCCAGATATGGTGGCTCACACCTGTAATTTGAGCACTTTGGAAGGCCAACTCAGGGGAATCATTTGAACCCAGGAGTTCAAAACCACCCTAGGCAGCATAGTGGGACCCCATCTCTATAAAAAAATAAATTTTAAAAATGAGGGCCAGGTGCGGTGGCTCGGATCACACCTGTAAGGGCAGATCACAAGGTCAGGAGTACAAGACCAGCCTGGCCAACATAGTGAAACCCTGTCTCTACTAAAAATACAAAAATTAGCCAGGCATGGTGGTACATGCCTGTAGTCCCAGCTATTCAGGAGGTTGAGGCAGGAGAATCACTGGAACCCAGGAGGCAGAGGTTGCAGTGAGCCGAGATCACATCATTGCACTCCAGCCTGGGTGACAGAGAGACTCCGTCTCAAAAAAAAAAAAAAAAAAAAAGCTCAGTGTGGTGGCACACGCTGTAGTCCAAGCTACTCGGGCCTAGGCAGGAGGATCGCTTGAGCCCAGAGGTCCAGGCTGCATTGTAGCCTGAGTGACAAACCAAGACCCTGTCTTAAAAAAAAAAAAAAAGGTATTATGGAAATGATTCCTTTTCATTAAAAAAAGAAAGTAATGATTCATTTCCTACTTTATGGACTTTTAAAAGCCATATTCAGAATTCTCACTGCTTCTAGGTTTGGCTAACATCTACTTTGGTTAGCACTAGAAAATTTAATTTTTTTTACAGGAAAGCACAAGGTAATCATTGCCTGCCATTGCCTACAACAATAATGAAAGTCTGAAATAGGCCGGGCGCGGTGGCTCAAGCCTGTAATCCCAGCACTTTGGGAGGCCGAGGCGGGTGGATCACAAGGTCGAGAGATCGAGACCATCCTGGTCAACATGGTGAAACCCCGTCTCTACTAAAAATACAAAAAAATTAGCTGGGCATGGTGGCACGTGCCTGTAATCCCAGCTACTCAGGAGGCTGAGGCAGGAGAATTGCCTGAACCCAGGAGGCGGAGGTTGCGGTGAGCCGAGATCGCGCCATTGCACTCCAGCCTGGGAAACAAGAGCGAAACTCCGTCTCAAAAAAAAAAAAAAAAAAAGAAAGTCTGAAATAAGTAGGAAATTCATTAAGTTACCCACATGTCCAGAGTAGGCAAATCTATAAGAGAAAGAAAGATTGCTTAGAAATGGAAATATGAGGGTGAGGGGCTAGTGAATGATAATTCTGTGAATATACTAAAATCCATTGAATTGTAATATGCTTTAAATGGGTGAATTATATAGTATGTGAATTATAACTTAAAATCATATTTTTTAATGATGGGGAAATCAAACTCTGAAAATAAGACCTGCCTGAAAGAAATTTTGACAGTTGATATTGATATTGACAACTTTTTCCTGAAATATGAAACCATAATCGTGTTCCGTACCCTCGTCCTCTTTTCCTAATAGATTCTCCAGAGAAAGCAATGGAATTTGTGGAGATGGCTAAGTTCCGATTTATACAAACTAGATAGAAACTTTGATATAGTTTGCAACTGTTATTTTTTATCAGATAAAATACTGAAATTATCTTCAGTAGTATGTTATTCCTCCTTGTGAAGAAGGAAATATTGGTAGGTTTTGTTACTCATCTTCTATAGGAAGTGACTATAGTTATATAGATGAAAAGCTCTACTTTGAGATTGACTACAAAAGGGAATGCAGAAGTTATTGTTGGGTGCCACTTAGTTAGAACATACTCTCATTTCATATCCCCCCCCAGTTAAAAGCTTTGAGATTCATTTAGAACATTACTCCAGGTGACTGACATTCTTAAACATTGAGCCCATTTTTCTGTATCTAGTGCTATTTGGCAATATTCTTCTGCGATGTAAGAAAAAAATGGATTTGGCCATACAGTATCACATGGATGGATGATTTTTGCTGTGGGCTACAAAAATGAGCCACATGCTATCTTTTATTTATTTGTTTGGTTATTTTTACAGCTTATCTCACCTTGGTGGAAATCTTGGGCTTTCGATTTTAAAGTTTTGGCTAATTAGATGTCTTGGACCTGTTTTATTTCAGGGTTACCATCCATTGACCCATCAGGCAGCTCCCCATCTTCCTCTTCTGCTCCTCTGACAAGTTTTTCCGGCATACCAGGAACAAGGGTTTTCCTGCAAGGGCCAGCTCCTGTTGGGACTCCTAGTTTCAACAGACAACATTTTTCTCCCCATCCTTGGACAAGCGCCTCAAACTCATGTAGGAATCCTGGAGGAACTCTTCTCAAAGAGTTTTGAATAAGTTATTAAATCATTTATTTCAGTTAAAACACCATATAAATTTAGTAAACTAAATGGTATACAGATGCCCAAGGTTTGTTCTGTGATCATGTGAAAAAATTGTCAGTCATTTGTAGTATAGAAAACTTGAGAATGGTCAAATTATTCTTTCAAGCTAAAAATGTTTTACCCTAGGACTTGGATCAAGAAAAGAGGTACTAGGTTGTGTGCAGTGGCTAACACCTGTAATCCAGCACTTTGGGAGGCCTAGGAAAAAGGATTGCTTGAGCCCAGCAGTTGGAAACCAGCCTGGGCAACAAAGTGAGACCTTGTCTCTATTTAAAAAAAAAAAAAAAAAAGATGTATTACAAGTAGTTTTACAAAAGGACCCTTTGGAAGTGGTGTTGTGAAATTATTTCTTAAATCTGTAAAGAAGTTAAATTTATGTATATGGTTAGCTTGGTGTGATTTCTCATATGTTTTTACATTTTATGAAACGGTATTGCCTTTTATAAGTTAAAGTATTCCTTTGTTTTTTTGATTGATTGATTGAGACAGTGTCTCACTCTGTCTCCCAGGCTGGAGGACAGTGGTGTGATCTTGGCTCACTGTAGCTTCCACCTCCCAGGTTCAAGCGATTCTCTTGCCTCAGCCTCCTGAGCAGTTGGGATTACAAGTTCCTGCCACCATGCCTGCCTAATTTTTGTATTTTTAGTATTCACCACGTTGGCCAGGCTGGTCTCGAACTGCTAACCTTGGGTGATCCACCCATCTCAACCTCCCAAAGTGCTGGGATTACAGTCATGAGCCACCACGCCTGGCCCCTTTATTCTATTTGTTTCAATGTTTAGAACAAATGAAGCATATGGAATTGAACAGAATTGAATTTTTTTTTTTTTTTTTTTTTTAATGAGCATCATGAGGTATTCAGTGAGTATTGACTTTTTTGACAAGGAAAATTACCCAGACCACCCAAGAGTTCCATTAAGAAACAAAGCTGTGAATCAAAATAATGTAATGCTTTGCTAACATTTGACCTTACTTCCTTATGGAAAAAAAAGGGCTATAGAAAGGGAAAAAAGAAAAAACTAACAAGTATAGAGGGTCACCAGATGTTTTCTAGAAAATATGCTAGGTATTGTCCAAATATTGCCACATTTTAGTTAATTTTAAAATGTGACAAAATGTGTTTTGAGAAGATTATTTAGAGGGAGAATAAAAGCAAATGTGGCTGGACGTGGTGGCTCACGCCTGTAATCCCAGCACTTTGGGAGGCCGAGGCGGGTGGATCACAAGGTCAAGAGATCGAGACCATCCTGGTCAACATGGTGAAACCCCGTCTCTACTAAAAATACAGAAAATTAGCTGGGCATGGTGGCGCGTGCTTGTAATCCCAGCTACTCAGGAGGCTGAGGCAGGAGAATTGCCTGAACCCAGGAGGCGGAGGTTGCAGTGAGCTGAGATCGCGCCACTGCACTCCAGCCTGGGTAACAAGAGTGAAACTCCATCTCAAAAAAAAAAAAAAGCAAATGTGGCCCACTCCCTTTCTAGCATTGTTTAGTTCAATTGGGAAAACATTTTTTAGACTACTGTTTTATACTTACTATAGGCAGAAGTAACATAGAATAATGTTTATAGAAATTGTTTTATTTAAATGTTCTTTTAAAATGAAATTTTTCTTTACAGAACCTACGTGTGGAATAGATGTTTCCAACAAGGTTTCTCATATTCTTAATAGTTTTTATATGTATAAAACAATAGAGAAATATTTTGCCACCAGGTGACTCTCCTATTCCATCTGTTTCTTCGGGATCATCTTCACCTCTTTCAGCCACTTCTGCGCCACCAACGTTGGGCCAACCAAAAGGAAGCAGTGCCAGTCAGGATCGAAAGATACCTCCCCCGATTGGAACAGAGAGACTGGCCCGGATTCGGCAAGGAGGGTCTGTTGCACAAGCCCCGGTGGGGACCAGTTTTGTCGCTCCCGTTGGACACAGTGGAATCTGGTCATTTGGTGTAAATGCTGTGTCAGGTATAATTGCCTTGCTCTCTCTCTCTCTGGAAGGATATCTTAAGTAAGTTGTAGGTTTGCCATTAAAATTTAGTTCCTTAGAAAAACAAACAAAAAAACTTAGTTCCTGTGTTTAACATTCAATCAGGGAAGGGTGTTTATACCTTTGAGGAGTTCAGTCCAATCTCAGAGTCTGGAATGTTGGTTGAGGTAATATAAAGAGTTGACCAAAAACAAAAGATTCAAAGTGTGTGTCCTTTCTCTCTTAGGTAATCATTTGAGTTCTTTCAGAGAGCACTTAATCTTTTGAAAGACAGGGTAAAGTGGAGTATTCAGAGGACTTTACCTGGTTTTTCAGGAACTGTTTTTTTGTTTTTTGTTTTTCTTGGCTTGCAAAACTGTGATAAACATGCTCTGAGCTCTTCAGAGGAAAGGTTTTAATTACATTTGGTAATAACAGTGGTAATGTTTTATTGTTTTTTATTGTTTTATCCAAACAAATATCAAACTTTGTTTTCAATTATTCTTTCCAGAAGGCTTATCAGGTTGGTCGCAATCTGTGATGGGGAACCATCCAATGCATCAGTTATCAGACCCAAGCACATTCTCCCAACATCAACCAATGGAGAGAGATGATTCTGGAATGGTAGCCCCCTCTAACATTTTTCATCAGCCTATGGCAAGCGGTTTTGTGGATTTTTCTAAAGTGAGTTGACAAACAACACTGTAACTTGTTTCTTTGTCAGCCAGTGTAGTCACATGTTAAGGGATACTTTGTATTGAAATAATGCTCCCTTTTGTTTCTGTGGCTTTGCCAGATCTTTTGCTCAATTTCAAGAATGGGTAGCATCCACAGTCATTTGTCCTGAAGATGTCCCCATCTCCCGAAAACATCTGAGGGATTTGAGTTTTGCTGCTTTGCGTTCTGCTGCCACAGCTTTGAGGGAGCCCTCTACCCCTCTTAAAAGCTGGCTATGCAGGCACAGTGGCTCGCACCTGTAATCCCAGCACTTTGGGAGGCCAAGGCGGGCAGATCATGAGATCAGGAGATCAAGATCATCTTGGCTAACATGGTGAAAATTCGTCTCTACTGAAAATACAAAAATTAGCCAGGGGTAGTGGCGCATGCCTGTAGTCCCAGCTACTTGGGAGGCTGAGGCAGGAGAATCACTTGTACCCGGGAAGCAGAGGTTGCAGTGAGCTCAGATCGTGCACTGCGCTCCAGGCTGAGTGACAGAGAGAGACTCTGCCTAAAAAAACAAAAAAAAAAGCTGATATTTTCTTGTCTGCACTGACAGCTTTTTGTCAGCCAGCAATCATGTAGAGTTCCCATTTTCTTCTTAGCATAAGCTTATTCATGAAACTAAAATATGGGAAAGTTGAGGATATTTTTATCAAAGATGAGAAATTTCCTGATGAGTTCATATTGGATTTAGTTTTTTTCTCTCCTTTTCATTGAAAAATCTTACAGATGCAGATAAACATTATTTTTTTCTCAACACTGCCATACTGTATTTATAGGATCTTTTGGAGTTCTTTAAATGAGGAAAATTAGAGAAGTCTAAGCTGGTATTATGGGATAATTTGTAGAAATGTTATGATTAAATCTTTTTTTCTGCTGTTTTAGGGTCTGCCAATTTCCATGTATGGAGGCACCATAATACCCTCTCATCCTCAGCTTGCTGATGTTCCAGGAGGCCCTCTGTTTAATGGACTTCACAACCCAGATCCTGCTTGGAACCCTATGATAAAAGTTATCCAAAATTCAACTGAATGCACTGATGCCCAGCAGGTAAAATGGGCTTATTGCTCTTTTATGTTTTAGATTTGTCATGTCATTCTTTTTCTTTTGTGAATAGTGCAAGTACTGAATATCAAAAGTCGTATCTAACCATTTTAATCTGGATTGCATTTTTCAATATCAAGATGATGCTACTATAAACACTTTATTTCATATATGTGTATTCTTCCTAGGCAGAAAAGTGAATTGCCATTGCATTTATATATTCATTTTGTAAATGTCTAAAGATTCCTAATTAGAAATTCCAATTTTTCCCCCCCCTTTTCAGATTTGGCCTGGCACGTGGGCACCTCATATTGGAAACATGCATCTCAAATATGTCAACTAAGTTAGAAGGTCTTTACTCTTTAGCCTTGTTTGAGAAACCTATGACCTTGGAAGAAACATGGGGATTTTTTTTTTTAATGTGCCTAAGAAATTTTCTCTGAGGCTTTAGCAATGGAAATTTGATTGCCCATTGTATAAGAACAAATTGATTTCCTATCCACCTGATTATGTTCTCTGGTTAGTTTAGCCATTTTGAACTTAAGATCATATGACCTTAGTGCTTTTGGCTAAACATACCGAATACTACTTGTATGCAGAAGATAATTAGTTGATTACATGTTTCAACCTTTTAGGGTGATAAATACATGTATAATTGTTTACATACTTAAAAGGAAAAAGTTGAGTAAATTTCTTGTCATATAGTGGCTCTACTTAATGTAGCCTGTATTAATGTGAAATATTTACCAGAATATTCAATAAAAAGATGAACAGTGTTTAGAAGTGGGGTGTGATCCTTTCAGTGGTCATGCAGGCACCACCCAATCCACATTATATTGAACCAGATGGTTAATACTATATTTGTAACAGGCTTCTCACATTTAACACTTGAGTCCCTTCTTAGACTGCCTTGAAAAAGCACTTTTAAGACTATTTACCTATTTATTCTGTGTTAAACATTCCCTGTTCCCTTGTTGTCTTTCATATCCTTTAATATATGAGAAGGTTTCAAGCTCTGGCAATGTGTCTTATCTGACTTTAGCTAGCTAGCAGATAGGCCACTGATAGGTTTTGTTCTTTATGGATCATGAGAATGTCAATAAGAACAATTAGATTTAAATTAGATGACACTAAATAAATGTAGGAACACCCAAATCATCAACTTCAGGTTCCTTCTGTGCTTCCTGATCTTTTTTATCTGAAAGATTTATCTAGTTATAGATATTTTAAACTTTGAGTTGAGACTAAGAGGGAGGTGACACGTGTCATTCTGTTGTATTATTGAATCAGCTGAGTAATATTTATAAATATGTGAGTAATTCTGGGCTTAGTTCCATGGCCCTAGGCATGGAGAGCCAATGTGTTTAACAAGCTAAACAGAGGAACCGTGGAATGGGCTGCTTTGGCCAAATCATAGGCTATGCCAAGAATTGGATGCATAGAGAAGGAAAAGTTATCCCACTGAAAAGTATAGTCATCAATTTATTTGTGTTTTAATATAGCTGAATTTCTCCTGGTCTGTATAGGCAATACAAAAAAGAAAATGAGAAAATGTTTGGAGCTGATAGAGAAGCCAAAACTCCTATCAAGGCAAAGAAGGTTGCACAGAAAAAGAGTAGTAACTAGGGACAGAACTATATTAGCGGCACTTTTCTACCCTCATGCCAACAGGAATTCTTAATTTTTTTCTGCCCAGGTCCTAAAGCCAAGACCACATCAGACACACCATGTTTGTTCTATGTCAGATATACCTGCTTCTTTTATCTTTTATATCATCTTACATATAAGAAAGCTTCTTTAATTAAGCTCATTTCTTATTTTCTGTTTTGAATGTATTTTGAAAGTGTTGTTTATATTGAAGCTACTACCTTTGTAGTGATTGATAGCCATATCAAGTATCATTAAGAGGTCCCTGACCTTTGTGAGGGGTAGTTGGGGGTGCACAAAAGACTCCTTGGATCACCTGCATATCTTGCTGTTTCCATTTACCATTAACAGCAACAAGAAAAATCACCTAAAATTGGTGAAATTAATGAAACTACTCTTGATGAAATATAGACTAGTGAGAAATAATATTAAATAAATTATTCAGTGGGACAAAAAGGTGAGTTTTATTCTATCTTAACTGTCTGTAATACATTTGAATTGTCTGGAGGAACCCTTAAGTCCATATTCTGTACCTTGAGGACAACCAAATGAGAAATTTTATTTCAGGTCAGTAACTAGAATTCATGAAGAGAAAGGAGGCAATTATGAGGAATCCCTAGGAGAATTGGGAGGAAAACAACAGTTGTGCATTGGAAGTAGTTCTTTAGGATACGCTCCTCCCTTCCCTCTTACCAGCGCTTCCTTCCTTTCTTTCTTACTATTTGGATCCCAGTAGCCTGCTCCCAACCTCATTTCGTCTGCTAAATCTCTTCTTCCTCTGCCTGCTTCTTCCTGGCACTACTTTACTGCTATTTTACCAGCCTGAACATTTGGATAAAACCTAGCTCAGGTAAGAACTTAATTACTTTCAAAATATACAAGGGATATGGGGAGGAGACAGCGTGGGTACAGTGGAACAATAGTCAGAGCCTAAATTTTGTTTTCATTTCTGCCATTTGAAGCTTTATGACCTTAGGCAAATCATCTCACCTTTCTGGGCTTCACTTTTCTCATCTGAAATTGAACTCAAGAGTCTTCTAGTTCTAACACAGGATTTCTTCTTGTGAATGAGGATATAAGATATGGAAATATCAGAAGCCATTAGAATGTTTACAGTGCTGAGGTTTGCGAGCCCCTAGCATTGGTTCTGATAAGGAATCAAAATGAATCCTGCTATTATTATGGGGGCCAATATTGAGATTTTAGTGGAGGCAGAAGAAAACCTTACACATCCTTAGTGAGCCTTCGAGTCATGAAGAAACATCCTGCTAAGGCTTAGATCAAATCCAGTGAAAATAACAGCTCTTTCAAGAAATGAAACTATATCATCAAGGTTTCTGGACCCACTTATTTCAACTTGTGATCAATGTAATAAAATTCCACTACCAATAAAATTATTGATGTTGTAAGACCCTTTAAACCTATTATGGCTACAGTGTGCTGACTTGCCCTTTTATAGGCCAGTCTGCTTCCTTCAGTCCCTGCTCTCAAAGGGGAAATCCCATCACCTCAGCTAACCAGACCGAAGAAGAGAGTTGGACGGCCAATGGTGGCCTCTGCTAACCAGAGGTAAGAAATTTCAGGACTTGGAACTATGGTTTCCCTCTCTTCATGTAGATTCTGGCCAAGTCCTCCTCCCAATCCCAAAACTAGTGCAAGAGCAGACCATCCTCAGTTTTAGTTAACTTATAGAAGGGGAAAGGCTGGCTACATTATAATTTCAAGCCAGAGAGAGGAGTACTTACTATATATGTGGTTCTGTCCTACTGTTTAAGACCTTTGGACTTCATTGTAAACCCAAGAAACGGCAAACAAGCCTGTAAGAAAACAGCTTCTGAATGAACATCTTGTTCTCTGACTAGCAAGAAGCATTTCTACCAAGACATATCGCTGGTTATGATGTCTTCCTAGTGGACCCTTTCCTATAGTGAGGGGCTCTGGTAGTGCTGCATTTTCTATTTATCCCCAGTGATTTGTCATTTGCTAACAGGCAGGTTCATGGGCCTCCATCCTCTCCTTTAGGCAATGGGTGAGAGAAAGGTGGTTTTAAGTAACAAAAACTTAAAGTGTGTTAAGACCACTTCCAATAAAAGGCATGACCCTGGGCTTCAACACCTAATTTGGAAAAGAAGATCATGAATCAAATTATCTGTTTGCAAACCTATTTTGTGATTACTTGTCACATCCTGTTTTATCTTGATGGTGTATTAGTGTGAATCCAAAACAATTTGCCTGATTAAGAAAGGCCTGATATTTCCTTATAGGTTTAAACGGATCTCTGGGAGTGGGGACTGGGCATAGGTATTTTTTTAAACACTTTCATATTCTAATAGGTAATTAGTTTTTTTATTTTGTTTTCATGAGACGGAGTCTCACTCTGTGGCCCAGACTGGAGTGGTCTGATACTGGCTCACTGCAACCTTCACCTCCCAGGTTCAAGCAATTCTTCTGCCTTGGCCTCCCAAGTAGCTGGGATTACAGGTGCTTATCACCACAGTTGGCTAATTTTTGTACTTTTAGTAGAATGGGGTTTCTCCATGTTTGCCAGGGTGGTCTTGAACTCCTGACTTCAAGTGATCTGCCTGCCTCAGCCTCCCAGAGTGCCGGGATTACAGGCATGCGCCACCTTGCCCAAACGGTAATTAGTATTGACCCTTTGATTTAAATTCTTGTTTCTTCATTCAGGTTGCATGGATGATGCATCTGGCTTTCTCTCTAAAGCCAGCTACCTATACTCCAGCCCTTATAAAACACAGTGACTCGAGAAGTGTTACCTGCAAGCAGTAGTAATTACAGTAGTAGTAACTGTGGCTATTATTTTGTGATAGAGATTAGTAGAAGTAAGACCTCACTTCCCCATGACCCTTCTTGAAAACCTTTGACACTTTTCTCCTGATTCTTCTATTTCTGACTCATCTTTCTCAGTCTCTTTTGGTGAATTCTTTTTCTCTACGACCTTTTAAATAAGTAAATGTTGATGTGCCCAGGCTTCTACACTGTATCTTCTCCCCAGATGATCTCATCTCACACTCATTTATTTATTTATAAATAGAGATAGGGTCTTGCTGTGTTGCCCAGGTCTTGAATTCCTGGGCTCAAGCAGTCCTCCCACCTCGGCCTCACAAAATGCTGGAATTACAGGTGTGAGCCACCGATCCCAGCCCACCCCCACACTCTTGAATTTCACACCACCCAAATTTGAGCTACTAATTCAGAGTTCTCCCCATGGCTTCAGACCTAGTATATCTAGCTTCCTACTGTGCTTCATCTGGATTCATATTCATTCCCTCATATAAGATATGCTGCTCTTCTTATTTTCCCTATCATATTAGTTGGTGTTACTAGCCACCAAGACTCTCAAGCCAAAAGACTGAGAATTATTCTAGTTTAACTCACTTTTCCTCACCATTCTTCCTCTGTATATCTGAATCTCATCCACTTCTCTCCATCCTCACAGCCACCTGGTTTCACTAGGCTGGAGTCTTCACCCTCAAATCTCATCATCCTCCACCCTTTTCACCCATTCTCCCTGTCAGACACTTCCTCACCTTGCATAAAAGGTGAGTTATCATAAATGATTCACTACAGTTTGCTCCCAAGCTTTACCCTCCAGCACTGCTAAGACTTCATTTTGGCATGCACCACTTTGTAAGATGCTAGAAAACCTTTGGGGAACAATAAAATATACATACCCTTCCTACCTAAAGTGTGTTTCTGAGGCCCTGAAGCATTTGCATTACTCTATTAAAAATTCACAATTGCGGCCGGGCGCGGTGGCTCAAGCCTGTAATCCCAGCACTTTGGGAGACCGAGGCGGGTGGATCACGAGGTCAAGAGATCGAGACCATCCTGGTCAACATGGTGAAACCCCGTCTCTACTAAAAATACAAAAAATTAGCTGGGCATGGTGGCGCATGCCTGTAGTCCCAGCTACTCAGGAGGCTGAGGCAGGAGAATTGCCTGAACCCAGGAGGCGGAGGTTGCGGTGAGCCGAGATCGCGCCATTGCACTCCAGCCTGGGTAACAAGAGCGAAACTCCGTCTCAAAAAAAAAAAAAAAAAAAAAAAAATTCACAATTGCAGCCAGGGACTGGTGGTTCATGCCTGTAATTCCAGCACTTTGGGAGGCCAAAGCAGGCAGATCACTTGAGGTCAGGAGTTCAAGACCAACTTGCCCAAGATAGTGAAACCCTGTCTCTACTAAAAATACAAAAAAATTAGCCCGGTGTGATGTTGGGTGCCTGAATCCCAGCTACTTGGGAGGTTGAGGCAGGAGAATCACTTGAACCCAGGAGGCAAAGGTTGCAGTGAGCCAAGATTGTGCCACTGCACTCTAGACTGGATGACAGAGCAAGACTCCATCTCAAAAAAAGAAAGGAAAAAAAAAAAAATGGCTGAGCGCAGTGGCTCATGCCTGTAATCCCAGCACTTTGGAAGGTCATGGTGGGCAGATCACATGAGGTCGGGAGTTCGAGACCAGCCTGACCAATATGCAGAAACTCTGTCTCTACTAAAAATAAAAAATTAGCTGGGTGTGATGGTTCACGCCTGTAATTCCAGCTACTTGGGAGGCTGAGGCAGGAGAATCACTTGAACACGGGAGGCGGAGGTTGCCATGAGCCAAGATCATGCCATTGCACTCCAGCCTGGGCAAGAAGAATGAAACTCTGTCTCAAAAAAGAAAAAAGAAGTCCATAATTGGCTGGGTTCAGTGGCTCATACCTATAATTCCAACACTTTGGGAGGCCAAGGTGGGAGGATTGCTTGAGCCCAGGAGTTTGAGACCAGCCTGGGTAACAGTGAGAACCCCCATCTTTACAAAAAAATTTTAAAATTATCCAGGTATAGTGGCATGCACCTGTAGTCCCAGCTATTCAGGACACCGAAGTGGGAGGGTCACCTGAGCCCAGGAGGTCAAGGGTGCAGTGAGCCATGAGGTACCACTACACCACAGCCTGGGTGACAGTGAGATCTTGTCTCAAAAACAAAAAAAACAAAAACAAAAAAAAAACTCACCCCAGATCAATACTGTATCAGAATTCACATTTTAACAGTATCTCCGGATGATTTATACACACATAAAATTTGAGAATATATAATATAATACCAGCACTTGGGAGACTGAGGCAGGTGGGTAACTTGGGCTCAGTAGTTTGAAACCAGCCAGGACAACATAGTGAAACCTTGTCTCTACAAAAAATACAGAAATTAGCCAGGTGTGGTGGCAGGTGCTGTAGTCCCAGCTACTCAGGAGGCTGAGGTGGGAGGATGGCCTGAGCCCAGGAGGCAGAGGTTGCAGTGAGCTGAGATTACACCACTGCACTCCAGCCTCGGCAGCAGAGCAAAACCCTATCTCAAAAAATAAATAGTTTGAGAAGCAATATATTTTTAAATGAGTGAAGTAATCAGCGCTAAGAGGAAATCTGATGAAGCCAGAGCTGAGGTATATTGATAAATGGATGTAGTCAGGTTGTCTATACTTAATTTTTGGTGAGGGAAAAGGAGAGTGGAGGCAGTACTGATTTTGAGGAAGCCAAACAACCGGATGAGTTCAAGATTTTCAGTGTATATATGTCTTCAGCTAAGTACGTACCAATACCACCACCTCATTCCAGCCTCTCACATCACTCACTGTGTCTACATAAAAAAAAAAAAAAAAAAACTTACTTCCAAGGCCAAACTCTCTGACCTTTCTTTCCCATCAGCCAAAGACCAAGACTTCCTCATTAGCCCCCTGCCCTTCCTGAGTTAACTGGCAGAGAGATCAAAGGGCAGGCCTCCTGACTGGTGATGCCTCAATTGTAGCCCCCAAGTTTGATTCATCCCTTTATTAGTCCAGGTACCACTTCTTCATAAAGCCAACCAGCCCTGCCTGACCTTCCCCTTCCTGCTGCGCTCCAGGCCATCAAGGCATGTTTCACCCCGTACTGTTTTGTTTTGAGACAGGATCTAGCTCTGTCTCTCAGGCTGGAGTGCAGTGGCGCAATCTTGGCTCACTGCAACCTCCGACTCCTGGGTTCAACCCATCCTCTCACCTCAGCTTCCTGGGTAGCTGGGACTATAGGTGCATGCTGCCACACCTGGCTAATTTTTGTATTTTTAGTAGAGACAAGGTTTCACCATGTTGTCTAGGCCGGTCTCAGACTCTTGGGCTCAAGAGATCCACCTGCCTCAGCCTCTCGAAGTGTTGGGATTATAGGCGTGAGCCACCGCGCCCAGCCTTGTATTGTTACTGTTTATAGAAAGCAGTACACCGGCCAGGTGCGGTGGCTCACGCATATAATCCCAGCACTTTGGGAGGCCGAGGCAGGTGGATCACGAGGTCAAGAGATCGAGACCATCCTGGTCAACATGATGAAACCCCATCTCTACTAAAAAATACAAAAATTAGCTGGGCATGGTGGCACGCGCCTGTAGTCCCAGCTACTCAGGAGGCTGAGGAAGAATTGCTTGAACCCAGGAGGCGAGGTTGTGGTGAGCCGAGATCGCGCCATTGCACTCCAGCCTGGGTATTAAGAGCGAAACCCCGTCTCAAAAAAAAAAAAAAAAAAAGCAGTACACAACTGGGCTAAAGAGCACAGCCCTGGAATCAGATGCAGTCAGGTTTGAATACCAGTTTCCCTTCCTACAAGGTGTATGACTTTGGCTAATCACAGTGCTTTACTATCGAAAACTATTGCGAGGAATGGGTTAACTAATACAGGATAAAAACTTGCCCTACTTCACCTGCCCCCAGCTCCCAGCTATAAACAGTAAATAGCTGAGCTGCTGCAGCACTCACAGGCAGGTTGGCCAGCAGGACTGGAAGCCAACGCAGGGCCTGGGGCTTTGGACGCATTTCCAGCTTTCTCTGAACCGAGCTGGTTTACTAGCAGTTAGGGCGGGACCGTCGGGTTGAGTGACAGGCCGGTAGCCCGCCCTGGGCGTCACGTTGGCCTAGTGTTGCTGCCAGCGGCTGCACGTGGTCGGCTGAGTCCGCCTCAGACTCAAAGCTGAGCTCCTCGACTTCAACGCCTGGCGGTTGCGTTGCTGCTCCTTCCGCTCGCTATGTCAACGTCCACTAGCTGCCCGATTCCCGGGGGCCGGGACCAGCTGCCCGACTGCTACAGCACCACGCCGGGGGGCACGCTATATGCCACTACCCCGGGAGGTCAGCGGGACGGGCAGGGGTCTGCAGAGTGCGGACACGTGTTGTTGAGGGGCGGGGGTAAGGGAGGTACAGGCCTAGGACTCGTCTGTAGGCCTCTCTACAGGTTGCAGCTTAGGGGGAGGCTGGAGCGGCTGCTCAGTTCCCAAAAACTTATAAGTGATGCAGCAAGGCCAAGGGCCTAGCTTCCGGGTGTTTGGGCTGTAATCCTTCACTGTGGCCTGGGTTCTTGGCGTCTTACATACGCTCCCACCCCTTGCGACTTTGCTGCCTGGGAAAAGGAGCCAGGGCCCCCAACCGAGAGTGACCTCAGCCGGAAGCACCGGGTCTTGATAAGTGGAGTGGCTAGAACATTTGGGGCTGTTGCTCCGTTTATATGCTGCTGGGTGGCATCTCGTTGGTTGGTGGGCGAGCAGCCTGGGATCACAAGCTGCTGGGCTCCCGACCCAGAGATTCCTGCCACCACGAAGCAAAGGGGAGAACAGGGCAGGACTTTTGAGGACATTAAGTGGGCCAAGTTCCTCTGAGCTAGTATGAGCCTTAGAGGACCTGTGAGGGGTCAGGATTAGAACAGTATGTTCCTCCTTCCTGCAGGAGATAGCCCAGGTGACAGCACTGGGTGGAACCCTTCACAACTGTCTCACTTCTTGAACCACCTGTTGATCTAGGTCTCACCTTGTGAACCAAAGAAAGGAGGTTCCAGAGTGGCAGAGGAACAGCATGAAGTACTGGAACTCCTAGTGTACCAGCCAGTATCTGAAGCTCCCCCAAACATAAAGCCCCTGCTGTACCAGCTGGGATGCCTCACTCGCTTTATACAAACCACATCTTGGTTAGGCATGGAAGATTTTAAGCACTATCGAGGCTTGTCTGCTGAGAACCTAGCTGGGCTTCAGAGCAGATGTCCTTTGATACACAGGAAAGTTCAACACCCCCCCTCACCTCCAGGCCCCAGAAGGCCTGAGTCTGGGACCCATCACCTCTGTACCCAAGCTTCTGATTCTTACCTCAGTCCCAACCCCTTGACAGGCACCAGGATCATCTACGACCGAAAGTTCCTGCTGGAGTGCAAGAACTCACCCATTGCCCGGACGCCCCCCTGCTGCCTCCCTCAGATTCCCGGGGTCACAACTCCTCCAACAGTCCCACCCTCCAAGCTGGAGGAGCTAAAGGAGCAGAAGGAGACAGAGGAAGAGATACCCGGTAAGGAAAGCAGGAATTAAGAATCGTCCCAGCCTTTGACTATTTTCAAATGCCCCCATGACAGTGTGGGGTAGGTGCCCCCAAACTACGGCCCACGGGCCGCATGCAGCCCCCTGAGGCCATTTATCCGCCCCCCCGCTCCATCCCCTCCGTTGCACTTCAGGAAGGGGCACCTCTTTCATTGGTGGTCAGTGAGAGAAGCACAGTATGTGGTGGCCCTCCAATGGTCTGAGGGACAGTGAACTGGCCCCCTGTGTAAAAAGTTTGGGGACGCCTGGTGTGGGGGTTCAATTCCAAGAGGGGTTTCTGCACTGATGCTGAGCCTGCAGATCCTCAGACCAGCAACCAGTCCTCCTGCCTTTTCTCTCTCCAGATGATGCACAATTTGAAATGGACATCTAATCCAGTGCAGATGAACCCATGTGTGGAGTTACAGAGGAATCCCTGCTGCCACCACCTCTTCCTGGGGCATCCAAAGGCCAGCTGGCCTCATCTAATCTGGAAGGGAGTGACTTGTTAGTTCCAGGCCTCTTTAGTTCTGAGGCATAGACCAGGGATAGGAGTGGGCAACTTGCCAAGCCCTTAACTCTACTTCCTCTTCGGTCTGTGGGTACTTCTCCCAGCCCTAAACCATCTATATTCAGGGGCTGGAACTGGGGAATGGAATAAGTCTCCTTCTGGCTGCTTAGTAAACATTCAAAGAAATGCCTTGGCTCCAATGTTCTCCTCAATGTTGATTTTCTCATCTCAGCCACACAGCTGAGGGCCCTGGCAGGCCTGGTCAAGTTCAGAGGGCCCAGGTCCATACCCAGCTCCCACCAAGCCCACTTCCAACGACAGTTAGAGACTATGTGGCAGGTTACATGAGCCTCCAAACCACAAACAGCAATAGCCTGGCCCCTGCCAAGGGCTGTTCCTGTCTTTCCAGGAAGCAGCCTTCCTGGAACCAGGCCTCCCCAGCAGCCCCTCCCCTATCCATTCCAAAGCAGGACTCTTGGAAAAGAGGTGCTGTCCCAGCCTTTCCTCATGCCTTTTCTGCTTCCCACCTCTAAGTACCAGTTCCTCTATTCCAACACCAAAAACCTTGTACCCTCCCTTCTCACAGTATGAGAATCCACCAAGCACCTCTAGGAGACCTTAGAGTTCACATTGAAGCCCAAAATGAGGCAGCAGCTTGTTTGGTCAGTTAAATTTCAGTAATCTGGTATTTTTTTCCTTCAATTTATACAGCAAAAACCCCACTCAATGTGATTCTAATCTCTGTAACACCTGTATCTCAAGGGTGATACAGTGCAAATAGGACTTTCCTTTTGTTGAGGGGAAAATCTCCCTGTTCTATTTAGGTCTGTTCTCATGCTGAAATGAAACCATCCAAAGACAGAGCTGTTCTGCCCAGCACAGGATGTGCTTTTAGTCTAATTTGGGAAAAAGTGGTAGGCAGTAGTCTGGTTGTACCCAGCAGATCCCTTCCTGATGAATGGAGAAGGGAAAACAGTAGTTTGCAGATGCACAGGGAGCAGCACATTCGAGGACACCAGAGGGGACTAGCTTGGCCTAGGACACGTTCCATCTATCCGAGACCCACCACTGAGATGTTTTTATTGAAATGCATGTTATGAGTAACACATGAACTCCCTCTGGCCCAAATGGGACCTCTTCCCTTATAGGTGGGTCAGGCCCAGTGGGACAGTCTCGTTGGTGGTAAGAGGGAGCCAAGTAAGAGAAGGCCTCCAAGGCGTAGGAGATGGTGTCAGGTGAGTCTGGGGAACTGACGATTATGGCACCTACTGGAAGCCCGGTATGGTCTGGTTCTCCTCAGCTGTGGCTGCAGATTTCTCTTCACTGGCTGCCTCCTCTGAAAGCAGACTCCTCTTTTCCGCAATTAATCTTTTAACTCCTACCATCCACTGACTGACCTCAGTCACATGGTCAACCATGAGTGAGCGGTGGATGTCATCTGCTGCATCCCACTGGTGGGTTGAAAGCTCTGAAGACAGATGGGGGTTAAGCAAGCAGCCTGGGGTAAAAGAGCTTCCATGCCTCCCCTCCCACTAGATCATAATCTCAGCACCTGCTCCAGCACAGCCAACCACACCAGGACAAGGGATTTAGGCTATACCAAAGAACCCACCCATACCTTGCACCAGCAGAGCCATTCTCTTCTTTACAGGTATTGACAACTTTCCTCCAGCCCACTGTTCCTGCAGCAGTGCCAGGCGTCGGCTGATGTCATCACATACCTGTTTCTAAGAGACGGCCTCCGATTCAGTGCTGCCAGCCCAATGAGGGGAGGAGAGGGAAAGGCAGCACCACATAGGAAGCACCTGCTTTCTCTGGCCCACACTTTAGAGTTCTGGTTCTTTACCCAAAGATTAGAGACCCCACTGAGAAGCTGATGAAACCTATGGATCTCCTCCTGTGACTAGAATTTTTAAATTTTAGGGGCTTCTCAGACTCTCAGAAGCTCATCCTATAGTGTTGCTTCACAAATAAGAAAACTAATAGCCAAAAGGGTGAAATTGCTATGGTACTTTCCCTTTTGACATTCTTCAGATCTCTTTTTCTAAGAACTAAGAAAACACTGTACCTAAAAGAGGTTTATTTCTCCCTAACTGGGCACAATATAAATTTCCTGAGCACAAAATCAGCAGCATCTGCTCTGAATGTCATGGAAGTACAGAAAATCAGGTTGTTGGCTACTAGGAGCTGAATTCAACTCTTGTTCCCACAGCACCTTCTACTGATTGGTCTTCAAAAGTCTTCTTAATGCTCCTGAAATCCTGTGTTTATTTCACTGAAAAGGCCTTAGGAGATTCTGAAGGAGTCCATAACTCTCAAAGGATTAGTAGCCATTGTCCATTGGGTCAGAGGGTCTATCTCTTGGAGTCATTCTAGATTTGGCTGTGGATGGGAGCCCTCTCTAACCTCTGATGTGCTAGGGCTTACCTTTGTGTGGCCACGGCAGTCTTCCAATGCCTGTTCCAAAGGTCTCAGCACATCTTCCATCAGAGCCTCAGACTCAACTGGGAAACTTGTGGGCTCCACACCAGAGGAAGGACCACTCCCCACGGGTGGGGACGTGGGAGCCTTACTTGAAGGAGGTGGAGGCCCCATTGGGGGAGGCCCAGAAGTCTCTGAGGCAGGGACTGAAAAGGTACAGCAGGATCAAGCAACGTGGCTTAAATGGGTATGAAGCTTAACTCTTAAGAAGGCCTACTCTCTGAGACAACTTATTCATCCAAAAATACACATTTATGAAGTCCCCACTCTATGCCAGACAATGTGCTAGGCATTAAAAGATTAGAATAGTAAACCAGGCCTGGGTGCAGTGGCTCACGCCTGTAATACTAACACTTTGAGAGGCCAAGGTAGGAGGACTGCCTGAGCTCAGGAGTTTAAGACCAACCTGAGCAATATAGTGAGATCTCATCTCTACAAAAAAATTTTAAAATTATCCGAGTGTGGTGGCACACACCTGTAGTCCTGGCTACTAAGGGGGAAGTAAACCAGACAGATTAATTTCCTGACCTTAGAGAGTTTAATTCTAGAGGGAAGAAAAAAACACAAGAAAATTACCAAATTACATTACATGCTACAAAGAAAATGGTTATGTAATAAAGAAAAATGGGAGAACCTATCTAGACTGTTCAAGGAAGGCCTTCTGAGGGTACATTTAAGTTTTTCTGAGCTCATTTGCTATGTGACTTTTAGCAAGTTACTTTCAACTAAAATGTGGATGTATATAATGCCACTTATTTTACAGGGTTGCCATGAAGATTCAGAATATAGGTACAGGTTGAGTGTGGTGACACATGCCTCTAATCCCAGCAAATTGGGAGGATGAGGCAGGAGGATAGCTTGAGCCCAAGAGTTTGAGAGCAGCTTGAGCAACACAGTAAGATCCTGTTTCTTACAAAAAAAATAAATAAATAACAATACAGTTGCTAGAATAGTATGTAGCAAAAAGTACAAACCAAGCTGTTTTTATTAAATTAAGAACTAATGGATGGGATAGATGCAGCTATGAAGAGCTGAAGGAGCCAGGCGTAGTGGCTCACACTTGTAATCCCAGCACTTTTGGGAGGCTGAGGTGAGCGGATCACAAGGTCAGGAGTTCAAGACCAGCCGGCCAATATAGTGAAGCCTCGTCTCTACCAAAAATAAAAAAAAGTTAGCCGGGCATGGTGGTGGGAGCCTGTAATCCCAGCCACTTGGGAGGTTGAGACAGGAGAATTGCTTGAACCTAGAAGGTGAAGACTGCAGTGAAAAGAAATCGTGCTACTGCACTCCAGCCTGGGCAACAGTTCAAGACTCTTGTCTTTAAAAAAAAAAAGAGAGAGAGCTGAAGGAACAGGTAGAGGTGAGAGCAGTGCCCAAGAAGCAGGAAAAGTCTTGACTTGAATATTCAAGAGACAGAAATGAGGCCTGTATGGCTAAAAATTATCACTGAAGTAGTATGAGCTATCACTAGAGAGGTAAGCAGGGGATCCAGACCCGGCAGGACTTTAGGAGAATTTGGTCTTGAGTCAGTGATACTGGGAAGCCACTGCAGGTTTATAAAAGCAAGGGGCGATGTGACCAGACTTATTTTTACACATGCCTGCTCTGTGAAAAACTGATGGAAACAGGTCAACAATGGTGGCAGTTGGGAGGTTGAGTAGTCCAGGAAAGAGATAATGCTAGCGTGGACTAGGGCAAAAGAGTAGATGAGGTGAATGGAGTAGTCTGAGATTTACTTAGGAGGAAGTAGCAACAGGAGTGGATTGGGAGTGAGGAAGAGAGAAGTCAAGTTGATGCTTAGTTTCTGACTTTAGTAATGGGAACCACTAACAGAAAGAAGACTGGAGGGGAAAAGTCAAAAATTTACTTTTAGGTATCAGTATCCACAAGGATGATTAATTCATTTAGTAATTTGTCATTTCAGTTGACCTCTTAACCTCCAGTTATCATTTTTCCCACCCTACATCAGCCTGTCATCCCCCTGCCTTGTTCACAGCACTGTCACCTCCAAAATCTGATCATCCCTTCCTACCCCTTCCAGCTCAGCTACTTTGATTTCAGCATTAAAATCACTCCCTTATACACATTCTTACCTCCTTTATCTCCTCCCATTGTCCCACTTTCCTGATTAAACCCAACTTGCCTGCGCTTGGGAGGAAAAACAGAAACATGCGATACTTTACTATCAGCATGGTTTTACTAGATTTTAAAAGGCAACAAACACTGCCTGGATATTTTGCCTCATTTTTTCCACTCTTCAGAATTTATCTTCCTTTCCCTGCTATCTACTTTTGACACTGCCTGATGTTGCACCAAGAAAGTAGAGGTTATTAAACATAAACTCTCATCGTCATACCACCAGTCCTCCTAACCCACCTGCATTTGTGGCCACTTTCCTTCCTCTAGTAATAGATGAAAAGGTTCCTGCTCCTATCAAAAGCCATCTTTCCACCTGTACCCTGCATCCTAGCCTCTCTTGTCTTCTCTAGACTTCCCTACTGTAATTCTCGCTTCTCTTACATCATCAGTTCTCACTCTCTCCTGAATCATCCCATCAGCATACAAACATGCTCTAGTATATTACTATCAAAACACTCCCTTACTTCACATTCCATTTTCAGATACTGTCCCATTTCTTATATTCACTTCACAGCAGAATTTGAGTGAGCTGTTTATAGTCACTTTCTCTACTTTTCACATTCTCT